TGCCTTCTCCTCCCCTGTGTCCTTTTCCAGCTCCTGAAATCTCTGTCCTCCCCTCCTTGTCTTATCCTTCCGAGAGAGTGGACATCAGGCAGCTACAGCATCACTTCTCCCAGCTTGTGAGACCTGCTTCCTCTGGCCAAGGGCTCACCTGATGCGTAATGAGCAGAAGTGGGGAGGCTCTCCTGATGGGAGGTTCATCTCATAAGTGACAGATGTTCAAACCTCAGCACGCGGCTCAAAGTCCAATCACCCCCAATATGCTCACCTTTGTTTCCCTGCCGCCAAGAGATGTCCCCTTGGGAACGGGCCCAGGCAGCAGATTTCCATACACTTGTGTACACACGCGTGAGAGTCCCAAAGATGTCAGACACCCAGCTGGTTTCCAGGCTTGATGAGCCCCGTGGGCAGTGGACAGGGTGCCCCCTCCTTCACCGGCCCTTTCTGGAGGCGCACAGGTTGGTGTCTGAACAGACACCCGGCAGGGGGCGGGTTGGAATGCCAATTTCTCTGTATCTTCCTCTTTCTGTCTCTCCTCCGTTTACCTCTCCCTCGGTCCTCACCCACTACACTCCCATCCCATTCATCCTGAAGTCTTACCTGTGTCTTTATAAACTTTCGTCACTGGTGTCTTTATTGCATGTAGTTTTGTCTGTCTGACACTTCCTGCAAGTCTCTGCCAAGTCATGGTGGAGAATTCAAACCTCGAAATATAATACACAGCCCAAACTGCCTGAGACTCCAGCCTTGGGTTATTTGGGGAGAATTTTAAAGAACAAAAAAGAAAAAGAGAGGGGCTTGGGTCTCTCTCCTCTGCCTTTGCAACGTAACTCTTCTGCCTGGGCTCCAAGAATTACCTGATCCATCCCAAACTGAAGAAGAAAAGAGACCTTTTTGAATTCAAGCGGGAAAACTATGAGATCCCTGGTTCTGTAGAAATTAACTTATCTGGCTTAGGCTTGTGGGTTTAATTAATACAGACCTGTCTTTAGAGTTATCAACATGACACTTTTACTGTACCTAGGGTTACTGAAAATCAGTAAGTACACCTTGTTTCTGTTATTATAAAATCTGTCATCAAACAGAATAACCTGATACGATTAAACTTTTAGGCAAATGTAACTGTGATAAGAGCTTTCTGGTAAACGCTATAGGAATCATTATGCTTTGGAAATGTCCATCTACAATGTTGTTGTTTAGTTGCTTAGTCATGTCCGCCTCTCTGTGACCCCATGGACTGTATCCCCCACCCCTGCCCCGGGCTCCTGTGTCCATGGGATTCTCCAGGCAAGAATACTGGAGTGGGTTACCATTTCCTTCTCCATGGGATCTTCCCTACCCAGGGATCGAACCCAGGTCTCCTGCATTGCAGGTGGATTCTTTCCCATCTGTGCCACCAGGGAAGCCCAAGTTGATTGAACTGCAAAACACACAGCTTGTGTGCAAGAGCTCAAGTTAGGGTCCTAGTGATTGGCCCCCCTGAACTCCCTGGTCTTCCCCAGTACTCCCCACAGGAACAAGAACATGCTGAGAAACGGGGCTAGGAGAGAGGAAGCACAGGTTAGGATGAAGAGCAGGGAAAGCTTCTAGTCCCGGAGGCCCAACAGTGGGAACTAAGAGTTGACGTGATGCCTCCACTATGGGAGGGATGCACTATGGGACTTGATGCAAAAGGCTTTTTCAGGGAAGGGGCGTGTAAGAACAGTAACGCAAGCAACATTGGCCTGTGACTTCTGTGCCCATAATAATCTGAAAGGGATCTTTCCAATCCAGGGGTCAAACCTGGTTTCCTGCAATTGCAGGCAGATTCTTGACCACCTGAGCCACCAGGGAAGCCCCATAATAATGCCCAGCCCCATCCAATCCCCTCTCTGTTACTCAGGCCAATTCAGTGCCGAGTGACATATCCAGGGGAAGACTGGCAGTTAGATTTCACCCAAATGCCCCCACGATCAAGATATAAATATGGTCTGGGCTTGGTTGATACTTTCACAGGATGGGTTGAAGCCTTCCCCACCTGATCTGAAAAGGCCTTGAACATCTTTAAGTTCCTTTTAAAAAGAAGTAATTCCTCACTTTGGACTTCCCAAGTCTCCCCAGAGCCATAATGGGCCCTCTTTTATAGCCAAAATCACACAGGGGCTCACAACAGCCCTAGGGACAGACGATAAGCTACACACCTCATGTTCGACTCTCTGTGACCCCATGGACCGTAGCCTGCCAGGCTCCTCTGTCCACGGGGATTCTCCAGGCAAGGATACTGGATTGAGTTGCCATGCCCTCCTCCAGGGGATCTTCTCGACCCAGGGATTGAACCCATGTCTCCTACATTGGCAGGCAGGTTCTTTACCACTAGCACCATCTGGGAAGCCCAATTGTATGATTTAGTTCATGTGAAATGCCAGGAATGGGCAAATCAGGGCTAGATAGTAGATTAGTGGTTGCCAGGGGCTGGGAGGTGGGTGGTGATAGGGAGTGACTGCTAACAGGTATAGGTTTTCATTTAGAGGAGATGAAAATTGACTATGGAAACAGACAACTGTGAATGTGCTAAAAGCCACTGTAAATGAGTGAACTGTGTGCTATGTGAATTATTGAGGTATCTCAGTAAGCAGTTATATTTAAAAAGTTGCAAACAAGAGTAGGATACAAGGGTAAGGGGAAGCCAGTGAGAGATGCTGTCAGTCACCATAAAGCACATAAAAGTGGTTTAAACATGAAACCAGTGATTAGAAATGTTGACTTCCAACCAATCTGCAAAATCTGAAGACTCAAGAAAAGGAATCAAATGGCTAATATATATATATATATATATTTTAAACATTTTAAAATGAAAAAAAAAAAAAAACCACCACCATCTATAAACTCTAGACCTTAGCAACATTTGTAGAGAGACTTAATCAAATTCAGCCTCTGTTGTTTCCCGGCCAGGAGGAGCCCAGTGTCTGAGAATACTCATTTTGGGGTCAGAAACCGCGAGTCCATAGAACCTGAGGTCGGTCGGACCTTGGGGTCTCACTCTCTGAGCCTCCGCTTTCCCAGCCCCGCGTCCCCTGGCAGGAGCCCTAGCGCAGTCTGAACCCTTCCAGCTGCAGGGTTAGAGGGTTTCTCGAGGGGCCTGGCCCGGGGTGACAGCTCTAACTGCTGCCCTGTCTCCCCCAAACCACGCCCCGTCCCAGGGAGCCACCCGCGCGTCTCCGTCCTCCCCACCCCGGCCCTCCAAACTGTTCAGCTCCTCATTCTGCAGTTATTCGATGCTTGCTGTATACTGGGGTGTCCAAAAGAAGAGCTCACGCTCCTTACAAACCTGTCCCTCGTCTTCTCTCCCCCACAGTGGTGCCCATCTCTCATACCTACCTAGACACCCAAACAGGTGCCCAGGGCATGTCCTGAACCCCTCATCCCCCCCGAGGCAGGACACAGATGGGCCCCAGGCTTCAACAGTTTCTCCCCTATGGACAGAAACTCCATAAAAGCACAGGGATGGAGGAGGCTGGACCCTGCCCAGAGAGAAGATCACGTATTCCTCGTTGTTGAAGTTAAGGAGGCCTCCCCAACGACACAGGCTCAGAAAGACCCCTTGGAGGTCAAAAGGGGAGTGGGTGTCACCCCATAGCAAGTGATGTCAGCTACCCACAGGCCTCCGCGCTAGACTCCATCTCAGCTCCGAGATGCACACATGCGTGGCGGGAGGCTGAGATGTACCAGATACAGACACACAAGCAGGCCAAGCAAGGTGCCCGGCCAGAGGAAACCCAGGAGAAATGCCCCATAAAGGTGATTCAGACCACGAGGGCACGACCCTCTCTGACCCCGCCCGTGCGTCTATAGCCACATGTACTCTTTTTCCTCCTAACAGACGCTGGACTTGCTTCACTACTTTCCGTCTCTGTGTGGAAACTCACTTCTACCCAGGCGACAAGCTAGGGCCTCATCACTGCCCACTGGTCCCTGGGGGTCTGGTGGCCAGGATTCGACGCTCTCCCGGCCACTGCCCGGCCTCAGTCTCTGGCTGGAACCGAAACCCTGAGGTCACTCCTGCTCCCCACAAGCTTCTGAGCCGCCATCCCCAGGGCGCAGACTTCTGCCCTTTCTCACCCTTTCTACACACATCTAGGATCTCTCGCATCCCTCAGCCGCCATTGCCCTCACACCTGACCTCGACCTGGGAGGCCCGGTCCGATCAGCGCCTCCCCACCCCTGCTGTTCTCCCAACTCTGCCCCAGCCGGAGGCAAGTCGTGCAGCACCACCACCCACCAAAAGGAAAACCAAGCCCTCCACCAGCACGCTCCCCTCCAGGCCCTGGCCCCAGCCAGGCTGTCCCCTCGGCCTGGTCGGCCGCTGTCACTCACCCTTCAAGGCCCAAACGGCACTGAGCCCCTCTGCCCTGCGCTCCCCAGGCACTTGGACCCGTTCTTTCTCCAAAGACATCTCCGCAAATACTCTGAACACGGCCCCTGTCCCACCCTCCTTCAGGAGCCACCTCCTCTGGGAAGCCCACCCTGACCACCCAGAGCGGCTCCGACAGCCCTCTGGCTCCCCGCCACTCGAGCACATGCGTCATTATCAAAGCAAGCGATTGCCTCCCAGCCTGGGAGCTCCTGGAGGGGATGAAGCGGGTCCGTGTGCCTCAGTGGACCCCATACCCAGGGAATCCTGAGGCGCTGTATGTTGGCTGAGAGCTGGGGCGCGGCCCTATAGCCAAAGCGCAGTTGAGCCTCAAGTGCTTGCCCGCCTGTTGCTCGAGCCCTTCAATCAGCCCCAGCTGGGCAGAGGCCCCCGCCCCGAGCAAATGGGCTCCAGCTGGGGAGGCCCCTGCCCTCTCCTCCCTGCCCGCCCCCGCCTCTGGCGTCAGCCCTTGTGCCCCGTGGAGGGGTCGGAGGGGCGGGGGGCGCGGCTTCTGGGGCCAGCCTGAGGGAGGAGGGGGCGGGAAGGAAGCGTTCCGGACCCCTAGGGAACAGGCCCCCCTCGGAGGACCGAGGGGGCCGCTCCATGAGCTCACCTGGCTTCTCAGGCCCTGACAGCATGGCCGGCCCCTCTGCGGAGGCCGAGGAGGCCGAGGAAGAGGTGTCACTGGGAGCGACGCTGCCGGGAGCCATCCCGCAGGCAGAAGTTACGGGCGGCCCCCTCGCCTGGCGTGAGACCCCAGGCCGGCCTGCTGGCCTTACATACCCCCCAGTTAGCCCCTGATTGGGCGGGAGGCGCGGCTGCTGATTGGGCGGGAGGCTGGGGCCCTGCAGCCCCGCCCGGAGCGCCGAGGATGCCTCGGCCCCGGCCACCTGCTCCAGTGTGGCCTTGCGCGTGCGCCTGACTTCTCTGGGCCTCAGCCCCCACGGTGAGGGGAAGGGGGCTCAGATGCTTGATCCCTCCTGCGCCTCCGCGCAGCACAGGCTGTGGGGGGCGGGGGTGGTGCAGACGGGGAACCGGCACGCCTGGACCACAGGGAGCTAGCCGCTGGGAGGGGCCCCGCGCCCCAGTGCCCACCCCTGTGCCCAGGCCACAGCTGGCCTCTGCTGTCTCAGGAAGCAGCAGGTGGCGGCCAGCCAGTGGGTTCAGCTGGAGCAGACACCCCCAGAGCAGCCTGTCCTGACCTCCTTTTGAGTTGAAAGAGTTTCTAACCGGTGACAGAGCGACGTTTAAATTGCTTAGCAAAAGTCTCCGTAAATAAAGACAGCATCCACTGGGAAAACCGACAAAGAACACGAATTTACCAGAAAGGCAAACAAACACAGGAGAACACCCTCGACTTCTTTGGCACTCAGGAAAATCTAAACCGAAACAACGATGAGCTACTCCTTTTCTCATCAAACTGATAAAAACTGAAGACAAAGTGTTGGCAAGGATGCCGGAGCCAGGCCTTCGCTGTCTCTGCCAGGGTGTAAATTGGGTGCAGCCTACTATGGAAAGGTATTCCCTGGAGCCCAGCAACTCCGCCTCTCTCTCCTAGGAGCACATTTGTCGGAAAAGAAATAATTGCTGTGTTACTTGGAAAAGGAAAAAAACAAAAAACAAAAAACTTCCAAATGACTCATTCAGGGCCTGGCGGAATTACTCTCTTACCGTAGAATAGTCTGCAGCCATTTAATACGACGAGGTGCAGACTTCCCTGAAGTCCAGGGATTAGGGCTTCCGTCTTCCACTTTGGGGGCTGTGGGTTCGATCCCTGGTCAGGGAACTAGGATCCCACATGCCATGTGGTGTGGCCAAAAATAAATGAATAATAATAACAAATAATAATAAAAATAAATAAAATGACGAGATGAATTAAAACAAGGATGAGGTGGTATTTCACATGCAGTAGAATGACAATTTTTTTTTTTTTTTTGGCCATGCCATGTAGCATGTGGGATCTTAGTTTCCCAAACAGGGATTGATCCCACACCCCCTGCACTGGAAGCGTGGAGTCTTAACCACTGGACTACCAGGGAAGTCCCCAGAATGACAAATCTTTAAATGTCCATGGAAATTGAGCATCCAGGATGTGAAGAAGTACATAGCTGCTGGGAAGCAACATAGAAAAGCAACTGAGCAACATCTATTACGACTGAGATGGATTTGGGCCACATCTACCCATGTCACTCTGGGTATAAATTTGAGAGAAATTCTTATACTGATGGGGTTTCTCCCGTAGTTCAATCAGTAAAGCATCTGCCTGCAATGCGGGAGGCCTGGGTTCAATTCTTGGGTCTGGAAGATCCCCTGGAGAAGGAAACAGCAACCCACACTCGTATTCTGGCCTGGAGAATCCCATGGACAGAGGAGCCTGGCAGTTTACAGTTCACAGGGTCGCAAGAGTCAGACATGACTTGGTGCTCTTTCTTTCTTACACTGATGATACATAAGGGTGCTCAGTGCAATCTTGGCAAAAATGCAAAACAACCTAGATGCCCACCAAGGGCAGACTGGACCAAGGCAGATGCCCACCAAGGCAGATCTGTTCACACGGTGGAATATTACACAGCAGTGAAAATGAATGAGACAGAAAGTATCTGTGGAATATGTTCCCCACTTCTGAGAAGGTAGAACTCTGTGTGTGTGTGTGTGTGTGTGTGTGTGTGTGTGTGTGAGTGAGCGTGAAGTCCCGGAAGAAGGTCTGAAAGGATTTATACCAAGGTAATAGCAGTGGTTACCTCTGAGGAGTGTAGAATTTTAACGGGGCAGGTCTAGAACAGACTTGCATCTTTCTCTCTGTGGTCTTACTGTTGGGATTTTTCCAGGGGAGTCTCCATTACCAGAGTTCTGGATTGAGGCAGGCAAAGTGTTCTAAAGTGAAACTAGATACCACTGCCTGCCTAGCACCCTTCATGGCTCCCCACTGCCATGGGGACCTCTCCATTGACCTCTCCAGTCTGGCTTATGAAGCCTCCTTCCCCCTTGAAACCCCACAGTCCAACCACACTGAGGCTCTTGGAACCGGTTAGGTGCTGAGAGCTGGGCTTTCCACTTTGGTTTCCTTTGTGTGTGTGTGTGTTAGACTGATGTAAAAATAGTGCCAGTGTTTCACCCCGACCATATCCTTGCCCATCTGTGATGTAAGTTTGCAGCTCCTCCCACGTGCCTGGAATCTGAGCTCACCTTGGGACTTGCTGTGACCAACCCAGTATGAGGGAAGGGCTGTCTGGTCCCAGTCCCACGTGAACAAGGCTGCTGGATGTGGAGAGACCTGTGGCCCAGTCTCCCCTGTTGCCCAGCCCACGCTGGCCAACCAGCCAGCCCTCCAACTGACCACAGATGCGCGAATGAACCCAGTAGAGATCAGCCAAGCTTGGTCAGGATCACCTGGCTGACCCACAGAGTCACAAGCAACAGTACAAGGTGTGTTGTTTGAAGCATGAGGTTTGGAGGTTGTTGTCAGTGTAGCTGATACACTCTTCCTACAAGGCCCTTTTTTATCTTTATCTACCTTCTCTGGGGGACTTCCCAGGTGGCTCAGTAGTAAAGAACCTGCCTGCCAATGCGGGAGACGCAGATTCCATCCCTTGGACCGGAAGATCCCCTGGAGAAGGAAATGGCAACCCACTCTAGTATTCTTGCCTGGAGAATCCCTGGACGGAGGAGCCTGATGGGCTATACAATTTATGGGGTCACAAAAGAGTCAGATTTGACTTAGCGACTAAACAACAACAACACAATGACAACAACCTTATCTGAACTGTTTCTCACTCATCCTTTTGGCCTCAGTGTAGACATCACGTCCTCGGAAAAGCCCTCCATGACACCCTAGGATGTCAGGGGCCCCTCCTTGGGTTGCCAGCAGCCTCCAGCACCCGGGGTTAAAACACTGCCTTGCCTGTCTCCTTGAGCAATGGGAGGGAGGGGCAGTGGGCAGGGCTGTGTCTGTCTAGTTCCTGGTGGTGTCCCTCGTGCCCAGCACAATACCTGGCACGCAGTAGCAGGACTGCCGTAGCAGTCCCACTGCCAGAGCGGAGCTCCGCTGAGTGGAGGGAGGCCTGAAAACCATCTGTGGGAACCATCTAGAGCAGGAGCCGAGATAAGGCAAAGAGGCGTGTGGAAGCTGGTGCCAACGGGGGCAGCAATTTTGATCACGTTTCCAAGAACTGAGAAAGACTCAGGGATACAAACATTCCCACGAGCTTCATCTGAAACCCTGCTCCAGGTCTGTGCCAGGATAGAGTTTTGCATTTGGAGGGAAGAAGTTCTAAAATGTGCTGCATGATCTAAAAATTCTTCTAGAGGATTGCCTTTTCACAGGGAAATGGTAATTGTGAAGATCAGGCTGCTGGAGAGAGGACGGACTGCTTCGGGTACTCATGAGATGTTTTTGCTGAGAGCTGTATGAAATTTAAGTTTTGCCAAAAACTTTTTTTTTTTTTTTTTGCCATCTTGGGACACTGAATGGGGTCCTTCTACGTGTGAACTTACAGTTCTGCAGGTTACAGTTCTAAACTCTCTGCATTCTCCTTCCAGAGGCAAAAATCAGGGGCTGAGAGAGCTCTGTGGCCTTGATCCTGGCCAGGTCACAGCCCAGACTTGCTCCCTCCAGTCCATCTCTGAGTCCCCAGCGTGTCCTGGCCTAGGGACGTTGGCTGCCTGGAGCCTGGAGATGAGGTGGGTAACACCCTCTACCCAGACACAATCAGCAGTTCTCTGCCTTTATATATGGCGGCTTCCCCACCAATGGCAGTCAAATCAACTGCAAATCGGACACGGCTGAGCGACTGAACTGAAGGAAGTTAAGTAGGGTTTACACTCTACCAGGAAAAAGTCAGAGAATATTCAGGTTTTAGAGGAAATTTTTTTCCCCCTCTGGATGTGAGGCTGATGAATCCTCACAATAAGTGGGCTGTGGGAGTGAGGGGACAGAGCTGCCTGCGAGGCAGACTAGCTGCAATGCCACTGTGCCTACCACTACTGGGCCTGGTCCCACACAGGGTGGGATCCACACCCGCCGGCCGTGGGAATCCTCTCGTCACCGCTGTGGATGGAGGGCGAACTAGCCGGGCATCACCGACGCGAAGCGCACCTCCTCTGGACCGCTGCTGGTTCCGGGCCCCTTGCCTGTGGCCTTCCTCCTTCTGGCAACCACCTCCCGAAGTTTCCTTTCGGCTCCTTCCTATCCCCACCCTCAGACCATTCGGTTAACGTAGGGTTAACACTACTGGGCTTCCCTCGTGGTTCAGCTGGTAAAGAAACCGCCTGGGTTTGATCCCTGGGTTGGGAGGATCCACTGGAGAAGGGAAAGGCTGCCCGCTCCAGTACTCTGGCCTGGAGAAGTCAACGAACTGTATCGTCAGTCCATGGGGTTGCCAAGACTCGGACGCCACTGAGCGACTTTCACTTCCAATGCTACTTTGCGCTGCAAATGCAATCAGGTGACCGGGAGGCAGGCCAATCAGAGGATGAATGCCCATCCCAGCCTGGTGATTGGCTTAGGAGCTATCAGGTGACCCAGGCCTGGCCAATGAGAGCCCTACCTGGAAACTTGACTAACAGATGGAGAAGAGAAGGCCCAGTTCTGCAGGGTTTGCTGAGCTTCGAATTGCTGGTGATTTCTATGCTTACGTCGTTGGAACAGTTAACCTGACATAAAGGCATTGCTTTGTCAACAAAGGTCCATCTAGTCAAGGCTACGGTTTTTCCAGTGGTCACGTATGGATGTGAGAGTTGGACTATAAAGAAAGCTGAGTGCTGAAGAATTGATGCTTTTGAACTGTGGTGTCGGAGAAGACTCTTGAGACTCCCTTGGAGTGCAAGGAGATCCAGCCAGTCCATCCTAAAGGAGATCAGTCCTGGGTGTTCATTGGAAGGACTGATGCTGAAGCTACAACTCCAATACTTTGGCCACCTGATGCGAAGAGCTGACTCATTTGAGAAGACCCTGATGCTGGGAGGGATTGAAGGCAGGAGGAGAAGGGGACGACAGAAGGTGAGATGGTTGGATGGCATCACCAACTCGATGGACATGAGTTTGGGTGAACTCCGGAAGCTGGTGATGGACAGGAAGGCCTGGCGTGCTGCGGTTCATGGGGTCACAAAGAGTCGGACATAACTGAGCGAATGAACTGAGAGGCAACACGGAAGAAAGTGCAGCCCAAGGGAGACCTAGAAGCCAGATAGCCTGGGCTTCCCTGGCGATCCAGTGGTTGAGATCCCCCTGCCGGTGGAGGAGACGTGGATTCCATCTCTGGTCTAGGCTCCAGGGCAGCTGAGCGGATGAGCCACAGCTACTCACTGAAGCTCGAGTGCCCTGGAGCCCGATCTCAGCAACAAGAAAAGCCACCATGATGAGGAGCCCTAGCGCCAGAGGAAAGGGTGGTCCCCGCTCACTACAAGTAGAGAAAGCCAGCGCACAACAAGGAAGACCCAGTACAGGCCCCTCAAAAGCCAGGTGACCTCATCTGAGCACCGGCACCCAGTCATGCCCGAAGTCCTGAGCTTTTCATTTATGGGAGCCAATCGTGTCTTCCTTTTGCTTCGGTACTACTGAGTGCGATTTCCTGTCTCCTGCAGATAAAGGAATCCTGACTGACATCACCCACCTAGGGAGACAGAGTAGAGAGGGGCAATGACAGAGATCCCAGCTTTTACCTGCCCCAGCCCCTCCATGGCACTAAGGATCCCCCTTCTCAGACTCCTGCTGCCTTTGCCCGCCTTGGAGGAAGAGGGTTGTTTGGGAGCTACACCTTCATCCCATTCCCCCTTCAGATGAGGTCCCTGGTAGGGCCAGCCTGGAGCCAAGGCTCCAGTAATGCAAAATGTCTCATCACCTGCGAAGCACACCGGCTGCATAAAGCCTGGAATCTCATTAAGGTCACTTGTAAGATCCCTTTTTGCAGATAAGGAGGCTTCCAAGAGGTGTCAAAATTTGCTTGCGGTTTCACGGGCCACCTGGATCTCTGTGACCCCAAGGATGGAGCTTTCCCCAATCCTGGGCCTGCTCCCCACAGCCTAAAGCACTCCCAGGGGGCTCTGGTGGTTGCCCAAACCCAGAAACCCCAGGGTCGAGGATCAGATGAGCACTACCCTGTTTCCATCCATCCTGGAGATAGAGAGCTTGAGAGTGACAAAAACCACCAGTACTAACACCAAGGATAGGAGCTGAGCTTTTAATGCCCCAATTTGCCTTGTCTCCAGGCAGAGCTGGGGAGAGGTAGAGCTTCCCGCTTTGGTTATGCAGTGGAGGAGGGGCATTTATGAGGCGGCTCAATTCTGATGTCCCAGAGTCCCAGCCAGCCTCGAAGCAGCAAGGACTCTCCGGAGGGGGAGAATGGATTGGAGCCGCTGAAGGCTTGCCCAGCAAGGGAGCTAAGATCTGTGACCTGTGAACTTCTCCGGGGGAAGGTGGGTCCAGCCGGATTTCCCATGCTTTTGTTCTTAAGCTCTTTTTGAGACAAAGGTGAGGTTGGGGACCCAGCTCTTCTTTAAATGTGGGCAGGTGAACATAGCTTCTAGAAGCTCCATACGGGCCCAGAGATGCTGCAGCCTGGGTGCTGGGCAGGAGAGCTAGTGGTTTTTCAGAAGCTGAGAGCAGGACCTGTCTCTCTGTGGGTTGCATTGGAAGGGAATGGCCCGCATCATGGAGGCTATGTACTGGCCCCAGACTCTGGTCCTCTGATATTGTTTTTTTTTTTTCAGGCCTGATGACTGTATTCTGCATTGCCTTGACTGTCCCTCCCTGAGGTCCACCACCCAGCCCTGGTCTGGCCTTGCCGTCTGTCTAATGTTTATAAGCCTGATGAGGCTGGATGCTTAGGGCCTTGCCCAATCTCAAAATGGTCGCTATCAAGAGGAGATGACCATAGGAATGAATTACTTATATTAATTGATATTATTTATATTGTTAACTACAGTTTGTCCAGCTCCTTACTATTTACAAAGAGCTCACACACACGAATGCAGGCACACACACACACACACACACACAATCTCATTTGATCTTCCCAGCAGCTGTGTGAGGAGAGATTTGGAATTCCCATTGTATGGGGGAAGAAAGTGAGGCCCAAGGACAAAACAGCTGCTCAAGGTCATCAGCCAAGGGCGAGCTGCTGCTAACATGTTGTGAGAGGATGGCTGTGCCCTCCCGAGCCGTTCTTCTCTCCATTCACGTCTTCATTCATTCCTTCCTTCCTCCACCTAGCATTTATTAATAAGCACCTACGGCGTGCCCCGTCGTGTGCTACTCACTTATCCCTAAGCTGGGACACTTTTCCAGAGCAAGAGTTCTTGTGTAGCTGAGAGATGAGCTGGGGGGAGTGGAGCTACAGCGGGCCCCCGGGAAATCAGGACTCCTGATCGGGCCGCCCCTGCTAAGTGAGGCGCCTCCTGTTTCTCTCATTGATTCTTTTGCATTTGGTTGGTTGGTTTTTGTGTTTATACTCAAGGAGCCTGTGAGAGCTGGTTCCGACAGGCGCGGCTCCTGATGGAGATGCTGAGGCTGGGGTGGGGGTGGGGGCTGGGGGCTCCTGCGGCGGGCCATGGAGTCCCTGGAGGGGCTTAGGCAGGCGCCACCTGGCTGGTCTCTGTCTTGGAGACAGTGGTGGAGGCCTCGTCGTCACCCAGTGGGTTCTTGCCACAGCAGAGGGTGGTGAGCATGCAGTTCCGGAACTGGAAGGAAGAGGTAGGGTTAGGATGAGGGGTGGTCAGAGTCCCCCAGAGTCTGGGTGGGAAATGGCATCATCAGTGAGATGTGCCTCCTCTCTCTTCCTGCCTCTGGCCCTCCCAGCCTCCACTCCCCAGTCAGATGGCTCCCTGCAGGAGCTTAGTAAGCCTCCCCAACCCCACCCAGAGGCGCTGGGATCAAACCCAAAGGGGCTTTGTCACTGGTGATGCTCCACAATGCCCTCAGCGTGCCAAGGGCCATCTGGAGATGATCCCATTGAACCCAAGAGTTTAGGATTTCATCCTTTCCATGGATGAAGAAAGTGAGGCCCAGAAAAGGGAAGTGACTTGCCCAAGGCCACACAACTAAAACCTAGCAGAGGTGGGATTTGAACCCAATCTGTCTGACTCTAGGTTTTCCCCACGACCAAAGAACCTGCAGAGGAACCACTGGTCTACGTTAAAAGGACCACTTTATCCCTTCATCCCTCAGAACGAGACATCTTAGCATCCTTTGGAGCTTTGTGGAGACTGGCACCTGTTCCCAGGCCCAGGACTTTGACCATCTGGACTGTTAAAGCTAGCCTCCAGAACCATCTGAACTGGCACTTCTCTTTCCTGAGCCAGCATCAGAGGGCTTGCTAGAAATGCATGTTCCTGGGCCCACCCTGAGCTTCTAATCAGAAGATCTGAGGGTTGGTTCAGGAATGTGCATTTCTCCCGGATGACTCATGATTACCCCAGGGAAGACCAACTCCCCTGCCCATTTTGCAGGTGGGAAGACTGAGGCCCAGTTAAGACTGCAGCTTCTCCACCTGTCGCCTGGGGGAACCTGGCCCCTTCCCGCCCCACCAGCAGGCACCTGCTTGTTCATCATGATGTAGATGACGGGGTTGTAGACAGAGGCAGACTTGGCAAAGAAAGCCGGGAGGGTCATGAAGATGGGGCCGAAGTCAGAGCCCTGATGGGTGAAGATGTAGAACGCCACCCCGGCGTAGGGCACCCAGCAGATCAGGAAAGCGATAACCATGATGATAACCATGCGGGTGACCTCCTTCTCGGCCTTCTGAGTGGTGGCCGACTCCTGTTGCTGGGCAGCCGCCTGCGGGGACACAGCGCCTGGTGTCCGGGCTCGAGGCTCCTCTGGGCCGGGGGGCCGTTCTCAGCCTCATCCATGCTCTTGTCCCCCGCCCCACACAGCACTGGCCCCCCAAGGGCCCTACCTCCTTGACGGTGAACACCAGCTGCCCATAGCAGAAGAATATGATGATCAGGGGGATGATGAAGTGGACCACGAACATGTAGATGACGAACGACTCATTGTTGACCTCCGGCTTGAGCGTGTAGTAGTCAATCCCACATGAGCACTGCATGCCTTCCGGGATGTACCTAGGACCGGGGAGGGGAAGGGGCAGCAGCGGCAAAGGGAAACCCGCGTGTGAGGGCCCGGGGCCAGGCCCAGCTGACCAGAGTCCTCTGCCAGCGCCCGCGGCGGGGCTGGTCCCACTCTGGGCCTCACTTTCCCTCTCTGCAAAATGGGGATAACAAACCTCCCCTTGGCTGTGAGGCTCACTCTACTGAGATAAGGGATTCAGATGTGTGGAAACAGTGCTGTTGCCTTGTTTGGCACCGTGTTATCCTGGGACCCTGGTCTCTCCCGGTCTCTCCCTCCCAGCGCCTCTACTCTGCCACTGTGCTTCCCTGCCTGGAGCTTCTTCACCCGGCCGGCCACTCCCGAGTGGCCAGAGGCCAGGCCTGGGACCATGAGGTAGGAGGGGAGAAGGGAAGAGCTCCCAATGTCTGTATTGCAGGCACCCAGATCTTTCTAGGCCACTCAGGGTAATTAAGGGATCTTTGCCCAGTTTCTGGAAACAAGAGGCCCTGGGGCGTGTGGTTAGGGCTTGTGATTTCAGAAGATGGTGACACTGAACTGACCTCGGGAAACCCAGTGTCCATTAGCCGCGTCCACGAGGATGTAACTAGGCCAGACTGGAGAAGACAGGGGAGGAGGGGTGGGGTTTTTTGCCCCTTGCTAAATTGCTCGGGAGGGAAAACACTGGCCCCAGGAAGACTGAGAGAGGAGGAAAGGGGAGAGAGATGGTTGTTTCCTGGAAGCAGAAAGGCACGAAGCCTCTGGGAACCCACAGAGTCCAATCTCCCAAACCACGTTCCACCCCACCGCTATCTCATCTCAGCCCGTTGGGGGTTAACAGCTGAGAGTCTTGCCAGGACTGGTTCCCAGGGCCACACCGTCACACCTGCACGAGGGGGGCTCTCCTCTGAGGTCAGAGGAGCCGCTCCCGGGGTCCTGGACCAAAGAGGATTGGGATCTGGCCTGGCTTAGTTGGGGATTAGGGGCACAGCCAAGGTGAAGGTTTGGGGCGTCTTGGAGTCTCCTTGACACGGGGAGCAGCCCCGTAGCGACGTTGGGGCTGACCCTCTCTTCCCTGCCCTAAACCTCAACCCTATGACAGCTGCCAGCTCGGGGGGCCTGAAACGAGGCAGCAGCCCACCCCCGCAGCCGGAGGACCCTAGGAAGCGTCCCGGAGACCCTCCTCCCCGCCTGCTCAGTGACGTTACCTGGACCAGCCGACAAGGGGGGGCGCGGCGCAGGCCAGGGCCATGACCCAGGTGAGGGCAACGCCCATGATGGCGTGGTTCTCCCCAAAGCGGAAGTTGCTCATGGGCTTGCACACCACCACGTACCGCTCGATGGCCAGGACCACCAAGGACCACAGGGCGATTTCACCTGCAAGGCGGCCAGCTGTCAGTCAACCCGCCCCGTGGCTGGACCTGTCTGTCCAAGGAGGGGGTGTGCTCCTCCTGGGGATGGGGAGGGCGGGGTCGACCGGGAAGGCACCCGGGAGCAGTCCTGGAGCACGGACTTAAGGAGCGTAGGGTCTGGACATGGACGAGGGGAGATGTCGGGGCAGATGGGCCGATAAGCCACGTGGAGTAACTCCCAGGAAGGTTAGTGTAGCCAGAGCTCTGGGTTCACCAGGCACACGGCAGTTGGCTCGCGGGGTCATGGCTGAGAACTGGGAGCCCGGCATGGAGTTTTCACAGAAGAATGTGTCCTTCCTGGGGCCACTGGCAGAATTCCAGTCACAGGGGACAGCAGAGACAGCAGGAGCAAGAGGGGGAGGCCTCCCTTTCCTCCTGGGCAGCGGGCCTCTCGCCTCCAGGGACATGGGACACCCTGGGCATGGGCGACCCTCTCCCGGGAGCCAGGGAGCTGGAGAGTGTTTTGCTCAGAGGGAGGAGGAGGAATAATAATGATGGGGTTCAGACATCTGCCCTGCACATCACCCTCAGAAACTCAGGAGGGAGATGGCCATGGGGTTTACCAACCGGGGCATTTCCCAGAGTTAAAGGGAACACCAGTGGGTACTCCAGGCCCACGGTTGTCGCAGAGGCGTGCCCACCTGTGTGTGGCACCCCTGTGGCCTGAGACTGGGGGATCGCGGTCATCCAGCAATGGCCAGCGCCCCAGGAACAGGGCTGAGGCAGGGCCTGGACGCACGTGGGAGAGAGGAGACAGAGCTTCCTGTGGCTGGTGCCGGGCTCCCTCCATCCCCCAGGCTTTGTGACGACAACCTCCCGTGTCTCCTGCTTGCCTGAGAGTGTCCCCAGGGGACGCTCCTGGGTCTGAGCCAGGAGACCCAGGCTCTGGGCACTGGCCTGCCACATTCCTGAATCACTCCTCCCCTCTGCACGCTGCAGTTTTCTCATCGGCTAAGTGAAAGTGAAGTCGGTCAGTCATGTCCGACTCTTTGCGACCCCATGGACTGTAGCCCACCAGGCTCCTCCGTCCATGGGATTTTCCAGGCAAGAATACTGGAGTGGGTTGACATTTCCTTCTTCATCGGCTAAATGGGATCTATTCACCTGTTTTTCAGTGAAAATATTTTAAAAGCATGGCTCACAGCTACACAGATCACCTCACCAGGTCTACTGGCTCCCTGTGAATGGACTCCTCAAGGCGGAAAGCCTTCAAGCGGAGCAGAGAGCCTGGAGGCAGGCTGGGAGGGAGTCAGAGAGAAGCTAGGGAGGGACCGCGCCCGGCACCCCGTGCAGACAGAGGCCGGTGCCTGGAGGACTGAGGAATGTCATCCCGCCCCGGGCTGGGGCCCTGAGCACAGACACCCATGTCATCCAGCTCTCTGTCCCCGGGACCTGATGTGGGTCTCACCCAGCCCCGCTGCTCCAAGGGGAGCAGAACCGTGGCCTGAGGGGCCGCAGAGACGTGGGCTTGCAACTTGGCCTTGCCAGAGACTGCCTGCGACCCCAGCGAGGCCCGGGACTCCTCTCATCTGTCTCCTGGCTGAAGGGCGAGACAATGACCCCAGTGCCAGTGAGATCACGTGCTTGGTGGCCGCCCTCCACCAATGCTGGCCGAGCTCGTCATCACTTACCCAGCGTTTACTGACTGGGTAAGGGAGGGCTTTGGATTCTGGGCTCTCGTCCACCATCCGCAAGGCTGGGGCTGTCCCCACACACCCCCCTGCCCAGCCCACCACACCCAGCTCATACCGCCCAGGGTGGCAAAGAAGCCCTCCAGGTTGCAGCCCGTGGGCCCAAAGATGAAGTATCCGTGCAGAGAGGTGTAGAGGGTCGTGGTGAAGCCCCCGAAGACCATGAAGAGGTCGGCCACGGCCAGGTTCAGCAGGATGTAGTTGAGGGGCGTGCGCAGCTTCTTGTGCTGGACCGTGACGTAGAGCGTGAGGAAGTTGATGGGGAAGCCGAGCACGATCAGCATGAACATGTAGGCGGCCAGCATGGAGAACTGCCACGGCTCGGCCAGGTAGTACTGTGGGGCCTCAAAGGGGCTGCGCACCACGCCCGTCTTGTTGGAGAAAGGCACGTAGAAGTTCGGGCCCTCCGTGCCATTCATGGCTGCGGCCCTTGCGGCTGCCCGCCGGCTGCGCGAACCCAAGGATGCTTCTGAGGCCGGAGCTCAGCCACACGGGGCTCCGGCTGGACGACTCCGGGCTCTGACTCCCCCCCCCCAGGCCCTTATAAAGTGACCTCCCCTCCCTAAGCTCCCGGCTGAATCAGCACCTGGGAGATTGGGGGCGTTATTAATCATATTAATCCTCACTGCTGCAACGAGGGGCCTAATTGGCTTCCAAGTGGGGCCAAGGTGACTCCAGGTAGAAGGCTGTGGTTGGGGAGAAGGGGGTGGGGGGTGCTGGGGACCCTGGGAAAGAGCAGAGGCCTGCCCCCAACTCCCCTGTCCCGCTCTGTCATCTCAACTGATGGCCCTGGCCTGGCATTGGGACCCCCGGCTCCAGGCCCACTGCCCTCCAGCTCAGGGCAAGCAAACTTCACCTTCCTCCCGCCTGGCCCACGAGCTCCCAGAGGGCAGAGCGCTGGTTCTTCTGTCATCCCCTCTCTCAGCCCCTGAGCCATCCCTTCCCCACCTGGGTCACCTCTGGGCTTATCCAGTCATCACACACTGCCCACCGGCCAGGTCGTGAGCTTCACAAGTGCAGCGGGGCACTCTGGGGATGGGACGCAAGCCCCACGTTGCCCGGGAGCTCAAAAAGCATTTGTTCCCTTGACCTGCAGTTCACTCACTCACTTGTTCAAACTGACATTTCTGCGCAGGCCACTGGGGGAGCCGAGGCTCCAGGAAGGAGGAGCTTATGGGCTGGGGAGGACTTCTGTGTGGGAAGACTCGCTCCCGACCCGGGGAGGGGAGGCCACCGACCCTCGGAGACGTCCAGGGGGACAACGTTTAGAGGGAGGGGGGCACTTTGCCAGGTTGTCAAGTGGGGATGTCAGCATAGACTGAAGACAGAGGCCCGGGAGAGGCCCGAGGCCCATCTGGGATGTGGGCTGGGTTCAGCTGGGGTGGGGCTTAGTGCCAGGGGCTTATCCAGGGGAACTTGGGCAGATCTTGGGCACAAGAAAGTGTCTCAAAAGCCCTCAAGGATGAACTGAAGGGAGCGATGGTGGACGAAGGGCCCAGGGCAGAGGTGACCGAATCAGGGAGGCTCTTAGGGCTCCTGAAGCAAGGCCTTGCCTCCAGGAGGTGAACGGGGCCAAGCCTGTGCCAGGCACCAGATCCCTGCAGTGAGCGAGGAGGTGTGGTCCCGGGAGCTCCTGTGTGGAGGGGACGTGGGCCCTGGGAACAGCACACGGGCCACGGCCCGGGACTGGGGTCAGACTAGTCTGCGGCCGTGGGCCTTGGGCACCACATGATCGACGAGCCATGATGGCGTACCCCAGGACAGCGGGATGAGCTCTGGGTACGAACAAGGGCCCCCATATACAATAGGATCATGAGGGCCCCTCCCAGGAGTAAAGTGGGGTCATGGGCAGCCTGGCCTTCAGGGTCCCCAATGACCACGGCCCAGCTGTGAATTTTATCCCGCACCAACTGTGTTCCACACAAGATACTCAGTTCTGGGGGACACAGTGGACAAGAAGGACCAAGCCCCTGCCTGTAGGATGTGTCCTTCTCTGGGGGTGAGGAGGGGGCCCCCACAAACCATGAAGCAAATGACAATAGGGTACATTCAGGTGGTGACGTCCTCCTGACACATAGTCGCCTGGAGCTGCCCAGGGAGGCCTGAGAGCTCGAGGATGGAAGGAGCGCTGAGGGGTGGAGCTGATCAAGGAGAGAGCGGCCAGTGCAAAGGCCCTGAGGCAGGGAACTCAAGTCTGGCCAGGAAGCATCCCAGTATCCAAGACCTCCGTGGCTGAGGCTCCCTTGTGCTGTCTCTCTTCCCACCTGGGATGTCCTCACCTGTCTGCTCAGAAACGCACCCCCTTCCCTGCAGCCCACCTGGGGCTCCAGAGCCCTGCTGTCCCGGGAAGCAAGCAGCGTCAGGACTTGCATGGGGAGCCTAGTGGTATGTGTGCTGCGGGGAGGAGCAAGGGGCAGGCAGGCGTGGTGGGTGGGTGGGGTGCGGCCGCTCAAGGTGTAAGGTGCTTGGCGCAGTGATTAGGCCCATCGCTAAAGAGGTCAAGGTGAAGGGTTTGATTCTGACACGGCCCCTGGTGGCCAGACAGAGGGACAGACGACAGACTCCCTGGGTCAAGGCCAGCACACGCAGCCCTGCCCTGGCCAGGCTGAGCCCCCAACCCTCAAACTCATGACCTTGCTTGTTACTCCCTAATGCTTATGACAACCTGGAAGCTTTTAATTCCTATTCTGTTCATGGGTCTTGTAAGCTGTAACCTACCCCCCAGGGGTGGGCTGGGGTCTGTCTTGCTCATCACAGGGCCCCAGAGCCCAGCTCGACACACAGCAGGTGCACATTAATTGTTTCCCTTACGTCAGCGGTCCCCAACATTTTTGGCACCAGGACCAACTTCGTGGAAGACAGTTTTTCCATGGAACAGGGGTTGGCGGGAGGGGATGGTTTCAGGATGATTCAAGTGCATTACATTTACTGTGCACTTTATTTCTAATCTAGCACTGCCGTTGATCTCTCAGCAGGTACTGGTCCATGGCCTGGAGGTTAGGGACCCCTGCCCTACTTTAATGAGCTGGGATTTCTATTCGGTGCCCGGGGCCTGGCACATGACAGGTGCCCAAGAACTGTCTGTAGACTGAGCAGATGGATCTAGGTTATCGCAGGAAGTGCTGCCTTTCTCTAAGACTCAGGCCCACCCTCCGTAAGAGAGTCTAATAATCCACAATATCACGGTGGGGATATAGGAGATTAAATGTCATCCCTGACATGATGGACGTCTGCTCTATAATGCCTGATAGACAATTAAAAACAAAGGATGAATTAGCCTCCAACTAATAAAAATAAATGAAAAAAAAAAAAAAAACAAAGGATGCTCTTTTGCTTGGAGGAATGGGCTCACAGAAAGACAGGAAGGTCGTTAGAAGTCACCTACTCTGACCCTCCATTGCAGGTGGGGAGACCAAGGCCCCCAGGCCACAGGCCTGGCCGCTCCTGCCTCAAAGGCAGCTCTCAGGAAGACCGTCCATCACCCACACCGGGTGCCAGTGACGAAAGCGGGTTGCTCTGGGGTGCTGGAAAGGGCCCGACTCAGTTGTTCAGGCCTGGGCAGCAGCGGCGGCGGGGGCGGCACTGGGCTCAGTTGCCAAGAGAGCCTGCAAAGGCCCGCTGCCCCCCTCAGGTCGCTGGGACTAGGAACCTCCAGGATCCACCCCCACCTGTGGGGCAAAGCTGCCCGCTGTCCCACCCGAGCCCAGCTCACAGACCTACAGACCCGAGGAGCAGGTCCCCCCGTCCTCCCCCAGGGGACCGTGGCTGTCGGCCACGAGGCTGGGGGCAGCGCAGCCCTCCCTTCCCTGAGCCTGTTTCCTGCCAGGACCAGTGAGCTTTGCTGACTGTCACCCTCTTCTGCGTGTGTGCGCTGAGTCCCTCCAGTCGTGTCCGACTCTGTGAGACCCTCTGAACTGCAGCCCGCCAGGCTCCTCTGTCCATGGAGTTCTCCAGGCAAAAACACTGGAGCAGGTTGCCGTGCCCTCCTCCAGCGGATCTTCCCGACCCAGGGATCGAAGCTGCATCTCTTACATCTCCTGCACTGGCAGGCGGGTGCTTTACCACCAGCACCACCTGGGACCCCTCTTCGGAACCTGGTTCAGATCACAGCCGTGGAGGGCCCCTCCAGCTCTCAACGTGCATTTCCTACTTGGTACCCGACACTGCCAGCCACATCTGACTTGTCGCCCGACGGCCTGCCCATCCCGGAGTAGGTGCTCAATGAACAAGTGTCCAGGGGAGGGACAGCTCCTCCCAGCCCCGCGAGGAGGCCTGGTGCCTCTGACCACCGGGGAGACGAGCTTCCCCGGCAGAGCCGGGTAGAGGCGGGGGGAGGTCCAGCTTCCGCTTGGGCTCTGCTGTCCCCACTGCCGGGCCGGCCGGAGGGAAGCGGGGGGCCAAGCGCGGTGTGGGTGACCCTCCGAGCCCCCGCCCCTCTCGGCCGGTGCAGAATAGGCCGTGGGGGGCGGTGAGCGGCGGGGCTGGGGGTGGGGGAGTTGGTTGGTCTCTGCTTCTCCATCCCGGCCCCTCGGCCCCTCTGGGAGGCCAGGTGTGGCGAAGGATTAGGGCTTAGTGGGCAGCGGCGTGCAAATAGCTCTTAAGCCTCCACGTGGAGGTGCTGCTTGGTCAGCAGCCTCCTCTCCATGGCCCCCCCATCTCCCCTCACCGCTGAGCCCCGCCACCTGCGTCACCACGGCTGAGTGAGGCCTGAGACTGAGCTGCCAACTCAAGGGGGGAAGAGCGGAGGGGAGACCGGCTCTCCGCTTTCCGTCTGCCTCTCTTCCCGCACCCCCCTCCCCAGCGTCTGGCCGAGGTCGGGGGCTGGGGACATGGAGGTGAATCCTAGGCCAGTCCCTGTCTCCCCTGGTCCCCCCTCAAGGAGCTCCCCATCTTCAGGCAGGGGCAGCAGCCACGGGGAAAACGGGTAACTGGGAGAGGTGAGAAAATGCTCCCGCCTCTTTGCTGCGGGAGCCCAGAGGAGAAACATCAAGGGCCAGGAGGGAGGGGACAGCTGGGCCAAGGCCCCCGGCTGGTGGAAAGCCGCTCGGGCCCCGGGATGGGCTGGCAGGGGAGGCCAGGGGTCTGGGCGCCAGGTGGCGGCCAGCAGGGCTGCTGAAGTTATGACAGGCAGGGCAGTGGCATGGTGGGGCCCATTCTAGATGTCCTGGGGTCTGGTGGAAGACATCAGGGTGTACTCGGGCAAGTGCTGGGCCAGGGTGGGAGCCCCGCCTGGTGGTGGCCCCTCTGCCAGGGCTCCTGCGTACCTGACAGCAGGGCTGGCCTGCGCGGAAGACCATCTGGCGCCTGCCCACCTGTCCGGGAGCCCCAAGGGGCCCCCGGCTTCGGCAGCCTGGCTGGGGGTGGACGCGGGTGCCGGCTGGCTGCCTGGCTGAGGCTGAGCTCGAGCTGGGACCACCTGAGGTCTGGCCTGGGGGCTCTTTCTGGCCACCCAGTCCTCTCTTCCTTACCTATTCCTTCCAGTAATGAGGAACAGTGCTGAAGACCCAGAGACAGGAGGTCGGGATGCAGTCGCAGCTGGCTCAGCCTGCGGCTGCCACTTCTCTACCAGGGCCCCATGTCCTCATGGGGAGATGGGGCAACATCTCAGGATGCCCGCGGTCGAGGCCTTTCCTTCCTCGCCTTCTGTGGTATGGGAAGGGGTCGTGGTCACTGACACAGACCAAGGCTGGAACCTCTGTCAGAGCTGGAGGGGTCTCTTGTACAGATGGGCCAACAGCGGTGGAGAGAGGGCTGGACCTGCCAGGGCCCTGCCCAGTAAGTACACAAGAGGAGCAGGACGCGGCACTCACACACAGAGGCTGTGCCTGCCTGTGACCCTGTCTTGGCTCCATAAATATTTGATGAACGGAAGAAAAGAGAATGTTCCCGAGCCTCAGTCTCAGCATGTGTTCAGTGGGCAAACTTGAAGACGCCTCAAAGTCCTCACTCGGGGCCAGACTTAACGGGGAGCTCGGACTCAGGCCTCTGGAGTTCGGCTCCCCTGGGGCGGCAGAACCCGGCTTGGCGCCCCCTCGTCTGCGCTGTCGTGGGCCTCGAAGATGCACTCTGGAGTCGCAGGCTGGGCCCCTCCCCCTCCTCTAGCCATGAGCCATCTGATCTGTCGCTGTGATTGACGCCTGTTAGGTGGTGGGGGGCTGTTTGCTCCCTCTCCTCTCTTTCCCAGCCACATGCGAGTGATTTCAGCTCAAGCAACGTGCTAATGGAAATCCTAACACATTAATAAATGTTTAGCGCGCGAGAGAGCATGCATGATCGTAAGTAATTAAGACGCTCAACGGAGGAGTTCTGTTGGCACAACTGTCTGGCTCCATCTCTTTCTTTTCCCCCATCACCTCCTGAGAGCACGGCAGAGGGCGGCAGGGGGAAGGGCCGGGGTCCAGCCCTGGACTCACCCCTGGGGGGCCCCCACCCCGTAGCTGCTCCCCTCTCAAGTGTCTTCATCCCTCCCTTTGGAGGGGACCTTTGCCCTGCTTGGCCTGCTTCATGGACGCCCTGCAAAGGATCAGTATCTAATCAGCAGAGTGGTTTTCCACACCTTCCCTGGCAGCCCAGTCCCCTTCCTCCTGCCGTCAGGACTTTGCATAAAGCCCTGGACTGCTCGCTGCCTTCTCGGATGGGAGCGGGGAGGAGGGTGAAGGCAGCAGCCTCGGGGAAGGAAGGATGGACCCCAGCACCCCCGCCCGCCAGCCCCTAGGGCTGTAGAATGGGAAGTCACCTGCCCTCCATCACAGAGCTGAGTGAGAACCGAGCCAGCATATGAAACGGGGCTGGCACAGAAAAAGGTCCCCAATAAATGTCAGCTCCCCTCCCCAGCTTCCCATCTGCCCTCGAGCTGCCAAATCGGACTCTTTGCTGACGCTCAGGGGACGGGCCCTTCCTGGAACCTCACGCAGGACCCACCTGCTCCGGGCACTGCAGGAAGGGGCAAGCTCAGGTCATGTGGAGGACCTGGGGGCAGCTGGGGGGGGGGCCTGGTCCCAGTGGGAAGTACAGGGTGGACTCCGAAGCCCCCAGGAGCAGCCTTGTTAGCCACCTTCTTTACAGCCAGGTATCTCATCTTCTCCTTGAGATGGAGCCCCTTTCCACCAAAATAAATAAATATATATATATATTTAAAAAAGCTGTTCCCCTACCATTCCCATATTGCCATTTTGATTAGATTATATTTTAAGAGCACACAAACGTAATGTTCCTCTCGGATCAAATTAGAAAAAAAACAGGTGCACTTTTGCATAAGGAAATTAAGTTGCAGACAATATGAAGATTTGCTAAAATGCAGACACTGATGAAAATAAGTAGCCCTTTTATTTGCAATTATTGAGGCAATCTGTTCACAAACTGTACATGTGAATGGTCTGACAGATCCATGGACTCCGGCAGACTGCTGCGAACAACGCAGAGCCGTTCTGAAAGGAACAGATTTTTTTTCTCTCTCTTAGAAAATATATATTCGTTCTCTTCTCCATTTCCTGATGCTATTCACAAGACACGAAATGCCATAAATAGGGAGGTTCGTGGTTACACAAGGCCTCTCCCTAAGATACACACGGGGCAGAAGACACATCCTGAGTTTAACTCTTCCTTCGATGGCCCGGCTGAGCGGGGGTAGCAGTTCTCAGGGGGCTGGTCAGGGGCTGGGGTCGTCCGCACGCCTCCGGCAGTAGGGGCAGCAGGTGTGCTGAAGCAGCAGCAGCTCATAGTCCTCCGAGTGGAACATCTGAGGAGAGATGGCCGTGACCCTGCAACCCGGAGCGCTCAGCAGCCCCGAGCCGGGCGGGGACCACCGCCCTGCTAAGGGCAGGCGGCCGGGCAGTGAGTCGGGGCCAGCAACACTGAGTCCCGGCCACCCTTGTCTGAGGCTCCAGAGGGGAGCTGGGGAAGGTCTGAGGCCCCTTCTACCCGAAATGCAGTTCAAAGGCGCATCACACTGGCCGGCCCGCCTGGACGAAGGACAGGGGGCAAATCCACAGCAGACGGTCCAGGGATGCACGTGAGGCTGGGAGGCGGCTAAGGGTGGCCAAGCCCCTCCCCCAGCCCGGGGGCCCTGGCCTTGGCCACTGAGGGACACGCGTGCTCCCCCCGACGCCCGGCCTCCCTACAGGGACCGTCCGGGAAGCGCAGCAGCAGCTGGAGGGAAGGACCGGGGAGCACGCGCGGCCGGCAGTGGGCCGGGTACCTGGAAGCAGGAGGGGCACATGGTGATGGCGGCGTCAGGCAGCAGGGAGCGGAAGTACTGCCACTGCAGGGGCGGCGGCCAACGCTTGATGAGGACGTCCCGCCGGCTCATGGAGCGCAGCACGGAGCGGTTCACCACCACGGGCACGAACTCCGAGCCACCTTGCTGCAGGCCGGGCGGGGAGAGCCGACAGGGCCTCGCTCAGCCGGCGGGGGGACCCCCGAGCCCTCCCCTGCTGGTCCGGTCCCTCGGGAGAACCCAGCTGGCCGTCTCTGTGACCGGGAGCCCGCCTCCCTCCCCCGGGGGCCCCGGGGGGAGGGTGTGGAGGAAAGGGACCTGAGCCAGGCCTGGGGGGGTGGGCGGTCTCAGCAGCCCGTCACTCACGGGTGCCCGCACCTCGAAGCTCAGCTTGGCCGTGAAGGGGTCATCGTCCCCCACGGAGTCCATGCTCTCATCCAGCCTCAGGGTCTGGGCATCTGGGGGGCGCTGGTCAAGGACAGGGCCTGAGGCCGAGGGAAAGCACCCCCCTCCACCCAACGCATTGAGACTCACGGGGCCGGGGGCTCCCTTTGGGCCTGTGTGGGACCCTCCCCATGGCTCAGGGAAGGATGGCAAGGCGTGCAAGAGGCTTTCCCCACGGAGGAGAGGCCTGCTCACATGGAGCCCGGCACGCAGATGGGGGAGGCGGCGAGGGGCTCTGAGGGCTTCTGCTGTAGCCCCACAAGACCTGGCACGGCCCACGGAGGCTGCTGAGATGCAGCGTGGGAACCAAGGCCTGCGGGCTGTGGGAGCTGGAGCAGGTGTGACAGGCTGGGCGGGAAGCCACAGCCCCTAGCACGGCCGGTGGCTCCTGCAGTGTCTCCCCACAGCTGTTGGGCAGCCTCGCAGACCCTCTTCGCAGAGCAGGGTGAGCGTGCCTGGGGATCCCGGGGCCGGCCAGCCTGGGCCGGAGGTGCCCAGGCCCCCGCCCCCCAGGGAAGGGAGACTGCGGGTGCCAGGTCAGGGCAGGCCATGCCCCACAGCAGCCATACCCCAGCCTCGTGGGCGGGCGCGGGCACGTGGACACGGTTCCTGCCTCCCGTCCTCCCTGCTTCTGCAGCAGCTCTGCACCCTGGCCGGTGCCACGCCCAGCTCTGGCCCCGAGCCTACCGCCATAGGGGTCTCTCCAGCACGCAGAGTGGCCTGGCCTGACCTCGCCTCCCTGGCCCAGCAACCCCGTAAGCCCCCCTTGCCTCCAGGCCAGCACCCAGCGGACACACACACACACACACACACACACACACACACACACACACACACGGGGTCCAGCTGGCACCCAGGATACTGTTGCTTGTGATCTCTTGCCATTTGTTCTCCCGCTTGAGTCTTGGCGCCTCTAGGTCAATGAGGGAGACGGCTTCTTCGTCTGTGATCCCCTCCTCCAGGTAGAATTCAACCAGGTGCAGCACCTCTGCAGACACAGGCAAGGTGGGGCTGGGAGTTGGGGGGGGGCTCCCAGAGCTCCTTCCCGCCCAGCACAGGCCTCGCTGAAAGCTGGCGGGGCGGCAGGGGAAAGCAAGGGGCCTCGACCCCTCCGCCATCACCCTAGTACCTGGACAGACTCCTCTCCAGGGGAAGAGGAGAGGCCTCTGCCCAGCTCCTGGAAAGGGGCCTCTGATCTCTGTCGACGTGGAAGGAGCTGGGCCTGAGAGCTACGTCAGCTGCCTGGATCCAGGGCCCCTCTTCCCAGGGAATTTCGTCAGGCAGAGCAGCGCTCCAGGCTCTGAGGGGTCTGGGCAGCACTGGCCCTGCCTCTGGGAACCGTGAGTGACCCTATGTGTTGGGGTGGGGGGTCTCACTGTCCCCAGTTTCCAAATGAGGACACAGGCCGCGCCGCCTGCAGCCCAGCCACCCCGCCTGCCTACCACGCTCACCGTAGGAAGAGGCGGAGAAGACGAAGGGCTGGCGGCAGTTGATGCAGACGTTGCCCAGGTTGTTGAGCAGCGGGTTGTTGGTGGAACAGCGGTAACACAGAGGTACCAGCTCCTGCAGGACAGAGCACGGCCGCTGAGGGCCCCACGGGGGTGCGGGCATGGCCCCGCCTCCTCGCCTGGACTCTGGCTCCCGCCTCCTGGGGCCTGGAGGCCGAGGGGAGAGGCCACCCGGGCGGGCGCGGCAGGGGCCCTGGCGGGGGGCACAGTGTGCAGGATCTGCCCGGTGACGAAGCAGGGTAAATAAGGGCCTACGGAGACCACAGAGGCCCTGCCCGCTGGGGCCCGCTGCCCAGGACACCCCCTGCCCAGGCAGGGCTCAGCAGTTGCGGCTCTTCCGGCAGGAATGACAACGGCCACAGCCACCATCTACCAGCCAGTCACTGTGCTCCACGGGTTGTGCCAAGCACGTGACCCACTTCAGTCTCATTCCTCCTCACAGCCTCCTGCAGGAAAGCTGTTACATGCATCCCCATTTGATAGATGTGGAGACTGAGGCTCAGGAAGACTGAGACACAGCTAGGGAATGGGGGAGCTGGGATATGAACTTAGATCTGTCTGACACCAAGTCTCTGCTCTGAGCTTGAAGGAGGGGGCTGTGGAGGAGACAGTGGCTGGTTGGGTTGGGGGAAGGGAGGCTGGGGCACAGATGGAACTGCAGACACTCGGGGTGGATCTGCGGGTGAGTGATAACCTGCTTCCAGAAGGGGGGGCCTAGACCAGGGGCTCCTAGGATGAGGCCCAGGCGGAGACCCTGGGCCCTGGGGCTGAGGCAGAGCAGACGTGGAGCCCCAGGACGGCTGGGAAGCAGGCGGGCAGCTGTGGGGCTCAGGAGGCTGTGCTGAACAGAGGCGGCAGGGAGGGAAGGGCAGAAGGAGCTGGCACAAGAGGGCTCAGGCGGGGGGGGGGGGGGGGCGGTGCAGAGCCCCAGGAGCGCGGCAGCCACCCCTCAGTGAAGCCCAGGCCGGGTGCAGAGGGGTCAGGAGAGGCCCCCTGCCGGGGGCCAGGGCCTTCACCTCACTGTCATGGAAGGGCTTGGAGCGGATGGTCAGGCTGCCCAGCTCGATGGACTTCTGGAATCGGGCGGGGGTCTGCAGGCCCTGCAGCTTGTCGTAGGCGTGCCGGGCCAGCTTGTAGGCGCCCAGGGCCTTGCTCTGTTTGGCCAGGGTGAACAGCGTGTTCCTGCCGACGACGAGGTTAAGGACGACAGGCCACAGCAGGCCCGAGCGCTGGCACTGCCCACCTCTGGAGCGAGCCCCAAGCTGGAACGCAGCTTGTGCGCGTGCCAGGAGGGCACGGGAAGGAGCCTGAGGACTGCTTTGCTCGTCTGTGGGAGGTAAGTGGATTTCTCGGATATCAAGGCCCAGAGATTTTTCCAGAGCTCAAGGCAGCGTCGTCTGCATTAATATTTTAACCTTGCTTAGGTTTTCTGGGCCTGCTGATGGCTCATCTTGGACCCTGGCTGGGCCAAAACGGCTATCCCTGCCTTACCCGGCCTGCCAGCCAGCCCCTAGATTGCCTGGCACTAAGTGCCGCCCACTCCAGCCCCGCCAGGAGGAGCCTGGTCGCCACTGCAGAACGCTCTTCTGCCTGTGCGTCACCGCGGCCATGGCGGGCTTGGGGCCTGCCTCCCGGCAGGGCCCTTCTCAGAGCTCCTGGTCTGGGGCTGACGGGCTTCCATGCTCCACCTCAGGTCACCTCAGTGCTGGCTGTGCCCAGGCTGGTCTGCCTTTCTCCCCTCACCCTGACCCTGAATGCCCTTCCCTGCTGCCCTCTGCCGAGCCTCAGCTAAGCGAGGCCGGTGTCCCAAGCCTCCTCTGAGCTGCCCCTCCCGGACATTCCTGCTACGCACGCCCTGCCCCGACCCGTGGCCCCTCTAACAGTCCTCATGTGGAGTTTCCTTGTCTGTACCTCCCCGTCCTCCCTGGAGTCAGGGACCATGTCAGGAGCCATTTCCATGTCCCCAGTGGACATAAGGGTGAAGCTCAGGGCAGGGTTCGGTCAGACTCTGCTGACTTGAACAAGCAACTTGCTGCAGGCACTGCATGCGGGGTCCAAGGCCCCGTGATGGGGGCAGCTTCCCCCGAACTGTAAAGGATGGGTCTGAACCCCTTCAGAGAGGCTGGTTCTCACCAACTGGCAGCTGAGCCCTTTCCTCGGAGGGTCTGTGATTCACAGAAAGAAGGCAGGGCGGGGGCTCGGCAGAGGCCGAGAGATAGTGCCATCCCCTCCTTCAGAAGGGGACAGGGGCTTCTTGTAACTTCTGTCCCTCTCAGGACCTTCAGGATTAGGGGTTATGTCCTTGCAGTCTCTGGCAGCACAGGCCCTCAGGCTCCTCCGCGGCCCTCACCGGCAGCCAGAGGAGGGCAGGCTGGCTCCCAGGCAGGCCCTGAGGCTGCTGCCCCGAGCCCGGCTCCCAGGCAGGGGGCTTCAGCTCCTCCCTTCCCCCACGTCACTTCCCTCCAGCCCCTTCTGAGTGCAGGGCGCTCCCCTGGAACATCTACTCAGGCCTTCCCTGGTTACCTCAGTCTATGGGACAGATGTCGCCTCCTCCAGGCAGCCTTCCCTGACTTTGGCCCCAGCCTTCACCCTTGGACACAGTACCCATCCCACTGAACGAGGCCCTGACACTGCTACTGGCTGCACGCCGGGGACGCAGCAGGTGCTCATCCACCTGAGCTGAACAAAGCTCTGCCCGCCCCCAGGTCCCCAGCTCAGGGGCCTGGCGCTTCCTACATTCCAGTCACACGCTCCTCTGGGGGTCACGGGAGGTCCGCACAGTGTGCTGGCCGGAGACCCTCTGCCAGGCCCAGAGAGCCCTGAAAACTACCCCTCCCTTGGCGTTGGCCTCGGCCTCCCCAGTAGCGGCCTTCAGGGCTCCCTCCCTCCGCCCGTCCCTGTCCCCGAGGGCTGCTGCCAGAGAGGGGAGCCTCTGGCAGCAGAGTGCTCTGGAAGAACCCCTGGGGCCATCAGACAGGAGGGGCGGGCAGAGGGCGGTGCGAAGGATACACTTTGGAGATACCCAGGGGCGTGTCCTTGGTCAGGCTGTGAAGCAGGAACCTGGAGATGTTGAAGAGCGTCTCAGGAAGGTGGAAGCTGAACGGCTCCTCCTGCCGCGAGGGAAGCACACAGAACCGCATTTCTCAGCAGAGCCACTGCTGGGCCGGGTGAGAGGCTGGCGCCGGGAACTCAGAGCGACTTCAGCAGAAGAGCGATCGCCCAGGGGGCACCTACCATGTGCGCGTGGGAGCCTGCGGCCACACTTGCATGATCCCCAGCCCAAACCGGTGAGGGAAGCACCTTCACCCTCACTGCAGTGAGGGCAAAACCGAGGCCCCCAGACTCCATCTGCGCACGACACCCGCTAGAAAGGTGTGGAGCTGGATTCAAACCCACTGGAAGTGTTTCTCTGAAGCTCACTGCCTCTGGGGTGGCTAACAGTCCCTTCTCCCTGAGCTCAAGCTGTTGCCAAGTAGCTCAAGGGGAGAGCTTTGGCAATTTGAGACGTGGCCTCCATGCAAGTGTCGCCTTAAACGGAGGCACTTAACCCTCTGCAGCCTGAGAGCGCAGGCCTCCTCTCTGCCGTCCAGCGGCAGTCTGACAGCATGGGCTCCCTGCCACATGCCCCTGCCCCCGCGCCTGGCACAGGCCCTCCCGTCAGACAGGGGCTCAGCACTCGTGAGTTGAATGCACAGGTCTGCTGTACCGAGGCCGCCAGAAGCTGCACACATAGCCCGCAGGGGATGTTCCATGAGGAGGGGTCTATAAGAGGTTAAGAGACCCCTGTCTTGAAGGGCTCTGGCACGCTGTTTCAGATGACAAGGTGAAAGCAGGCCAGCTCCCCCTGCCAGCGAGCACTCAGGTGGTGGACTGACATTCCTCAAGGGCCCTGCTGGGCCGCCTCAGCGCTGAGCCCCCAGGACTCGGGCCCTAAGTGGTCTCGGTCCGCAAGGGCTCGCTTTACGCCAGTCCTCTGGTCCAGAGCCCAGCCTTCTCTCCTTAGTTCTCACTTAAATTTCTACAGCCTTCGTCAGTTCCCAGAAAACCTGCGCTTGCATCCTCTCCTGGGTGAGAGCCAGGGAGAGGCCTGCCTCTGGTTTTACCACATGAGGTGTGGAAGCTCAGAAGTGTCCCAGGGAGAGGAGAGGCGGGGCTCCCCTGGGAAAAGAGCCATCATCTCCAAACCGGAGCTGCTCCGCTGGGCCTGACACCAAACCGCGAGACGCAGCCCGCCTCTGCTGGGAGTGCCCTCCTTCTCCCGCTCTTCACCTGCCCCTGTCTTATCATCTCCCACCTCCAGGCTTGGGGGCCACCTCCTCCAGGAAGTCTTCTTAGTCCTCTAAGCACGTCCTTTGAGGGAACTAAAACACAACTGCTTGTTTCTAGGCCGATGGGAGGCTGGCATGAGGTCTCCGCATGGGCCCCACTCACCCAGGGTCCCCCTTCCAAGTGCTCCCCAGTGTCAACTCATTGGATCCTCACCGTCAAGCAAGCACTGCTATGACCCTCATCTTGCAGAGGTGGGAGCTGGAGCACAGAGGGCAGTAAACGACCCGCCCAAGGTCACACGGCAGAGCTGGGGCATGAGGCCAGCGGTCTGCCTTCTTCACATCAGTGGGCGGGGGCAGGGGGGTGGGGGCTGCTAAGAGCACAGGCTCCAAGTCAGGCTGCTGTCTGGGCTCAAGTCCTGGCTCTCCTACTTACTAGCTGTGAGATCTCTCTGTCCAGCACCTCAGTTTCTTCATCTGTGAAATGGGATGGCAGTATGGATCTCACAGCATGGTCGGAAGGCTGATACAACGAAGCCCTTGGCACACTGCCTGGTGTGCAGTAAGTGCTCAGTAAAGGTCGTCTAGTGTTATTACCCTCTGACTTCTCAGCACGGGGTACGCTCACACTGCTGAGTGACTGAGGATAAGCAAACGAGGAAGCTGAGGACAGCCTGTCACCTGTTCCCTACCGTCAGGAGGCAGATTTAAAACAGCTTAAACAAGGGATTCGGGAGTAACTGAGAAGAGCTGTTTGGGTCTCTGGAGATCAAACCAACCCTCTCCTCTATAAAGAAGGAAACTGAGGGTCAGAGACGGGAAATTAATTTCTCAAGGTCACACAGAAAGTCAGTGGCAGGGCCAGGGAGAGACCTCGGGCCTCTGGTTAGAGCTGGACCTTCACCTGACTAGAAGACAGGGGCCCCTGGAACGTCCCCCACTGGTCATTTAGAGAGACAACCCTCTGAGTGGTGAAGCCAGAGTCCGCCTGAGTCATCCAAACCTGAATCAAGAGGACCAGAAGGCCCCCTCCAGCTCCGGCTGGCTGGTTCTGAAGCCCACATATTGCACGTCAAACAAGCGGAAAATCCAAGTTCCAACCTGTCTCCCCAGGGAGACCAGACTTCTCCGCAGGTCGTCACGCCCTGTGGGTGGGTTTCTGCTCCATGCAGAGGGCTGCTGCTCTGTGAGACATGCCCAGGCCCCCCGCGCGCCCCGTGCCCGGTGCCCCTGCCCACCTTACCACATATCGCTGGATGGCATGGTAGCCGTGGTACAGCTCGGCCAGGTGCTGGAAGTGGTGGAACTTGCCGAGCATCACCTCCTTCTGGGCAGGGTCTGCGGGGAGTGGGGAGAGGGCGTGTCAGCCTGGGCCAGTTCTGCCGACACCGGGCCCGCCGCCTGAGCCATGGCGATGGAGAAGGCGCTCTGCTGTCCTGAGGCAAGGGAAGTCCCGGCGGGCCAAGCCCACCGAGGCAGGACGTCTCTCAGGGTCACTCCCTGGGGGAGGGCCAGCGTGGGAGAGGCTGATCACCAGCACCCAGACGGGCCAGGGCCCCCTGGCGGGCAGGGTGGGCACACATCAGGAGCATTCACACTCACCTCACACCTTTTCCCTCCCCATCCTTCCTCCTCGAAGCCCACACCCCTGGCCAGAACAAAAAGTGCACCCTCACACCAGGGCTCGATGGTTTTCTAATTATACCCACGGCTCTAGGTGGTCATGCGGGAAGTAGAGCGGGTCACCCCTGCTCCACAGATTGGGGGCAGCGCTGGGGAAGGACTGTGCCTTGTCACGAGTCCCCTGGCGGCTCCCATGCCAGCGTTCCCCCACGCCCACAGGCAGGCCCCAGCCAGGGGAACAGCATCTTCCTGCCCCATCCGCTTCCAGAAGGCCCGCGGCGCACCATGCGAAGTCTCGTGAAGGAAATCAACACTGAAACTACCCTTCCACCTGGGGCGAGTGAGGATCCGGAGTGTGCTCCTGCAAAGTGATCTCTTCTTCACCTTTTCATTTAATTCCATTTTTTTTTTAAAAAGCCAGTGCCCAGCCAGCTCCAGTTATGGGCTCCCAGGTAGCCGGAGAGAGACATGTTCTGAATTAGCAACGCAGGCCCAGACCTCCCAACTGTAACCCTGGGATTGCCCTCATACTATCCTGAAGCTGACGGGCAAACTGGGAAGAGATGACACGTGAGATTATGCTGCTGCAAGACAGGGTTATGGACAATACACCCAATAAACAAGCCCAGGGCTTTAATTAAAGCCTCCCAGCTCTTCCGATGTTTATCTTGGTGCCAGAGAGGGGCCGTGGAAAACAAGGGGCCCAGCTGATGTTTGCTTACCTTGAGCTATGTCGAGGCACTGCATGGAGAGCATCCAGTAATAATAGGCAGCGTCATTAAACCTGCTCTCGACCACAGCGTTATGCGTGAGCTGCTCCAGCACCCGGACCGCCTCGCCCTGCCGCCCAGCCTTGTGGAACGCTGCAGGGGCACAAGAGCACGCCCTGTGCGGGGGAGTTGGTGGGGGAGGTTCTGCGGGGGTGGGGGAGGTTCTGCAGGGCTCGAAGGGTGTGGCAGGGGTGGGGGGCGCTGCAGAAGTAGGACACTCATCGGAGCAGCTGCAGCCCCATGTTGCTGGGATGCGCCTTTCAGGCCGAAGGCTATAAATAACCGAGGCTACATCCTGAAAAAGTACAGTGAGACATATACTCCTTTGGGGGGCTGGGAAAAGGCAACCCACTTTGAGAAGGCATGGGAGACAGAGAGGGCTGAGGGCCACGCCGCGGGGCAAAGTCTGAGGGTGGAAGCACCGCTCGCCGCGTGCCCTGCCCCATCCCAGGACAAAGCTTGGCCACTCCCCAGGTGACACAGTGAGGGGCTCAGGGCTTTTGTTGCCAGTTCCCTCACTGCATCACAACAGACCTACAGACTTTGAGACATGGGCTCACGAGGTGGAGGTAAGCTGGCACCCCCAAGGTCACAGAACCGAGCCCGACACAAGCCCTTGGTTGGTCTTCAACTGAGGGCTTTTAGATGACCACCTTGGAAAATCTGGCTTGTTCTAGCAACCAAACATTTGTAAAAACCAGCAAAAAATTTCTCAACCATTCTTCCATCCACTTCACAGAAATTTCTAGACTCCCAACTATGTGGCCAGAGCCTCGGGGCGTTGGGGGCACCTGGGGAGGCACTCCTAGCTATGACACTTGCCCACACGTGGGTGCTGGGATAATCCAAGCCCCCTGCGGTAGGGAAGAAAGAGGTCTGGCCTCTGTTCCATTCTCATCTCCAATCTCTTGTCTGAGTACCAAGTTACTATGGCGATGGATTCTTGGACGGGTAGACACAGACAGATGGGTAGGTTGACGTGTTTTGCCCAAACATGCACATACTTCAGCACCTGGGTGCTCTGGAAGCCCTAAAGCCGTGGAGAACACGCTGTCCTGCCACGGGGCCTTTCGGCTGAGGAGCTCCGCGGGGAGACACCCCCAAATATGTGCAGAAGTGGCCACTGTTCCCACAGAGAAGTGCAAACGGGATGCTATGGAAGATGACACGCCCAGCTGTAATCGGAGCCCCACCCAGAGAGGCAGCAAACCCGAGTCGGGAGAACCAGGCTCCCAGAGAGGCAGACCCTAGTCTGATGCTGGCTCTCCCGTTTGGGGCTTTGGGACTTTGCAGGGCATCATCAGCCTCTGTGTCTCTGCAGCGCTGCAGGCGAGATGCAGGCTTGTGTGGTTAAGCGCCCCATCAGTGCCTGGCACAAAGAAGGCCGTCATATTTAAAACTATTAGCAGTTAAAGCTCTAGACATCCTTTCGCTCCTGTGTGCAGCTGTTTTCCCAGTGGGTGCACTGAGGAGCAGAGGAAACCCCGTCTCCCTGAGCCAGAGATAGAACCCAAGTTTCTCTTCTGGGCGAGGAAAAGTGGCAGGTGAGACCGTGCCACTCACAGTACGGGAGGTCTCTTGTTCCATCCTTGCCCCCCACTGCGCCCTGCCTCAAACTCCCTCTGTGCCACCTCTTTGCTGTGGGACTTCAGACAAATCCTCTACCTCCTCCAACCTGTTTTCTCATCTATAAAATGGTACCTACACCACAGGGCCGCTGTGAGGATAACACGGGATGACACAGCGGCGCACACGGGGCTTTGCTCAGAGGCGACGGGACCTGTCGAAGCTCCTGGGGCTCGAGAGCATCCCACTGGAAGCCCATCTCCTTCCCATGGCCCCACGGTCTCCACCACCCGGCCCATCACACACGCAGGAGGGAGCTGTCACTCAAGGCCATAGTGGGAGGGCCGGGCGGCTCCGGACGCGGGTGTGGCCAGCGCTTTCTCCTGCCCCTTCTGCACGGTGCCAGGCTGTGCCGCCTACCTTTCTGGGCTTCCTCAAAACGATCGTTCTCTGCGAGCCACTGAGCATAGGGCACGTAGATGTCATCCTTAAACTCGGGGTGCTTCTCACCCAAGGCGAAGGCCTAGGGGAAGGAGTGAATGCAGTTTTCAGAACCCGGCCCCCGCCGCCCCCATGAAAGCACGGCGCTTGGCTAAATCCATTAGGGATGTCATATTTTGCCGGCTTGACAACTCAGACGGGGGGAGTGCCTCCCCCCCCCACCACCACCCCCAGAAACGCAAAAACAAATCAGCTCTTTGAAAACAAAAGGCAATTAACAGCAATATGCAAGCGACTGGATTCAATAACAACACAGTCTGTTTCTGGACCACAGAAGCGGCACAGAATCGGAAACATTTTATTTTGAGGCTTTGCGTGGGCTCCCGTAGCGCAGCAAACAGATTTCTTTTAATTGTAGGCGACACCTAAGGAAACAGAATTGACATTATCATCACTGCTGCTTATTAGCTGTCAGAGATGACTGTGGACGTGGTGCTGTGTGGCACCCGCTGTCTGCTTCGTCTGAACCCCGGATCCACCTGTCGGGCCAGGAGAACCGGAAATGAGTCACGGGGGCCAGGATGTGGTGATGGGGAGAAAGCCTGCCTGATGCACTCATTTCTGCTGCTTGGGAGAGCTGACAAACGCCTCTTGAGAAGCCATGACTGCCTCTGTCTTCGGCCCCACCCTTTTTCATCAGTGACCTCGTCACCTCAGCGAATGGAGCCACTGAGCGGAGACGAGGGTCAGACGGCTCTTACCAGCAAAGCCTTGCAATGGCCCTGCAACCAGACCTCAGCGGGTGGGCGGAGCGGGTGGGGACTGTGGGCCCAGCTCTGAGCCCCCTGAAGATGGATTTTGATCCAGGGCCCAGGAAGCCAGGGAGCCGGAGGCTGGGAGTCAAGCCACAGAGGGGGAGTGCGGCGGCGGCTCCCCCTGCAGGACACGGCCAGCCCCCTGCAGCTGTCTCTCCTGCTGGCCTGGCTAATTCTCACCAGCCCTTAGGACACAGGAGTCGGGGGAGAGGGCGAAGCCCCCGCAATGGCCCGGGCAACCTGTACCTGGAAAGTATGGCTGGCGTTTTCTGCCACAATTTGGCAGAAAAACGCCACCGAGCAGGGTTTAAATGTCACAGAGGTGTGGCCTCCCTATCAGCGACGTGTCAGCCAGGACCAACGGCAGGCAGTGGGGGCTGTCATGTTAACTCTGGCGTCCCTCACGTGTATCAGAGCCAGCAGGCCATGAGAGTTTCCTGAATAAGCGAATGAGTGAAAGCAGAAAGCGAGCGCGGAGAGGCACTCCGTTCTGGAGTGTTCTCCAGAACACTCGGGGTTCAGAGAACTCATGGGCAGGTCTCCTGACCTTTAGGCCAGCACTCATGTCGAGGGCAGCAGCTCTCCGTGCGAACTGCCCCCAGCCCCCGGGTCCCAGGGCTCAGGGAGGGCCCTGGCGCTCACCTCGTCCCAGCGCTGGGTCTCCACGTGCAGCTGAACCAAGGACTTGAGGTCGCCAATCTTCAGGTAGGTCTCCGCAGCGTAGCCAGGGTTATCCAGCTTCTTGAAGAAGTGAGCACACAGCAGCAGCGGCTCCCGCTCGGCCCTGTCCAGCTTGCGGGCAATCTCGATGAGCCTGGAGCCGCAAGAGCGCAGGGAGGAGGTGGGCTCTGGGGAGGCAGCGGTGGGGGGAAGCCCCATGGCGTCTGGGTCTCCCCGAGGGCGGCTCTGCGCCCATCATGCAGACGGCCACCCCCACCCCCAGGCTCAGTATGGTGCCTCGGCCCCTGGCGCTCGACGCAAGGTTATTCATTGAGGGAGTACTTCACCCAGAAAGGCCGCCTGGTGAAGGACACCGTATCCCCCACTTCATGTGCCTTTCCCGGGAGTAACATCCCTGTCCAGCAAGCTCTGGGGGTAGCAGGCAATGTCTGCCGCTCACCTACGCGCATCAGCTCAGCGCCGTGAGCCTTCCCACGTGTGATCTCACTGGATCGTCTCTGCCCTCGGGGGGTGGTACTGTTATTCCCATTTCACAGATGAGGACACCAGAGGCCAGGGTGGAAGGTGGAGCCACCCAACCACGCCTCTGCAGCCGGGAAGTGGCCGAGTGCCCTCTCCAGCACCATTAGAGGAATTCTCGAAGGGGAGCAGGGGCGGGGGTGGGAGCAGCCTTCGGGGACCGGACCGCTGGAGGAAGGGCCAGGGCGCTAATGCTCTGAGTTCTGGAGGAGAGCCTCCGGGATCTGCGCCTCTTCTCCTGGCCACAGTGCTGACCGGGCCAGGGCGGGGGTGGGGGATGCCACGTGACCACCAGCTCACCCGGCCCCGCCACAGCTCACGGGCACATGGGGCTGCGTGGAGAGCACTTCTTCCCTCGGGAGAGGCCGGGCTTTGGAGCCAAAGCGGCTCTCCCGGGGGAGAGGGGTTCTATCTACCCAGCTCGTTCCTTGAGAAAGGATGGGGAAGCAGCTGTTAAAAGAGACATCTCAGAAATCGGCAAGCTCAGGGAGGCTTGTCAATCGCACTGAGAAGAATAATGGCTCTAAAAATACCACTTCTCAGCAGAGAGAGGACGCATTTTTAGGGAAAGCTGGTACAGGCAACGCCTTGGGAGCCCCCACCCCCGCCCTCCCCCCGTTAAACCTAATGTCCCCAGAGAAACGACAGAGCGTGCTTGATGTCTCTTCTGAAGGAGCTGAGTATCCCCGGGGTAACGTGATACATATCAGCTGCAAATGACGGTGAAGTGAAAAACTAGAGTGAGTGGGGGCCCTAAATCTGCCTGGCTCTCTCCTGTCCCATCCCTTTTCATGAAGAGAAAAACCTAGTGGGGGCAGGGGGTGGTATAGGCGAAATCTGCACCTCTATCTCCAAGAAACGCTACTCTGGGACAAGAGGACGATGGGGCAGTGGGTCACCCCCCCAGGGCCCTCTGTGAGGGACCACACCAGCCACGTAACTTAGTCGTCGACCAGCCCCTCTCCCTCCTGGGTCCCAGGCCACTACGGCCCAAGGACCACAGAGTGGTTTCCAGGGCAACCGAAAGCCTTCAGGGCGCAGGCCGAGACGACCCCAGGAGCTGCTCCCATACCTCTTCTGCCAGCTGCGGCAGCCTGCACGCGTGTACACGTGCACAGACACACACACGTCTTAGCACGAAGCCCACTCCTGACGGTGGGAGGAGAGAGGCCGCCCCATCCAAAAAGGGTCCCAAGACTGAGTCCATCCTCCGTCTGGCAGCTCCACCCGAAGCCCGCGCTTCAGTTCTCTGCCTCCGTCTATAGCATCGTCGACTGCCCGGCCAGAGCTGAGAGTCCAACTCCAGCTGCCCAGTCGGCCCCACCCTGACGCCACCGCCTCGGTTCCTGCCGGTTCAGCTCTCCCATGTCTTTCTCGTTCCCTCCGCCACCCCATGGCCCCCCCGGCCCACTGCGCTGGACGCCTACCTGGTCTCCCTTCCTCCAGTTTTCCCTCCATCCTACACCTTTGGTGGGAGCACAGCCCCAACCCAGGGTCCTACCCACCTACTGACAAGTCTAAACACCTCAGTTTGGCCCCCGAGGCCATGAGACCAGCCCGGAAGCCCCTGCAGCTGCCAGCATCCTCCCCGTCCCTCTCCTGGACCATCATCCAAAGGCGGCCGACCTGTCCTGTCTGTGCTGCTCCTCCCCCTGCACACCCTTCCCTTCCTGCGCCTCCGCCACTCGAAAAGTTGTCAAAGGCCCTTCAGGCGAAGACCGCCCCCTGGGAGAAGACAGCCACGGCTCCCCCCCAGGAGAATGCACGTCTCCTTCCCCAAGGTGCCTGGCATTGCTCCTGTTCCTCTCAGCACCAACCATCATACAGGCTACGGGCACTGCTCCACGACTGCCTGGCTGGCTGGCCCTGCGCGATCACTCGGTGCCTGAACCTCGGTTTCCTCATCTGAAGGGGGGCATGCAGACACTGACCCTGAGGGTGTCGGGGGAACCACATGCCCGCAAGCAGCTGCAGAGCCGCTCAGGCGGGGCTCAGGGAATGGCATCCCCAAAGCCTGGTGGCTCCCCCCTCACCCTCCCACCCCTTCCCCCGGGCCTTGCTGAGCAGCTCAAAGGCAGCGACTGCTGTATCTTCATCTCCCCCAAATCGAGTCACCGTCACCTATGATCAGATACTTAGAGAAACACTATGTTTTCCCTTGTCAGTCATAACCGAGCACTGAGGACGTGACACGCCGCCACCCACATGCCTCTCGGAGCCGAGGCTGGAAACCTACATGTCAACCCAGCCGTGGTCGCCGCTGATCTCGATGGCCTTGCGGTGCTCGCCCGCCGAGATGTACATCTCCACGGCAGCTTTGGGCTCATTGATGTTTCGAGCCCAGTCGGCCTGTTTGGTGATTAGCATCTTTGTTTCTTTGGGGTCTTCAGATCCAAGGAAATCCTGAGGAAGCACAACAAACAAAAACACTCCGGATTAGGACTTCCTGCTGCCAGCATGACGGCAGAGCTGCCGGAGGCTGCAGCGAGGGGGTGGCGGCCGGCAGCCAGGACGCCGGCGCGGGCCAGGCCCCGCGGGGCCGACGGGGGGACTGCCGGGGGCCGCCCCACAGGTGCTCCGGGTGGGGGCCAGGGCAGTGTCAAGGACGGCGGCCCTCGACGCTTCCTGCCCGTCCCGCTAACGGCCGCATGTCCTTCAGCTGGACAGTGCTTTCCGGACTCGGGGCATCACCGTGCAGACTCCACGGTGCAGGAGGCTCGCGGTCAAGGTGCTGTTTCTCCTTCACGCAGTTTGATGTACCTGTGACTTTACACAATTTCAGATACTCAGACCCAGTGGACCCTTTACCCAGAGAGTAAGGACGAGCCCCCTCCCCCCCCAACGCCTCAGAGTGAGGCTGAGGGTCCCCTGAACACAGACGGGATGCCTTCCAGAGTTCCCGGAGGGCCCCTCAGCCGCCGCCGCGCTGCAGGATGTCTGTTTCCTGACTCTGTTCACCTTCTGCCGCCCGAACTCGGGGCATGCTCCCCTCGGCTCTGCCCTGGCTGTTTGTCTGGTATGGAGCACAAGGGATTCTGGTCAACCACTTCTCAACTGGATGCTCAGAAACCAGGCCTGGGTTCGGGTCTGCGGGGGTGGGGACAACAGGAGGCCACGGGGATCTGAGGCAGAGGGAAGGGGCTTGCAGAGACCCCGTGAAGGAGAGAGAGGCCGGGGGACCTGGGGGGCTCGGGGCCTATGTTCCTTCGATCACAACAGGCCTCTGAGGGGCCAGGCCCAGCTTCCCTGGGTTTGGCCTGAGGATTCACGAGAAACAGCCTCAGAAGAGCACCTCTTCTCAGGATGTGGTTACCCAAAGTACCTGCATGGGGGCTGCCAGAGTGGAGGCAGCTTTGGTGCTGACAATTTTAAAGGTGGGGCTTGTCACAAAGGGAAATTGCAAGAGCTTAAGAGCACAGTCCCACGTGCCTCCTCAGCAGCGGTTTGTCTCGGGAATAAAGTGCCCTGCGGAGTCTGCGCTGTGCAGAACTCACAAAGCCTGAGAAAGCACGCCTTTCCCCTGTTTAGCACTCGCTTGTCAGGAAAGTACAGTCAGTGTACGCTGAAAACCCACTCGAACAATTAGCGTTCTCTTTTCTTTTTCCATTTGCTTTCAGGGTAATTGGGTAGCCTCTAAAATAACACATTAGATGGGCGAAAGATGAGCGATTCTTCTAAGGGGAGGACGGAGCTGAGGCGCCAATAACAGACAACTCGCCGCAGCTCAGGAGGGAAAGGGGCTGGGATGGTGGCCGCAGGTGCCGGAGACGCCTGGTTTGGGCCCTAAGGACACGGCCTTTACTCTCAGTAGCTACAGCGCTGACCCTTTATGCCAAAGCAAAGCCGGAAGCTCTGCTGACCTGGTTGGTTAAAGGAGGTGAGCGGCTGGAGAAAACAGGCATCATGAGAGAACAGAAATGTCCTTCAGAGTGAGGGCTCATGGACTGTGGTGTATCTGTGATGAGAAGGGCCAGAAGCCAAGGGCGAGCCAGGAGCTTGGCTGGTCGGTGAGGAGCCCAGCCAGGGACACAACTCACAGGCTTCGTGACGGAGCCTGCCCTAGCCCCTCAGCCCGGCTCCAGAAGCTCTGACCTAATTGAAGTTGAGTCTAAATGGTTCCTCTAACAAGACGGCTTTCCAAAGGTTCTTTGGTTCCATGGCGCTGATTTACACGTTATCTGGGGCCGTGGCAAAGGCTTTGTCCTGGAGTGGACAGAAAGAGGCCGTGCTGAGTGATGAATGAGACTAAACAGTGTTCTCATGCTCGGTGATTTTGATAAGGACATGCTACATGAGAGTTAAGAGCATTATAATTCCCTTTATCACCATATAAACATGTCACTTACCCGGAAAGCATACAATTTATTTGTACGTGGGAATGTAATTTAAAAATTTTCTGAAAACCAGATTGAATCTTGGGAAGCAATTTTCAAGTAAACAAAAACATACCACGTTAATAAGCACTGTATCCCACCCCGCCAGCCCCCGACATAATGTGTATGTACACATTTTCTCAAATTCAGACTATGGGTGGGGAGGGGGGGCTGAAATGGAACCAACCTACTTGGATCCTACTTGGAATTTTACCAAAGACTGAGACCAAAAACAACGCCCAGCGTATTTACCTTCGTGGAGAGGCAGACCAGATGGACCGTGTAAATGGCTGCCTTTCTGGGTGGGAGACCGTGGGCCCATGAAGCCCGTGGGAAGTGTGATGGGGGTGCCCCCGTGCAGGGGCAGGGCGGGGTGGGCAGCGGGCAACCACGCCGTGGTCCCGCCTGGCCTCACTCCTTCTCCCAACCTTGTTGAGCTGAGCTGGGTGAGGTCACCCTCCGAGAAGGAGATGGAGGCTGAGCAGAGTGAAGCGCCTTCCCCAGCTCACCCACAGGGAGGCCGGGCCTCACGCCCGCTCCCTGGACTGCAGTGCAAGGCACTGTCTCCGACGCCGCGGCTGCCCACCGGGGCTTCTCAGGGATTCCAGGAGGGGCGGCTGGCCCAGAAGAACCACCACAACCAGCCGATCCCAATGCCCACATTGTAGCCTCAGGGATTCGCTCCTTTACTTCCAGGTTCTATCCTTGCTTTAAATGTTATTATCCAAAAAAAAAAAAAAAAATGTTGTTATCCCCAGAAAGAGACACGCTGAGTTAGGTGTTCTCAGTGTGAGCGTGCTGTTACATTGTGTGTGTGCGTGTGTGTGTGTGTGTGCGCGTGCGCGTGCATGCGTGTGTGCGTGCGTGCTGGGGTCTGGAGGGAGTGGAGGGTACAAGAGTTGAAGAGGGCAAAATGGAGGCAGCTGAAGCAGCCAGACCTGAGGGGTGGAATGAAGGAATCACCGAGGAAGAGACGGGCTGGGGCCCGGCGCTGAGGACCTGCAAGTCGGGGGCTGCGTCACAGCGACACAGGTACCGCTGTTCCCCGGGGCCTCATAGAGGCGCCAAAGAAGAGCGCGCAGCTGTCCTCAGGAACAGAAGCACAGGCGGATGGCGCAGAGGGCTTTCCGTCTTGACCTTGCCAGATAATTACCATGAACAGCCTCTAACTGCTTGTGGCTGATGGCTCACTGAACATTCTGAGGCCATAAGGTTACCGGCAGACAGGGTAACAAGGGTACCTTCATGCTGAAGCTGAAGCTCCAACACTTTGGCCACCAGATGCGAAAAGCTGACTCTCTGGAAAAGACCCTGATGCTGGGAAAGGGAGGAGGAGAAGACCCTGATGCTACAAGGCAGGAAGAGAAGGGAGCGACAGAGGATGAGATGGTTGGATGGCAGCACCGACTCAACGGACTGACCAAACTCCAGGAGATGGTGAAGGACAGGGAAGCCTGGCATGCTGCCAAGTCCGTGGGGTCACAAAGAGTCGGACACGACTGAGCGACCAAGCAAGAAACCGTGGCAGGCAGACCTGGCTGCCCCAGGCGCCCACCATCCTTCCACCTGCGCTCGGCCCACCCGCAGGTATCCTGGGTGCCGCAGGGGGGCTCATTCCCACACAAGTCTTCAGGAGCTGCTCCGGAAGACCTGGCATGCCTTGAAAGGCCCAGGCCTGGAGATGAGGCTTACCAGGGCCTCCATGTGCAGAGGACGTCAGCCCTCCACCCCACACGGGCAACCGGGGTGGTGGGCTCGCACGTGGGCAGGGCCTCCATCGTGGCACCTCTGACACCCTGCACGAAGCCCGGCACTAACAGTACCCGGCACTCAGGAGGCCTTGGCCGGAGGGAACCATGCGGGCCCCCATGACAACAGCAGAGCTGGCTCAGGCCTGAGGACACGGACGCTCAGCGGCTTCTGACAGAGGCTGGAGGGAACTCGTGGGAGACAGAACCCCCAACCCTTACCAAGGGGACGCCGCTGGTTAGGACGCACCGTCCACCGGCTCTGGACCGCCACGCTCTGCCCCTTGTGACGTCAGCCTACAAGGCCGGCGGTAGGCCAGATCTGCCCAGTGGCTGCCAACGGTCCCCTGCTGACCAACCCGCCCACGCCCTCTCCGAGGCCTCGGCCATGGTCCGTCCCATGCCGCATCTGGGAAGACAGCCTGGAGGCGGCGGCGGTTACCTTGGCGTACTCGAACATGCGCAGGTCCGTGTACATGTCGAGCGCGAGGTTCTCGTGCCCGCTCCTCTTGTACAGTTTGGCGGCCTCGTGGAACTTCCCCTGGTAGGAAAACACATCTGCCAGAAACAGGTCATTGTTGGTCTCTCCCCGCTTCTTCCGCTCCTGGAAAAATTAGAAGCACAGGAAATGGTCTCCGCAGCCGTGGCAGGAAGCGCCCTTCACAAAGGTTCGCCGTGGCTATTTCCAGGTAAACCCCTGGGCCTTCCTACTGGAACCTATGCTTGGCTTCTGGGCTACTGGGCTCACCTTGGCTTCTGGTGGGAACGCCTGACAACAAAAGCAGATTTGTTTCTCCCCCCAGATGAAGGAAGATCAAAAGAGATGCAAAGTTGTTTGTGTAATGGAAATTCCTCACAGCGGCTTCCTCAAATACCCTTCCAAGGAAATGACTGCATGGTTAGGATGGGGTGTCCTGCCCACTCCTGGGGACCCCCAAGCTCCAAGAAATCCCAAACTCCCAGGCCTGGTTTGACTGGGCTGTGACTCATGATCATGGTGGACTGGGAGAGAAATTTTAGCGTTTCCTCCTGAGAAAAAGAATAGCAACATAGGATAATGAGTCTTACATCCCTTTCACTGCAGAGAAGGTGAGCGACGCTTGGGTGCTGAGCACCCACTAGACGTCGGGTACCCCTCAGCCAGGGTCACGCTGCCGGAAGCCCAGCCTCAGGAGAGGGGCAAGCAGGACAACACGGGGCTGGGATTGGACTTCGTCTGACTCCAGATGCCCTTTGCTCTACATAATCCTGCCTCTGGAGACCAGTGACCGTCCCCAAGGACACACCTGTCGAGTGCCTGCCCCGCGTGCACGCGTGATCGATGTGTACATGATCACACACACGCAGAGGCGCAGCAGCTGAGGCTGATGAGCGAGTGGGGCCCTCCTCCCGCCATGGTAGGGGACAGCCATTAGTCTGCAGCTCCTGCTATTTGTAAACACTTGGTGGCTCCCAATCTCCCATCCCCGGCAGTTTCCCTTTGCTTGTTTTCTAGCAAGTGCACCACAGAGGAGGAACACGAGACGCTGAATCAAACTCCTAGACAAGCTGGTGAAACTTACAACAGCTGGAGGCAACAAGCTTCCCCACTAACAGAAAAGAATTTATAAAAACCAAAAGGAAAACAAACCCAAACTATACATAGTTTACGCTAGTCAGCCAAATAAGCCGACTCCTAATAGTAGGAAATAAATTAAAATCTCGCAGTGAGATAAAGAAATAGGTTTTGCAGGGTGTGGAATTTAGGCCAAATCCGTTGCAGGCCCCAGAACCTCACTAGGATCAGAGCAAACGATTCTGCAGGCTTAGCGAGTAAGAATCGCATGGACAGACTCTCCCGCCTACTCTCAGCCCAGTGGCAGCTCACTGACCCAAGAGGTGCCCAGTAAGGAACCCGGGTTCTTTGAATAATGGCGAATGCCTAGAAGCAAGCCACTGAGGCCTCCAAGCAAACAAAACAGATCCTCGCTCAAAGGCCCTTTGCTCTTTTTTTCCCAGAGGTAGTTCTTCCAACTTTACTCTGCCCAGCTCAGCACACATCGGAAGACACTGCACATGTGATCTCAGGAAGACGTGATAAACGGCCAGACTTGGTCCTCACAGAGCCCAGTTACTTTTGCACACAGAAAAATGATGCACTGTGGCCTCGTCTTAAGATGCCTAGATCCAGACCGCTGACCTACAAACGCGGCCCCTGCTAGTCATAAGCAGTCCTGGCCACCATGGGTAGACGGCTCTGAACACCCCCTGCCCCATGCAGGTAGGGATGACACAGAAGACACGCTGGAGGAGGGTGGGGGTCTGCGGGGCAAGCTCCGGGAGCAGCTTCTTAGAAGGCGACACGGCCCAGACTAGAGACCGCAGGGGCCTGGAATACGGAACTGGCTTGAATTCCAACCTGGCCTTCTGCCTTGGGGACGCAGACACAGCCTCTCTGAGCCTTAGTTTTATTTCTCAAATAGGGATACGCAGAGCAGCTGCCTCGTGAAGCTGTTGTGAGGCTGTAAAATTGTGTACACGTGGCTCACGCGTGCGGCAGGGAGCAGGCACTCGACAAACGGCAGCGATCACCAGGCCGGGTCGGCGGTGAGCTCTGCAGGCCTCTCCTCCACGGGGCTCTCTGCCCACGGGGCGCGGCATGCAGCCTGGCCCGTGACATGGGTTTATGACGCTGACTGAGCCAGAGGAACGAGATATTTGCTGAATTCCTCGCAGCTTCCATATGTGAATTCAAATGTATCTCACATTCCCAGAGCCTCACAATAAATCTGTTCTGAAGCAGAAATACATACACCTTTTCACAGACAGACCGCATGAAGAGACACCGGGATGGAGAGCAGTCTCCCATCCCCCAGCAAACGGTGCAGGTGGAGCCAGCCTCCTGGGGCCCCCACCGCCCCCAGGGTGGCCGATGAGGAGGGCGGGCTATGGGGAGGGCTCAGTGTTCCGGGGATGCAGCCCTCCTCCCCAGGGCCTGTCCCAGGGGTGGGCACAGACCACGTGCATTTGGGAAATGCCGCCTTCACGGACACGTGTAGAGCCCTGGAGAGGGTGGTAACGAGCTAACAGGCACCGCGAGCATGGAATCCAGCTCCCGAGAACCTGTTTAATCAACCTGCGAGGTCGGTATCATCCTATTTCCCAGGGAAGAAACCTGAGCTCACACAGGCGAGGCGCCCACCTGGCTCACCCAGCTCCCAAGGGACAGTCTGGACTCCCGGGTCCCATGTGCCGGCCCCCTCCGCGTGGCGCCCTGCCCTCCCCCGGACACCCGTGGGCTCCTGCCACATGTCCTCCAGGCGCCTGCCCACAAACCCCTGACGGCGCGTGTGCGCTGCCCTGAGAAGGAAGAACACTTCATCCTTTACCTCAATGCTGCTGATGAGCTCTAAATAACGGAGGTCTTGTACTCTGGTGAAGGCCTACAGGGGAAGAAATGAAAGAAAATCAGCTGCCTTCTGGGCTTCAAAAGTGGGTGATTGGTTGGGGGCAGGAAGTCGAGCTTTAGAAAGTGAGCCAGTAAAAGGGGGGTAGGGGAAGAAGCGAGCACTGATTAATCACCCTGCGTTTGGGAGGGTTCTGCCACTCAGAGGTGGGGCTTTCTCCACGGGATTAGTCCATACAAAGGATGCATCACTCGCTTTGGGATTAGGTCAACAAAACCTGGATGGTGCAGTTGGCAGTGGGGCTGGCTTGGGGGATTCTCTATGCACAAGGGAGGACCAGGCACACAGAGCCTCTGAGGCAGCGATATGGGGGGGGGGGCAGGGACCGACCGAGGAGAGACCACACGTCCACCCTAGCGACTAGGACGGAGCGCGGGAGACAGCCGTGCCTTCCGCAGGGCACAAACACAGGGCGGCACTGAGGGAGGGGACGGGGGCAGAGCTGAGGAGGAACAAACACGGCTTCTGGAAGGAAGGGGGAGGCAGGCAATGAATCACTCCTCGTCCCTGGAAGCAAACTCTTACGTAAACCTGACAGGTGCAGCTTGCCGTGGACTCGCTGTAAAGCCAGAGATTTCAACCCATGGGCTACCAGAACACTCTAGGCAGCCTTCTGCAGGAGAATGGCTGTTGCTAAGCCTCTCTTGCGGCCTTCAGATCCCGCAAGGGCTGGAATGGAGCACAGCCCACCCATCAGGAGGCTCTTCATGGGCTTTTGCTGCCAGCATCCTCCCAGGCGTGCTCCTCTGTAGCATCCCATGGGAAATGGGCTGACACATGCCTGCAGGAGGCAGCAGATCCAGGAGCCTTAGAACCACTACCCTGGCCAACCGCTCTCTTTGCTTAGCTGCATGACACCCTCCATTCTAAAAGGCCGGGGAAGTGGGCAGGTTATCCGGCCTCCAGCTGCCTCACGGATGACCACAGAGTGACTTCATCTTTTTATCCTGCAGGGCCAGGCGTCCTGTCAGGGGCTGGAGACCCAGAGACCGCTACGACCTGGCCTGGGCTCCCTTCTGCAATTCCGGGGCCCGTATTCTAAAAGGGGAGGCAGGGAGGTGAAAGACACCACGAAGCCTGCCTGAGCCAAGAGCCATACACTTGCAAAACGGACGCCCTGGAGAAGGCAGGCTTACTGACTGGCAACCGGCAGTGGCGGGAGGCAGGACTCAGCAAAGCACTGAGGGGCAGGAAGCTGACAGATGGTGCCCCTGGAAAGGGGCAGGCATCACGTGAGCAAAGGGATGGGTGGCTCAAAACACCCGTCTCCACGCAGGCTCTCACAAGCCACCGTCCAGATCCCGGCTTCCGGAAGCAAGGCGACAGCAAAGTCCAGCCAAGCGGCAGGCGGGAAAGAAGGAGCCCTCGGGTCTCAGTCCTGGCTGGGGGCCTGAACCCGCCCTGGCCCCACCTCCAGGCTGCCAACAGCTTTCTCCAGACGGGGGCAAGGCAGCAGGTCCTCTCTGCGGGCCGTCTAGGTCTGCTCTGCTAGGATTCCAGGACTTGCCACCGTGAGAAGCCTGTCTCCCAGTTCCTTCAGCCCTGACACATTCTGCAGAGTCAGGGGTGCCCTGGTCGGAGCGGTCAGAGTCACAAGGCCCCGGGATAACCTCAGGCAGGGGGAGGTGTGGGAACAGGGCTCTTTTGAGGCCGCCGGCCGGCAGGCCAGGCAGCTCTCCTGCGCCACCTAGTGGAGGCGCTGGCCTATCACAGGGACCCACCCCGCACCCTCCAGCGCCTGGGACTCTTTGCAAAGCAGCAAATCGCAGCCTGGCGGTTCGGGATCTGGCTAAAATGGTCAAGTTCCAGAGTAGGGTTAAAATTCTGTGGGCTTCACAGAATAATCTCTATTCTCAGGGAGGGTTTGGGGGATACAACATGGGGAAGGAGGAATCTCAGGTGAGTTCCTGTCCAATCAAACATCTGCTGAGCTCCTAACGGTCTGGGGTACTGTGCTAAGTGGGCTTCCCAGGTTGCTCAGGGGTAAAGAACCCGCCTGCCAATGCAGGAAATGCGGGTTCAAGGGGGTTCGACCCCTCGGTCAGGAAGATCACTTGGAGAAGGAAATGGCAACCCACTCCAGTATTCTTGCCTGGAGAATTCCACAGACGGAGGAACCTAGCAGGCTACACTGCATGGGGTCGTAAAGAGTCAGACACGACTGAGCAACTGAACAATTGCGCTAGGCAGTGCTGGCTGAGTCTGGGAAGAAACTGATGCCTCACTCCTGGGCATAAGGAGCTGACGACCTCTACGGAAGACTTCTCACTGCAATCCAGGCTAAAAACAAACAAAACACCATCTAGGACTCCTGTGTCATCCTTCACCCCTCCTGGCATTTCCAGGGGGCTGCGGGGGGGTGGGGGGAGGGTTGGTAGTGGTAGAAACCCCTCCACGGACTCGCCTCCTCTGTCCTCTGAGTTCTCAAGAATCCCTAACAGCCCTCCCTCCTGTCACCACTTTTCTGACACTTAATAGATCTAAGATACAGATAATTACTACATCATGACAATCTTACTCGTTTTAATCATGGCCAGCGTTTGGCCAACCACTGCCAGTTTTAGAACCCCTTCTCCCAGGCGGGGGTGAAGCCTCAGGACAGCAGGTCACCCAGGCGTCAGGCGGTGTTCTCCCCGTCCTGCTGAGGGAGTGGGGGACGAGGCTCCCTGGGGCCTGCCAGCCCGAGCGGGCACAGTTGTGCCCAGCCAGGCTGCCCAGTCCCCAGCCAGCCTGAGCAGGCACTGCAGCCCCCAACCCGCCCAGCCAGCCCTGGCCCGATCTCCGTCCACTCTCTTCTCAGGGGCAGCAGCCCGGAGTACAGGCTGAGGACCTGGTCCATGGACTGTGGGAAGAAAAAGAGGGGAGGAGGAAGCGGGGGCACACGACTGGAAGCCACCCATTCCCCCGCCTCAGGCTCCAGACGAAAACCTGTCTCAGAGAAGTGGCCGGGTTTTTTCTAACGTGTGGAAAGGGGGCAAATGTCTTCAAGCATATCTGCAGTTATAACAGGCTCAGCCAGGCAACGCCGCTGTGAAGAGAGGCCATAAACCAGGCCAGGAAGGTGTCTGTCAAGTGACACTGGGTCAGAATCAGAGAACCCGACCATTTCATCCAGTGGGCCTAGGGGAGCGCCGAGAAGAACCGCACCGTGTAATAAATGGCCTGATACCGTAAGTGCTCTACCACCGCTGACCGCATGCCGACGCGGGGCAGGCGTTGGCTGGGCGCTGGGCACGGATGAGCGCTAACAAGGCTGATGGCAGGCGCTAGAGGATACCCCTCTGTGTCGGGCTTTATAGGTCCCTACAGTCTGTGAGAAGGGGGCCTGTGGTCACCCAGTTCAAACACGTGAGCAACCTCGGCAAGACTGTGAGCGGCTGAGGCTCGCCGTCAGAAGGCGGCTAAGCTGGGGCCCCGGCACAGGCCAGTCTGAGCCCACAGCCCAGGACAGCAGGCTTCGGCCTCTGCAAGGGGCCCCGGCTCGCGTGGACGGATGCTCACCTTCTTTGCTGTCTCAAACTCCAGTCCTTCCAGGGCTTCCATGGCCAGCTCGCGCCAGTCAGTGTCTGTCACGCCCAAGCAGGCGATCTGGTAGGCTTCTCGGAACATCTTCCTGTCCAGGTACTGGTACATTGGTGCGGACTGGAGGGTTCGGCAACAGAGAGAAGACTGCTCTCAGGGCAACGCGCAGAGTCAGAGGCACACGAAGCCTGACCCCACAGAGCTGGGCCGCAGGGACCCCCTGCACCCAGCTCAGGCCTGCCCCCGGCCCTGCTGACGGCCTTCCGTCCGGCCACTCTGTTCACAGTCATTGAACCATCGTGTTCACAGCACAAGCCTCCGCTCGCCTCCCCTCCACCCTCACTGGCTGCCCCCACCTCCAGGGTTGGGGGGGAAAGGGAGGCCTCATTACACGATGTCACCCTCACCTGGATTGCCTTTGTCCCCCTCATTCTTCGCCAAATACCTAAGTCAATTTGTTAGTCACTCAGTTGTGTCCAACTCTTTGCAACCCCATGGACTGTAGCCCGCCAGGCTCCTCTGTCCATGGAATTTCGCAGGCAAGAATCCTGGAGTAGGTTGCCATTCCCTTCTCCAGGGGATCTTCGTGATCCAGGGATCCAACCCAGGTCTCCTGCACTGCAGGCAGATTCTTTACCATCTGAGCCACCAGGGGAGCCCAAGTCACTTCACAGGCCCTGTTAAAATGTCACTTCTCCCAGAAGGGCCTCACTGACCCCTCAAGGAAAGGGGTCTTCTCCTTGTCCCGACCTCAGGTTCTATCTTAATTATCAGCCTGTGCCCTCAAGGCTTGCGCAACCCGAGTGTGGCAGCGGCGTTTGACTGACCTCCCCCAGCAGGCCCTCAGTCTCCGTCTCATGCCTGTTCACTCTGCTGAAGGAATGAACGACATTACCAAGAGGAAGAGGCCTGGGATGCCCTCCTATGAAGGCGGCCGAGAAACCTGCGGATCCCAAAAAAGGCTGCCCTCTCCTCATCCCTGGCACTGGGAACCTTTCTCCCATCCCTCGCCTGGGAAGGGCTGCCTTGCCCTGACACCTGTAAATAGTTCCTAACAACTTCTCTTTTTAGGTTTCCGAAGTGCTTTTGGAGTCCCACAGCCCTGGGTGGTAGGTGTTGTTGATGTTCGGTACCTCAGTAGAGTCAGACTCTTTGTGCTCCATGGACTGCAGCACGCCAGGATTCCCTGTCCTTCACTATCTCCTGGAGCTTGCTCAAACTCATATCCATTAAGTCAGTGATGCCATCCAACCACTTCATCCTCTGTCGACCCCTTCTCCTCTTGCCTTCAATCTTTCCCAGCATCAGGGTCTTTTCCAATGAGTTGGCTCTTCACATCAGGTGGTTAAAGTATTGGAGCTTCAGCATCAGTCCTTCCAATGAACATTCAGGATTGGTTTCCTTTAGTATTGACTGGTTGGATGTCCGTGCTGTCCAAGGGACTCTCAAGAGTCTTTTCCACAGTTTGAAAGCATCAGTTCTTTGGCGCTCAGGTGTTATTATCCCCTGACTACTGCCCAGAGACTGAGGCTCAAGTGACCTGTTAAGGACCCAGAAGTGGAGCGTGGAAGCCTGGGTGTTGGACTGGGGGCAGCCTGACCAGGTTCCATGCCCCTCTCCGCTTCATGTGCGTGTGTGTTCTCTTGCACATGAAAACAAGTGTAAACTGGGCCCTGGTGGCTTCCACAACAGAAGGCCCGTCGGTGGGCTGAGGCGCTGCCCCTGCCCAGGCCTCCCAGGCAGTGGACATCAATCAGCCAGCACTTCTGTGCTAATCACTCCCAAATGTGGAGCTGGAAGTGCTGTTTTCTCCATTTGGGGCATTTATCTTAGAAATTTCCTGGCCTGTTTTTTAGCTTTAGATTGAAGGAAACTGACAGCAAGATTGCTCTGACAGCAAGATTGCTTCTGAATGCTCACCTTTTCCGCCTGGCAGCCCCACCCAGCTCTCCTCCCTCCGAGGCTGGCAGCAGGGTGTGAAACCGGGAGTGGTCCAGCTAGAATCCTGGCCTGGCGAGGCCACATCCTAGCTGAGGGATTTGGGGTCAACGGATCAGCTTCTGTTTCCATGCCCTGCCCAGCCCACTGGCGACCAGCGCGTTAAGAATGGGAAGGTGCCAGGAGAAAGGTGCCTCCCTCCCGCGCCGCATTTCTTAGCACAGAACACACCTGCGGCTCCTCTCCGTCCTTCCAAGCCTTCCTGGGTTCAGATCAAGCGTCACCATCTCACAGAAGCCTCAGCAAACTCTCCGAGAACAAGGAGCTTTCCTTTCTAAATTCCTCTGGTGGACCACCTTTGTCCCAATTTAGTTGTTTTGTAGTGCTTGCTATTTAAAGATCGGGAATAATAATCATAGGAATTGGGCCAGACAAAATCTCAAAGATGGACGCATTGAGCTCCACTGCACAGAAGAGTGAGGCCCACAGAGGGAGAGAGGCTGCTCCAGGCCGGGGCTGGTTAGGGGGCAGGGTCAGAACTCAAAGCTGGTTGTCTCCCGTCAGGGGCCCCCCAGGTGGAGCCCCACGAGGGTGGGACAGGGACACAGATGAGCACGGAAGCCATGGCTGAGACACAGGCTGGCCTGGGAGGCGCCATCTGAGAACGGGTGCTTTAAAAGTATTCAAACCGAACAAATGCCCTCTGAGCTCTGCTCCATCTCACTGTCGCATTCCAAGCATGAAGTCACCGCCGCCCCAAGGAGCCGGCCCAACCCGGGGCTCGCCACTCTACTTGGCAGCCCTGACGAACCCGTTCTTGCACAAGATGATGTCAATTTCGAAAGGAAACCAGAAATCCCCAGAGCGGGCCTGCCGCTTTCTCCCTCGCCTCTAGGCCAAAACCACAGGCCGGCTGGAGGCAGGGGTGACAGATAAATCGCCTTTGTCTTGGGGCTGCCTCTCCTGCCCCCTGGCAGCTCTGAGCTGCTGCGTCAGCAGGACGGCCCTGGTGCAGCCCCGGGGGCCCTGGCTCCTGAATCTGCAGGGCTTGGCAGAGGCGCCCAGGGCTGCCCCTCCAGCTCCTCTGGGCCGGCCACAATCAGGGAGCAGTGAACTGTCCTTTATCTTCGAGGTCAGGGCGGCAGCGCTGGAGGAAAACTCGCGCTCAGCGCAGCCTGTCTGCTCGATGGAGGAAGGCTGAGTTTCTAGAGGCTGTGGGGCCAGGGCGCAGGCTGGGGGGCAGACGAGGGCTGCAGGGAAACGGTCCTGTGGGGTGGGGGGGCGGTTCTTGCCCCTCCTCCTGCCCCGATTCCACCCATCTCTCCCCTCCTTTCTTTGGCTTTCTTGTTTGCACTCTCCTCTTCCTCAGATCTGAATTCCACCACCATGTACTGAGTAACTGCCGTGTGTCAGGCTCTGTTCATTCCCGAAGCAGTGAGTAACAAGGGTCTCATCGTCAGGCTGGAGGGAGGAGCAGATCCCAGCCCCGCCCTGTACAAGAAGCAAGGGACCGTCCTAGTGGTCCAGTGCAGGGGCTGTGAGTCTGACCCCTGGCCGGGGGGACGAGGATGTCACACACCTCCTGGCACAGCAAAAAAAACACAGCCAGAGCAGGGAGTGTGAGTGAAGATGAGACGTCTGGAGGGGCGCAGACTGACAGAGCCCAGCCAAAGGGCGGTCTGGACACATGTCTACAAATCCTCCACGTGGGTGTGACCTTTGACCCAGCAATTTTCACTCTGAGGAATGTATACCAGTGAGCTCTAGTGCGACTGGTGCAAAGACCTGGCTGGGAAGATGCCCGCCACCTACAGGAGCAAAGAAGCTCTGAACGGCATGACTGTCCAACTGGCTGAGTGCATCCTGGACACTGTGCGACAGAACAGAAAGCAATCATCAGAAACAGGGGGGGGGGCTTCCCTGCTGGATCGGTGGTGAAGAATCCTCCTGCCAAGGCAGGAGACACGGGGTTCGATCCCCGACCTGGGAAGACCCCATGTGCCACAGAGCAACTAAGGCCGCGCGCCATGGCGACTGAGCCTGTCTGTGCTCTAGGGCCCAGGAGCCACGGCGGCTGGGCCCGCGCACCCTAGGGCCCATGCCCCGCGACACGAGGAGGCCCCAGAATGAGAAGCCCACAGACTGCCAACTAGAGAGCGGCCCCTGCTCTCCACAGCTCGAGAAAAGCCTGCGCGGTGACGAGGACCCGCACAGACAGAAAAAATTAAGTAGTTACATTAGAAACAGAAACCAATGGGGCGGCGGGAAGCCAGCATGGTTGTAGCGAAGGGCAGCCCAGCACTGGGCCTTGTGAGCTGGGAGTGCCGGTGCCGCACGGCTACCCAGGTGATAGATTTTGTACAGCGGTTCTGCAAACCGCTACCAGTGAGGTCACCTCAGCAAGCGGTTACAAAAGATGTCCATCTGACTTCCGCCGAGTACATGTGACCCTACAATCACCTCAGTATTCTAAATGCTAGAGAAGCATGTTTACTGATGTGGAGCCATATTTCCAGTAGATTGCTGGGTGGAAAAGCCCAACTACTAGGTGATGGCCAATAACGCCTACAAAGTGATGGGTCCGCAAACATGTAAAATTAGGTTAACTAGAAGACAGAGGTGAGGGGAGGTGATTAAAAGTCTCTCTCTCTCATTTAAAATCCGCATTCAGTGAAAATATGGCAAAGCTGAGGTTTCATCTACAGGAGCAATACTTAAGAGACAAAAATCACAAAACAGTATTTACAGTATGGTTCCACTTTTGCTTCAAAATGTTTACATAAAATCATATACTCAGAAGTGTGTATCATGCATCTATTATATATACATATAGAAATGGTCCAGGGGCATGTATTCTACAATATTTAAGATGACTCTCAGGAGGAGGCGTCCCTGGTGGCTCAGTAGTAAAGCATCTGCCTGCCAATGCAGGAGACATGGGTTCAATCCCTGGTTCAGGAAGATCCCAGATGCTGAGAAGCAACTAAGCCTGTGAACCCCAACTATTGAGCTTGTGGTCTAGAGCCTGGAAGCCGCAACCACTGAAGCCCAAATGCCCTGGAGCCCACGTTCTGCAACAAGAGAAGCCCCCGCGCCTCAGTTAGAGAGCAGCCCTCGCTCACCGCAACTAGAGAAGAGCTCACGCAGCCATGAAGGCCCAGAACAGCCAAAAATGAATAAGTAAATAAAAGAGTGATTCTCGGGATTTCCCTGGAAGTCCAGTGATTAGAGGGTTTCCCTGGTGGCTCAGCTGGTAAAGGATCCACCTGCAATGCAGGAGATCCTGGTTCAATCCCTGGGTTGGGAAGATACCTTGGAGAAGGGATAGGCTACCCACTCCAGTATTCTTGCCTGGGGAATCCCATGGACAGAGGAGCTTGGCGAGCTACGGTCCATGGGGTCACAGTAAGTAACAGTAAGTAACAAGGGTATCATCGACACAACTGAGCAGAGCACAGCAGCGATTAGGAGTCAGCGCTTTCACTGCTGGGGCCCGGGGTGGCTCCCTGGCTGGGGAACTAAGGCCTCACAAGTCGCATGCATGGCTTTCAGTGAAGCACGGTCTGCCACCAGACGACCGTCCTACCTCCCCTGTCCCTCCCGGGGAGGGGGTCAGAAAGCCATGGAGGCTCAGAGAGGCTGAGCTGCCTGCCCACAGACACGCAGGCTGCGAAGGGTGGAGATGGGTCTCAGGTCCAAGTCCAGAGCGCCTCCCGCCGGACTGCAGCTGCGGCTGCCACGCCCGTCTCTCCACCCTGTCTCCTCTCCACTCCCTCCCTGGCAGCCCCGGGCTCCTAGGCCCTGCCCTGGCTGGGGGCCGAAAGGCTGCCAGCTTACCTGTGGCACCTCCACGGCCGACATGGAGAAGACGTGGAGGCAGAAGATCTTGGAGCCGTTGTAGCCGACCACGAAGCCCTGCAGCTTCTGCTGGTGCACCGGGAAGGTGCTGGCCTTGATGTTGAGGTAGCCGCCGCCCGAGAAGCAGAGCATGTCCTCACACTGGGTGTTCCAGGCCACACTGTTGGCATTCGGCTCCTGCGGGCAAGGGACGGTGAGGGGATGGCTCCAGTCCTACACTCCGCCAGGGACTGGCTCCCTAAAGCCTGAATCACACTAAGCTGCTAACATGGGTTAGACGGAAGGTTGGGAGAGAAGGGATCAGACACAAAATGGAAAGCACAGAGGAGAGGCAAGCTCCTCTCTGCACTGCGTGTGCTGGAATTCTTCAGGTAAGCATCACTTCTGAAAAAATTATTATCCCCAAAGATTAATCATTACATAGGAAGTGAGAAAATCAGCAAAGTGGGATCTAGTTCTATTAAAGAATGAATAAACAAAGCTAGTCATGGAACAAGATTTAAAGGGATAGATCCCAAACAATTACCACTGATTGTTTGGGGGTAGCTGAGATTGTGGGTAATTTTTTATTTTCTACATTTTTTTGTTTGCCTCAAATTTCCTTTTGGTCATGAATGTCTATTGTTTTTTATAATAAGAAAGAGAACAGGGAGTTATTTTAAAAGTAGAAAATAATATATTGTCTCTGTGCTGACAATCCACACATGTAAAATCCTTCAAGCTAAGTTTCAACAGTACATGAACAAAGAACTTTAAAATGTACGAGCTGGACTTGGAAAAGGCAGAGGAAGCAAAGGTCAAATTGCCAACATCTGCTGGATCACAGAAAAGGCAGGAGAATTGCGGAAAAACATCTAATTCTGCTTCATGAACTATGCTAAAGCCTGTGGATCACAACAAACTGTAGAAAATTCTTAAAGAGACAGGAATACCAGACCACCTTACCTGTCCCCTGAGAAACCTGCATGCAGGTCAAGAAGCAACAGTTAGAACTGGACTTACAACAACAGACTGGTTCAAAATTGGGAAAGGACTGCATCAGGGCTCTATATTGTCACTTTGCTTATTTAACTCATATGCAGAGTACATCATACTAAAGGCCAGGCTGGATGAAGCACAAGCTGGAATCAAAACTGTTGAGACAAATATCAACAACCTCAGATATGCAGATGATACCACTCAAAAGGAAGAAAGTGAAGAGGAACTAAAGAGCCTTCTGATAAAGGTGAAAGAGGAGAGTGAAAAAGTCAGCTTAAAACTCAACATTCAAAAAACTAAGATCATGGCATCTGGTCCCATCACTTCATGGCAAATAGATGGGGAAACAATGGAAACAGTGAGAGATTTTGCTTTCTTGGGCTCCAAAATCACTGCAGATGGTGACTGCAGCCAAGAAATTAAACAACATTTGCTACTTGGAAGAAAAGCTATGACCAGCTTAGACAGCACATTAAAAAGCAGAGACATTATTTTGCCGACAAAGGTCCATCTAGTCAAAGCTATGGTTTCTCCAGTGGTCAAGTATGGATGTGAGAGTTGGACCATAAAGAAGGCTGAACACCAAAGAATTGATGCTTTCGAACTGTGCTGTTGGAGAAGACTCTTGAGAGTCCCTTGGAAAGCAGGGAGATCCAACCAGTCAATACTAAGTGAAATCAACCCTAAATATTCATTAGGAAGACTGAAGCTCCAATGCTTTGGCCATCTGATGCGAGAGCCAACTCACTGGAAAAAGACCCTGAGGCTGGATAGATTGAGGGCAGGAGGAAAAGGGGTCGACAGAGGATGAAATGGTTGGATGGCATCACTGAATCAAAGGACCTGAGTTTGAGCAAACTCCAAGAGATGGTGAAGGACAGGGAAGCCTGGCGTGCTGCAGTCCGTGGGATCACAGAGAGCTGGACATAACTTAGCAACTGAACAACTAAACTACAGTCACCCCAGGAGGCATCCCCGCCCTTCACTTCCCCTCAAAGTTTTCTGCTCAGCTCTGGAGCCCCAGGGACCAGTAGATGTTCATACCTTTCTGCTAGAACCTGTTATAATGACTGAGTTTATAATATAAAAACATTATAATGTTTATAGTGAACATGGATTGCTTTCATAATGAGCAAAAAACAATGTTAAGTGTTTTCCTTTGCAGGGGGCTGGGGCAGGAGAGGAAAAACAGATAGCTGAGAACATCAGTGTTTCCTGGCAACTTGGAGAATTACCTCCCCTGGCCTCCTGCAGAGCCCTCAGCAGGCTGGGAAGGACAGAGGCCCTTCCACTCCTGTTGAGGCTCAGCTGCAGATTCACAACTGGGGCCCTGCTAACCTAGTAACACCTCCAGCCGTGGGTATCGAGTCTGGGGAGAAGAGAGTAACGCTGAAGGCCCTCTTCTGTGCCAGGCACTGAGCTAGGTTCTATGGCACCTTGTTTAGCACCGCAGCAATTTGTGAGGGGGCAAGTACCAGTTTCATTTTAGAGGCAAAGAGCAATCGAGGCTCAGAGATGGTCACTGACTTGCTCGAGAGCGCACAGTAAGTGATGAAAGCGGGGGTGGAGGCAGGTGTGTCTGAAGATAAACCTTGTACTCTTTCTTTCCTCAAAACCACTCTGGCTCCGGTGATGGGGGCGAGTAGCTATGACGGGGTCGCCTCAGCCCAGCGGTAGCCAGGCATCCCCTTCCCAACCCGAGGCAGCACCCCTCTGCCGTGTTAATGCCGCTGCTGAGGACAGAGCGCCCCAATGAAGGGACCCCACTCTGCCCACCACGCAGGCAAAGCCGCAGCAGCTGAGGAAGCAGTCAGGGGAGGGTTCAGCTCTGCGCGCAACTCGCTTCAGGCAGATGGTCTTGACCACTTACAAAGCCCTCAAGAGGCAAAGCGCAGCGCCCAGTCCAGCAGAAAGCCAGCCAGCACTGGGCGCGGAGCCTGTGGGCCCTTTTCTCCGCTGACACTTCCTCCGGCCTAGGCGTTGTGTAAGCAGTGCCTATTCCCCCAAACACTCCACATCTGCCTGCTCCAGGGCATCCCTGTGAAATGGCTGAGGGAGGACTCCCCCCCACCGCCGCCCCTTTCAGGTGACAAAACTGGTCCTGTTCCCTGACTGTGTCTCAGGGCAATCGCAGATACAGCCGGGCCTCTGGTCCGTGAGAAGCAGACTTTTCTGCTTCTTCAGATGTACGCAGAGCCCACACGGGCCCCACTGCGACTTACTATTACTCATTTACTGCTCACAGTAATCTTATAAGAAAGGTATAACTTGCCCATCTTCCCAGTGTGGAAACCAACACCCACAGGGCTCACCCAGCTCCTACAGCTCGTATATGAGGGGCGGGCTGGGCCAGGGCTCTCAGACTCTGTGCTTCTGCACCTCCCTGCTCCCCCAGAGCCCCTCCTGCAGGGGCTGGGAAGCGAGGGGAGGGTCTCTAGCACTGCGGGGTCACCTGGAAGAGCAGCTCCTTGGTGTGGATGTCGTACACCAGGCACATGTCATTCTCGTCCACCACGGCCAACTTGTTGCGGGAGGCGCTCATGTCCAGGCAGCGCACGGCAGTGGCCTGCTTCAGCAGGATGATGGCGAAGAGATTGTCCACAAAGATCTTGAGGATCTGGCAAAATTTCAGAGGGGAAAGTGTGAGCAACCATGGCCACAACACCCTGGAACACCGGCAGGTTGCTGGAGCCCCATGTGCTCTCCAGGCACCATCACCACTAACTGTACCAGAGGCTCTGCGTGAGACGAGGAAAGGGACAGGGGGTTCCCCACAGGGGACCTGAGTGTGGTCCACAGAGGCTGCCTAAGTAAAGACAGACCCCGAGACACACCGGCTCACTCGAATGTCTGCTTGACTGGGGACAGTTAACAACATCACCCAAAATGAAGGATTAGAAGACAGCATAGAGCAAGAGCTGAGTCACAAACTCATACAGGAAAAGGCTCCTGTAAACAGTGACAGAATTCTGGTGTAACCACAGCAAGAAGAGGATGATGCTGATGATGATGAGGATGGTAAGGATGGTGAAGAAGATGGGGAGGATGGTGAGGAGGATGGGGAGGATGATGGTGAGGAGAAAGGTGAGGATGCTGGGGAAGATGATAGGAAGGATGACGGGAAAGATGGTTGAGGATGATGGGGAGGATGGTGAGGATGGAGAGGAGGATGGGGAGGAGAATGGGGAGGAGGATGGGGAAGATAGAGAGGAATATGGTGAAAATGGCAAGGATGATGGTGAGGACAACGGTGAGGATGATAGTGAGGGTGGTGAGGATAATGGTGAGGACGGTGAGTAGGGTGGTACAGATGATAGGATGGTGAGGATAATGGTGAGCAGGATGGTGAGGATGGTGAGGATGATGGGATGACAATGAGGATGGTGAGGATGATGCTGAGGAGGATGGTGAGGATGGTGAGGAGGATGGCAAGGATGATGGTGAATATGATGGTGAGGATGGTGAGGATGGGGAGGAGGATGGCGAGCAGGATGGTGAGGATGATAGTGAGGAGGATGGTGAGGATGATGGTGAGGATAGTGAGGATGATGGTAAGAATGGCAAGGTGAGGACAATGGTGAGGAGGATGGCGAGAAGGATAGTGAGGATGATGGTGATGATGGTGAAGATGCTAAGGATGATGGTGAGAATAGTGAGGATGACGGTGATGATGGTGAGGATGGAGAGGAGGATGGTGAGGATGATGGGGAGAATGGTGAGGATGATGGGGAGGATGGTGAGGATGATGGGGAGGATGGTGAGGATAGTGAGGAGGGTGAGGAGGATGGTGAGGATGGTGAGGAGGATGGTGAGGATGAGGATGTTAACAGCTACTATTTATTGACTGTGTTTGCCAGTCCTATGAAACATGGGCTGCGAAACATGTGGGTGAGCCATGTGGGATTCTCACTTATAAAATCTGAGCCTCAGAGAGGTGAAGGGACTTGCCCGGGATCACACAGCTCGTGAGCTGCTAAGCATGCACACGGCCCCAGGATCACCTGCCCACAGAGCCCAAGCTCTCCAGTCTTGCACTGGAAGTGACAGCTGAGAAGGAAGAAGCCAGCTCTCCTTCACTGTGGTGCTGACACTCTGCAGCCTCTGCTAGTCTCATCCCCTACGACTTTCAGCCCCAGGAAAGGCCTAAGAAGCCTCAGCCACAGCCATCTGCTAGACAGCTTGGCTCTCAGGCTTATGCGGTTATATTTTCCCTTTCATATTTCCATGTAACCCACTTAGAACTTTCTTCTTTTGCGCAAAGAATACACACACATGTCTGTTCAACTTTTTGTAACCTAGATTTTCCACCTCTATTTGAGCATAGGGCCCATTTTCCTTGAAACACCTGGTAACAGCCTGAGGACTAGCACCCTCTGAGATGCAAGCTAGAACACATTACTTGATCCATTCACTGCCCTAACAGGCATCTGATCTAAGCAATGAGCTGCGTCTCCCTCTCTGTGAAGACACTGAAACTGAATCTCCAACAAGTCTCCCACCTCCTGGGTGACCTTAAATCTGCGAAGCCTCCGTGGCAGCTCAGAGGCTGCTCTGCCAGAATGTGGCACGCTGAGTGGAGGCCACAGCAGCTGTGGCTTGACGCTGTCCCCATAAAACAGGATCCTGGGCTGCCCTCCAACGTGCCTGTGGGGCGAGGGGTGGGGGTGCGGCGGGGGGGGGCCCTCTTCTTGCCCCGGGAACCCACCTCGGGGTCACCACTAGTCTGGTTGCCCGTGTCTGCCTGCAGCTGACTGGCCTAATGGGAGATGCGAGGGCGCACTCACCTGTCCGTTCTTCAGGCCGACCAACAGACCCTCCCTTCCTGGGGGGCCGCCGATCACCTTAATGTAGCGAATGAGAGACTCCATCTGCCACTCCCGCTCCTTCACGCCACTGAAGGACAGGCACTGCAGCCGCCTCTCCTAGAAAACAAGCGCAGCTCCAGGGGGTCGCCAGCAGGACAGGCGTGCCCGGGTGCCCAAGGAGGTCTGCCTTTGCCTGCAGGGTGAAAACTACCTCCACACTCGGTACCCACTGAACCCCATCTAGGCCCTGTGCCTGGCAGCTTCACACAAGCCTTCCCCGCGGAGCCCAGCCCAGCCTCCATCTTCAACAGAGCCCCGGCAGCCACAGCCAGGGGCAGCACCGAAGCACATCTCCAACCCGTGGCACCCCTACCCTTGGGCTTTCCAGGTGGCTCAGTGGCAAAGAGTCCACCTGCGACACAACAGACGCGGGTTCCATCCCCGGGTCGGGAAGATCCCCCGGAGGAGGGCACGACCACCCACTCCAGCATTCTCGCCTGCACGGCCCCTTTGGATAGAGGGGCTTGGTGGGCAACAGGTTGTGGGGTCACAGAGTCAGATGTGACTTGGTGACTAAATAACAACAACAACCCCTCAACTGCTTTAATTCAAGATTTTTAGAGAGATTTTTTAATAATTATCTTACATATGTGATTCCTAAAGGATTCCTTTCATTTTATCACTTTCAATAGAAGTAGTTTTGCAAAACCAAATCCACCTCTACTTCCAGGAAAGAGGCTGGGCTGGCCTTCTCTTACTGTCTTCCCAAACCTTCCTGGCATCAACCTAGACATCTTCTAGGAAGCCCTAAGTCGACAAATCTTGTTTTGTCAAAAAAATTCTCAGGAAGTAAAAACTTCCTTTACTCTTTTGAGTTGATATCATAAATTTTTTTGTTGTTTCACTGAAAGTGAGCATAAATTTCTGCGTGTATACGTTTACCAAAACGACATTGATCTTCGTTTTGTGGGATATCAATGTATGCTTCAAGTCATTAAAATATATACAATTCCCAGTTCAACAAAGTGCTTTGTGCAATAGAAAAATGTATTTTTCAGTTTTTCTGTTTTTGGCCTCAAGTCTTGTAGGATCTCAGTTCCCCTCCCTGGAATTGAACCTGGGCCCTCAGCAGCGAGAGTGCAGAGTCCTAACCACTGCACCAACAGGACTCATTTCAGTCGTGTCCGACTCTGCAACCCCGTGGACTGTAGTCTGCCAGGCTCCTCTGTCTGTGGGATTTTCCAGAAAAGATTACTGGAGTGGGTTGCCATTTCCTTCACCAAGAGATCTTCCCGACCCAGGGATCGAACCCGTGTCTCTTACATGTGTCTCTTGCATGGGCAGGCGGGTTCTTTACCACTAGCACCACCTGGGAAGACCAACAGGGTAGTCCCCGTGTTCTCCAGTTTACGGCCCATGGTTTTCTGGTAGGGTCTGACCTGTCCAGATGCCAATAAGCATGAAAGCAACAGCCACTGAGCTTGATGGATAAGGGCTTTCTTCTAGCAACCAGCTCTAGAGCCGGGGAGGCGGGTGCCCCGCTCCCGGCGGGAGGATGAAGCGGATGCAGCCCGCCCCCCGTGCCACTGCCGCCCACCTGACAGAGGATGATGTGGCTGGCACACACCACCAGGAGGTTGCACTCGAACTTCCTGGCAATCTTCTCCTTCACCCGGTAGCGCATGTCCAGCGAGTCCTCAGAGTACAGCTCGTAGACAAGGATCTTTTCAGGCAGCTGGATCGCTAATCGATTCTTGTAGATGGCAATTTTCTTGACAAGTTCTTTGCATTTAATCCGAACTGTCAAAGAGGAGGAAAAAAAAAAACCAACCAGCTCGAACAAGAGGCTATTAGGTAAGGGAGAAGGCAGAGAAATTAAAAGCCATCATTTACTTAATGCTAGTGGCAATTAAAGGAGACACACTCATCAAAAAACCTTTACAGAGTGTCTAATACGCAATCAACTCTGCTAAACACTGAGTTGCATACAATCTTTGTGGCCCCGAGCTTACATCTGAGTCTGCAAAGTAAAAGTCTTTGTGCTACCATCGCTTGCTGAAGATAAATCTCCTCTGAATGGCACTAATAGCCCCTGATGATCAGGAACACGTCTGGGTAACTGCCCACAGCTCTGGACACTCGCCACCCAGCACTCTTGCCAACAGGGAGCCGAAGGCAGTCTCTGGCACACACCAGGGTCTCACACTCGCGCTAGAGGTGGAGAAAGCCCCTCAGCAAGGACAGCGGGGAAGCGCCCGGCCGGGTGCGCCCTCAACATCTCAGGTGGAGTCTTCAATCAGAGGTGCTCCCAGGCAGGGGACCAGAGGATGCCACCTGACTCTGCAAGACACCCCTCGACCTGGACCCCCACACACAGGCCCCCGCAGTGCGCTGTGGCCAGGACACCTGCAAACAAATGCCCTTGAAATAAGCAGGTTCTCAGCCCACTGAACCAGCATGGCCACTTGAGTGGACAGAGGAAGGGACTGGCTACCCGCGGCCTGGAACCCTGGCCTTCTGACCAAGCCCGTGCAACCCACTGCCTCCTTCTCTCTGAGGGGAGCACCCGCTAGGAGGTGAGTGGTCACAGAGCCGGGGAGAAGCACCCCAGAAGGGACTGTGATTGGAGAGGACACAGGTCCGCAGAACCCATGCAGGCCCCCCAGCGCCCGGCTCTGACTTGTTATATGCTGCCCTCCCTTAGCCAGGCAGTCCACTTCCCCTTAGTATTAGCTGCAATTTTTTTTTTTTTTTGGGAGAGAGGGTTTACTGCTTCAAAGACATCTATATCCTCTCCACGCTCCCACCACACAAAAGAGCAAGACCCAGAGGTCCAACATGTGTCCAGAACACCGAGGAGCAACATGCCCCACCGTCCCATGTGCCCTGTGAGCAGCCGTGTCCACCTGCCCTCTTCCCAGCATCTGGGGGCAGAGGGGCCGCAGCTGACACGCACCTTTCTGCTCGGTGATCAGGTGCTGCACGATGACATCCGTCATGCTATCCCTGTAGGCGTAGCGGTCCTTGTAGAGCCCGTGGACTGTGCTGAAAATCAGCTGGTAGAAGGAAACGGTGCCATCCTGGCAGCCCACCACCTGCGGAGAGCGGGCGTGTCAGTTCTCAGCCTGCTGTGGAGACAGGCCGTACCCACCTGCCCGTCAGGAACAAACGTCAGCGATTTCACTGGCTAAGCACGGCCGACGTTCGGTGCCCCAACCAACCAACTCCCGCTTCTTACCACGTAGTTGGAGTCGGGCTTCACTTTACACGTCCACACCCAGGAGGTCTGCTCCCCAATGGCCCCGAGCCGCACGCCGTCCTTGGTGAAAAGGGACGCTTGCTTGTCTGACCCCCCCAGCAAAATGTACTCCCCTTTAGTAAAGTAGCTGATGCAGCAGGGGTCGAAGTTCAGGGAGTGGTCCTTCCCGATCTGAACAAAGAGAACACACCAAGGCAGATCCACGCTGAGTTCAAGATCACTGCAGCACGGCCAAGGGCTTTCCCCTCCGTCCTTTACACGGGAGCTGGGGAGGCTGGGGAGAGCTGGCCAGCATTCTTCCGGGTGTGAGCGGTGCCATCAGGGATACAGCCCGGCCCTCTACAACACCCCTCCCCCCTCCACACCGACAACCCCGCCAGGGCCTCCCCGAGCCCACCCGACGGCCCCAGGGCTGTGGCGCCAATCCATACCCCAGGTGGTCTTTCTGCCACTAGGCCTCCCCCTCTGCTCACAGCCCTTGCGTGGCTTCAGGATTTCCCTCAATCCTGACGGAAATTTCTTTTTCTTCTGGCTTCTCTTTTCCTTCCCTCCTTCTTTCCTTTTTTAGTACTTCACAAAACTAAGTCCATTCTTTTTCGACAATTGTTCTTTATTCTGAAACTACACTCATCCTATTTCTCTCTAGAACAACCTTATTGAGGTATTTCACACACCATACAATGCACCCATGTCAAGTGTACGCTTCATTAACTTTTAATACATCTGGAGTTGTATAACCATCATCACTAATTCCAACACCCCAAAAAGAAGCCCTGTACCTGTTAGCAGTCAATCCCCTTTCCCCTCTCTTTCCACCCCCTGGCAACCACGAATCTACTTGCTGTCTATAGATCTGCCCATGTTGGACATTTCACATAAATGCAAACACAGACCGTGTGGCCTTTTGTGACTGCTTCACCCTTGCTGCAGTATGCATCAGTACTTCATTCCTTTTCACTGCTGAGGAATATTCCACTGTATGGGTATTCCCCATTTTATTTTTCCATGCATCAGTTTATGGACATTTTGGTTCTTTCTATTTCTGGCTATTATGAAAAATGCTGATACGAATACTTGCATGCAAATTTTTGTGCAGATATATGTTTTCATCTTTCTTAGATATGGATACCTAGTAGAGTTGCTGGGTCATATAGTAACTTAGCATTTAACCTTTTAGTAACTACTTAAAAAGAGGTTGGGTATACCATTTTATATTCCTGTCAGTAGTACACAAGGGTTCCAATTTCTCCATCCTACTGGGTGTGAAGTGCATTTTCCTGGTAGCTAATGATGTTGAACATCTTTTCATTTGCTTATTTGGCCACATGTATTTCTTGTTTGAAAAAATGTCCATTCAGATCCCTTTTCCATTTTTTAATTAAGTTGTCTTTTTATTATTGACTTGTAAGAGCTTTTTACTCCTTGGAAGACAAGCTATGACAATCCTAGACAGCATATTAAAAAGCAGAGACATTATTTTGCTAACAAAGCTTCATCTAGTCAAAGCTATGGTTTTCCCAGTAGTCATGTATGGATGTGAGAGTTGGACTATAAAAAAAGCTGAGCACTGAAGAATCGAAGCTTTTGAACTGTGGTGTTGGAGAAGACTCTTGACAGTCCCCTGGACTGCAAGGAGATCCAACCAGTCCATCCTAAAGGAAATCAGTCCTGAATATGCATTGGAAGGATGGATGAGGAAGCTGAATCTCCAATACTCTGGCCACCTAATGCAAAGAACTGACTCATTTGAAAAGACCCTGATGCTGGGAAAGACTGAAGGCAGGAGGAGAAGGGGACGACAGAGGATGAGATGTTGGATGGCATCACTGACAAAGGACATGCGTTTGAGCAAGCTCCAGGAGCTGGTGATGGACAGGGAAGCCTGGTGTGCTGCAGTCCATGGAGTCACAAAGAGTCATACACGACAGCAACTGAACTGAAGAGTTTTTTCACATATTTAAGATGCAAGTCCCTTATCAGATAAACGACTTGAAAACTTTCTCTCCCACTCCGTGTGCTGTCTCGTCACTGCTGACGGCGCCGCCTCTCCTTTTAGGGTGAAGGTCACACTCCTGAGCTTGTTTCCCAAGATCCTTCTCTGTCGAAATAAGCCTCTCACAGTTTCCTAAGTGGCCCACACTCTTTCAAACCTCCATGCCATTCTCCACAGCACCCCAGCACTAGACAAGGGTGTCCTTTCCCCCTTCTTCTCCGCCAGGTGTCATCTCTTCCAGGACACATCCTCATGTCTCCCTGCCCACCCAAGGCCTGAAGGGCTAGCCTAGCAGCCGCTCATAAATGTGGAGTAAATAAAGCAAATACAGGTAGGCAGGGTCACGACTAAGACAAAGACTTTATAGACCAAGCTGCATTTCAGTTCTACCATTTACTGGCAGTGCAGGACCTTGGGCATAATATTTATTCCACTGCCCTGAGACTTGTTTGCTCATATCTAAAAAGCAGACCATCAGACTTTCCTGACTGTCCAGTGGTTCAGACTCCGCACTTCCCCTGCAGAGGGCGTGGATTTTATCCCTAGAAGAGGACGTTCCACATGCCTTCAGTGTGGCTCAATAAATGTGAAAAGTTGATCATCAGAGTACTTACTTTGCAAAGTTTTGTAAGAATTAAAAGAGATAAAGAATGCACAGCACTGAGCACAGAACGTGGTATCACAGTAAATGCTCAGTGAACAGGAGCCAACACAAATGATGAACAGTTACTAATAATGCAATCTCCAAATGTGAAACAGACTAAAACCAACAGGCGTGACCAAACCGGTACCTCCCCCAGGCTGGCACAGACCCGCATACCTGTTTTCCACTCAGCTGGTAGAAGGAAAGCTTCTGTCCCCAGTCAGCTACAGCCAGGATGTCATTACGTTCCTCTCTAATCAACAGAAGACAAAAGAGGTTACGTGGGGCCAAGGCCTGCTGGTGAGTGTGGCCCGAAGAGTTTAACAAACAACAGGAAAGAGAAAGCCCTGGTCAGGCGGTCAGATTGCCAAGTGCTGGACAGGAAGACAGAGGCCAGAAGGTTGTGACGTGGGCCTACCCATCAACCGGGTCCAGTGGGAAGGGGAAGGTGAAGTCAGCCCTCCCAGGATCTGTATCTCAACAGGATGCCCTACCATGCGGGTGCTCATGGTGCGGGGTCATTGCCACCGTGAAGAGGTGAGACCCCTGGTTTCACAGCTTCCTGGAAGCAGAGCTAACATAGCGAGGTTGGAGATCCGAGAGTGCTTTCTCTTACACACTACACAAGGTGGGGAGGGGTGGAGAGACGTGTCTTCGACGGTGGGAAGGCATGGATCATCTGATTCTTTTTTTAATGGACAGAGGGGAACCTTGCTTGTTCTTCCTCAAGAGGAAACTAACACCCAATGCTCAGTTCCCTCGCAGTTGGGGTTCTTGCGCAGGTGGAATGGTTTCCGATTGGACCTAGCAGGAAAGAAAGGTGGCTTGCCACGACCAGCCACTGTCTCTGAAACTGACCGCCCACTGGCATCAGCGTTCTGGAATTGCGGCTGCAGGAGCCGCACAGGAGAAACCTCCTCGGCGGATCGGGCTCCTCAGGAGTCGCGTTCGAGAGAGAGGTTCCCAGCCCTCGGGCGCTGGCCTGAACCCACCGAACGTTGCTACTTCTTCATTAACTCCCGAGTTTTGAGCCCAGGGCCTTGGGGTCATCTGACAGCACCATGAGACACTCAGGCAAAGCACGGCGCAGCCCTATGAGCAAACCCCGGGCAAGGGTGACAAGATGGCAACTCGCACGGGCACGAGTCGAGAACCAAGGGGACAAAGACGACGATGGAGGGGGGCGGAAGGGACCCACAGGTGAACTCCGTGTGATCAGCACTGACATCCAAACACGACCCAGGGGCCCAGGCCGCGGCGAGCCCTCTTGGGGAGACCTCATACAGCTCTGGGTCGGGTTCAGCCTCCATGAGCTGGATGGGTGGTTTCCAACCTCCTTTCTCCCCTTTTTACCACCCCACCCCCCCGCCACAAACCCTGGGCAATGGGACTCTTTACCAAAACAAAAATTTGTGTTAGTAACTAAAGGGTCTGCTCTGGTTGAACACAGGCTGGGACGTGAAGCCCACCCTCTCCTCCCTTCCTGGCCCCCCATCTCCCACCTTCTTTTCCCAAGGAAGTTCAGGCACCACAGAACGGTTTGGATGAAGTGATCGAGCTTAGGACTTGTCAATTAGAATGTCCTGGCTCCCACAGCACAGCCTGCAGTGGTTTCCCTAGAAGTAATCTGGGCTGAAGAGGAGGACGGCTGGACAGCGAGGATTTGACATGAGGACTGCGGGTAAGATGGGGGAGCTCCTCTCCGATGCGTGTCCTAGCAAATGCAAGGTGAGATGCGGTGTGGGAGCAGGCTGAGAGGTGTCCAGTAAGAGGGGAGGTGTCTGATGAACTACGGTACAGCCAGGCCAGGGCACACGCGGCAGGCGCTCAATGTCATGTTTTTCAAAGGAGCCCTAAATGTTACTGTAAAGAGTTCACTCTGTGATGCTAAGTGGACAAAAAGGGAGTAGGATATGGTTTGGTTCATAGTATGAATGCGCTAAAAGACTGAGGGGAAATACACTTAAGATGCCAACCGTGGTTTCCACTGGGGATAGGGTTTTACAGAAAAGTTGAACTTTCTCCTTTGGACTTTTCAGTGTTTGCCAGAGTTCCTCTAAGAAGAGTCTTATGACCCACACACGAGCTTCAGGGGAGTGCTCCCCGCAGCGGGAGGAGCCTGCACCAACAACGCCCCTGGGTCTCTTTGGGAAGGGAGCCTGGCCGGCCGAGGCTGGCAGCAGGCCCTTCTGGGATGGGCTCCGGCTCCTCGGGACACACTCACAGGCTGTCGTCCCCGGCACTGTCGTCCTCTTCGTCGGGCTCGTCCTCCTCTGCCTCACTACCCTGACTACTGTACACTGCGGACTTCAGAGTGGAAGGGATTTCCTTAAAGTATCTGCTGACAGTGACTTCCTCTGCATCCTCGATCTCTATGTTCATCCAGAAATTCTCCCATCGGCTGCAGACGGTAAGGGGTTGTTCAATCGCATTGCCTAGAACTGCACTAGGGCTATTAATTTCAAGGCCTGTCAAGGAGCCCCTGCCCCCTGCCCGGAAGAGGACAGCGACCAGGTACACCAGGCATCCTGCGTCTCATGAATTAAAAATGGGCCCCCGAAGCCACAGAGTCATCTGTGGCCGCAAAAAGCAAACAGCAGGAACTCTGGGGTAGGCTAATGGGCTCTGAAGCCATCAGACATGCATGCCACAGCCCTGGGCTGGACCAAATTATTCAAGAAGAAGCATAATCATCTGATGTCAGAAAGGCCGTGAGATTAAACAGCCTTCTAAATCAAGTAGGTCCCACCTTTAAAATGACATTGGGCTGGTAAACAATTAAGTCCTTTACCTTCAGAGGACTCTGTGGGGAATAGTGGTGGCTTAATAATGTTACAGGATTATACAAGGAGATCTAAAGCTATTAGGCCCCCATCAAAGTCACGAGCATAGTAAAGAAAATGTGCATAAGGTTGGAGAAGGTAGATGCCACTTGTTTGTGGAACTGTAGGCTTTGGGGATATTTATACTTAATACTGACATTTGGGGGGCCAAGGGCAGCAAAAAATGCTCATGAAAAGGCAAAAAGGGCTCATGAAAAAGCACATGTTCTGTTCGGACTTGGAGAGAAGCACTGAAAAGGGGAAAAGACCAAAATAAAGCCACGGCACAGAGGTGAGCTACCAATTCATACGGAGTGGCTCTCCTGTGTCACATGCATACACACTCTCTCTGTCACACACACACGCTGGGCTGGCCTAGATAGCTCATCTGCTCAGCTACATTTCTGGGATGCATTCCAAAACTCAAGATGGGCTTTTTAAAAATGCCATTCAAATGGAACAGGTTCCAAAACGGATCCGTCACATGGGCTGAGAAGCCTTTGAATCAGGGAGCCTTCGTGAGGAGAGAAAGAACCCAGCATGCTGAGGAAGGGCTTCCTAGGGCTCCTGACTGAGGAGCAGGAGGGTGGAGGAGGGCGGCGGGGCGGTCACCTGGACGGGTTCCAGCAGATGGACCAGATGGGGGCGAGGGAGCCCCCCGGCCGCTCGATCTTCACCTTCTCCTCGCCGCTCTTGTTGCGGATGCTGACGACCCCGTTGAACATCCCCAGGGCCAGGTACTGCCCGTCGTTGGTCCAGCTGTTCAGACAACCGCCAGAGGGCATGGGGCGGGGAAAGGGAACAGGCAGGTAAAAGCAGTGAGGGTGGGGCCCAGCTTCAGACCGCCTGTTGAGGCAGCCACGGCCCGATGCACCTGGGCCCTGATGTAACGCTCAGGGGGCCACACTTCAAGTCCCACTGCTTCCCAGCGCGGAGGGCAAGACATGAAGGCGGGAACACCTTCCTCTGGGCACCCACGGTCTCTGTCGGCGCCGCCACAAGGGCCCTGAGCTCCGCCTGCACTGCTGGCGGGGCCCGCCTACTCCCTGCTCTCCGTGTCAGCCTCCTCCCACCTCCAGAGCCCCCTGAGCACAGGACCTGCATCTCGGTCACTGCCAGTCTCCCGGACAGGTGCCTGCCAGCTGCTGAACAAAAGGAAGGCTGCGCTGAGAAGCCGCTCGGCAAGCACAGCCACCCTTTGGGAACATCTACCATCTGCAGGAGCCACTTGCTTTCAACTCACTACTTCATGTGCATTTCACAACAGCCCCATCAAGACGGTATCTTTTTTTTTCCTTACATACAAAATGGAAATATATTTGTCATTTTTCTATCTTTTACAAACAACTGATTCTTCTCCTTCATTAAAAACCTCCACTCTGTTCTAAAATGAGAATATCCTGATGCTTGGAAAAAGCACTTATTATAGCTTAAAATTAAAAATGTGAGTGAATGACTCCATATATTGAAGTGTTACATGTTACTGCAAACATCGAATTTCTTTTTATTTTTTTGTTTTCTTTCCTTTTCATCATCTTAATTCCCATGTATCAAATGAGGAACCTCCTGAGGTCACAGAGCCCGCCAGCTGCTGAACCTGGGTCTGAGTCCAGGTCTAACGGCAAAGCCTGTGCCTCCTCCAGCGCTGTGCCACCTAGACAAGGCCAGCCTCGCGCCCCCAGAGTCCGCCCTGCACAAAGCCTGGGGCAGGGGCCCCTGCTGCTGGACAGCCGCCCAGAAGCCACCTGCAGCGCTCTTTCGCTCCACAATCAAAGGCGGGCCCTCCCCATCAAGGAGAGCGCGAGAGAAGAGGGGAAGCGCGGCCCAGACCAACTAGGAAGCGTAAGGCCCTCTCCACCGTGTGCACTAACACACTCTGGGTCTGCCTGGAGGGCAGGGGAACAGAAGGCCGCCCTGGAGCTGCCCCTCACTCACCTGCAGCAGGTGACCTTGCCGCTGGACTTGTGCTTGGAGACAGACTTCTGCTCAGGGGACCATAAGCCTTCAGTGCGAGATAAGACGAGAGATGGGTTGGACTATTGCTGTTGTTCGGTCACTAAGTTGTGTCCAGTTCTTTGTGACCCCACGGACTCCAGCAGACCAGGCCTCCCTGTCCCTCACCATCTCCCAAAGTTTGCCCAAGTTCATGTCCCTTGCATCGGTGGTTGGAATATTACTCAGCAACCAAGAGGAACAAGCTGCTGACACACTACAACTCAGATGGATCTCTAGGGTTTCATGCTGAGTTTAAAAAGTCAATCTCAAAAGGTCATATGCTGTATGAGCCCATCTCACATAGAGAATAACACATTCATGGTTACCAGGCACAAAGCGTTAGCTATAATAGGAGATGGGAAAGAAAGTGTTAGCTATGTTCAACTCTTTGCAACCCCCTGGATTGTAGCCCACCAGGCTCCTCTGTCCATGGAATTTTCCAGGTAAAAGTACTGGAGTGGGTTGCCATTTCCTCCTTCAGGGGATCTTCCTGACCCAGGGATCGAACCCAAGTCTCCTGTGTCTCCTGCATTGGCAGGCGGGTTCTTTGCCACTAGCACCACCTGGGAAGCCCACAGGAGATGGGGAAGCTGATGATAAAGGAGCATCTTTGCGGTGATGGTCACTGACACAGGTGATGACAAGACTCATCTATACACACACACTGTGCCAGCCCAGCCTCCTGATTGTGATCTTGTACGACAGTTACATAAGACGTATCCACGGCGGAGAGAGGAGGAAGGGCACCTGAGACCTCTCTACTATCTCTGCAGCTCACTGTGAGTCTATAACTACTTCAAAAGAAAAAAAGAGAGGAAGAGACATCGGTGAATCTCTAGCCAACCTTTAACTCAAAGGAATGGCAACTTTCATAGTTATTACACTGTAACCAGGATACAACTTAGAGGTCAAAGCAAGGAATGAAGCCTCCTAAAAATCCAGCCTCCGCTCCTAGGCTTTCCGGGCTGTGCCCTGTCCCCGGACACTGGTTGCCTTTGGACTTGCTCCCTCCTGCCACTGACTCAGTGCTGCACAACAGGTCTATGTCTGGGCAACACCACCAAATTCTGCTCTGGGTCTGGGCCACGCAGCATGGCCAAGAAGGAAAATCTAGGGCAGAAATACATTTGCAGAGCAAGATGCAACATCCAACAATTTGCCTCCCTGGTCTCCGGCACTGGAAGGCCTCCTCCAGCATTTCCGCCTGTGCTCGAGCCGTCTCCCCTCCACCGCACCCTCCGGGGCCTCTCGGGAGTGCTGTCCAGAGCAGGCGCTAGATGCAGTCACGTGGCCTGGGTCCATCCCATACCAGCGGGGCGACCTCAGGCACGTCCCTGGACCGCCCCGAGCCCCAGTTGCGTTTCATCGGCACAGCCAGAATGAGAACGCTGCCTGACCTCGGGGTTGCCACAGAGCTCACACAGGGACTCATTCAACCCTTGGCACGGTGCCTACTGGCCTCCCCTGGAGGCTCGGTGGTAAAGAATCTGCCTGCCGGTGTCGGAGATGTATGAGATGCAAGTTTGATCCCTGGGTTGGGAAGATCCCCTGGAGGAGGAAAAGGCAACCCACTCCCGTTTTCTTGCCTGGACAATCCCATGGACAGAGGCGCCTGGCGAGCTACACTCCATGGGGGGGCAAAGGGCAGACATGACTCAGCAACTGAGCACACACACACAGCGCCCACCAGGTCACAGACGCTCAGCAAGTATTACTACTTCAAATTCGACCTCCCTACCTGCCCCCGGCCACAAGCTCTTTGAGGGCAGGATTTCTACTTTGTCTTTTTCACCCCAAAAGTAAGCACCCAGACCAGTGCCTCACATGGAGAAGGTGCTAAATTTTTCATTAATGACAGTTCCTGCCCCTTTTATGTATACAACGTGCTTTCAATCACATCCTCTCTTTTGAACCTCTGAACTCTATCAGTGGACGGAAGGAACGCGTCCACTTTAGGTCAGGAAGGGGACAGAGGAGTCGGATCTCTTGTTCCCTGACTTCAGTGATGGCTGCTCTGTGTATACACTGTCTCCCGGCAAGGAAAACAGAACTGATGAACTGAAAGCCAGACTGGACCTTGAACCTGCAAGCCTCCACCCGCTCTCCCGGCCTCTGCTCTATGCCGGCAGCCCACCAGTACCGTGTGCGGGGCGGGTGTGCTCCTCGGGGAGGACAGCCACAACCACGGAATGAGTAAAGGGGGACGCGCTGCACACGGATGCTGGAGGACACGGAGGTGGGGACAACTGAACTGTCCCCTCTCAGAGGCAGCAAGCCAATCACCCCAGGGCTCTCCCGTTCCTCTCCCCACCTCCCTTCCCAGGGCCTTCTCCCAAACTGCCATCTTACCCACCCATTGCTGACCAGACTCAATGGCCTCATTCACTCCTTTGGTTTCTACACAATTGTAAAGACAATTGCCAGCCTTCCCCCAGCCACTGAAGGGAGAAGAAGGCGCACTGACTCATCGCCACATTCTGGATGGATTTCAGCACTTCTTGCCCACTTCCAGTCATTCCAGGGTGAGACGCTGGAACCAGCACCTACCGATGTCGCTGGAGGAACAGGATGCCAGCTGGTGGGTGATGGGGTTGTAGGAGACACACTGGATGGAGTCGTTGTGCCTGGAAGAAAACAGCTGAGATGACCACCCGGCAGTGGCTCCAGCCGCAGGCCGTGTGACAGGCCCGCAGGCAGCCTCTCTGCTCCGCGCCGGAGCTCTGCTGCAAGCGGCCAGGGAAAAGCACGGAGGTGGACGCCCCCCTCCTCGGGTGTCTCTCAGCCTTTACCCACCCCCAGGCCGGCCACCTCCTCCAAGACAGACGCGCTGAACGGCTCTGGGGGGTCAGCTGGTGAGAGAAGGACGGAAAGCCCCTCGCCAGGCGCACTGGAAGCGCCGTATGAATGGCCGTTCCTCTTATGCCCTGCGGAGGCCTGGAAATGCATTCACTGACACAGGATGCAGGTACAATGAAGACACTGTCACAGACCAAGACCTGGAAACACCTGAGACGACCGCGAAGGCTGAGGGAGTCGTGTCCCACGCGTGGCGCCTCACCTTCAGGTCTACTCCACTCGTGCCCTACTTCATTCATTTATTCATTCATTCAAATGTTGATCTGTACACCCATGTTCACAGCAGCATTATTCCAACCAGCCAAGAGGTGGAAGCAACCCAAAGGCCCATCAGCAACAGACGAATGGATAAACAAAATATGGTCTGTAGACACACTAGGGTGTTATTCAGGATTAAAACGTACGGGGATTCTGATACATGCTACAGCACGTATAAACCTGGAAGACATTAGGCTCGGTGAAATGAACCAGTCACAGAAGGACAGATATCGTAGGATTCCACGCATATGAGGCACCCAGAGGAGTCAGATGCACAGAGAGCAGAACTGCGGTGCCCAGGACTGGGGAAGGGGGATGGAGGTGGTTGTTTTCAGGTGAGGAGTTTCAGTTTTGCCAGATGCAGAGAAGCCCGGAGGTTCACTGCACAACATCATGGATGTACTTAGTTAGCACTACTGACCCGCACACTTAAAAATGCTCAGGGTGGCAAACTGCATGTTATGTGTATTTCACCACAATTTAAGAGAAAACCATCACTTGTCAAGTACCTACAATGGGCCAGGCAAGGCACCAGGCACCAGAGACACACGGTGAACAAAACACAGGCAGTGTCTGCCCCCGTGGAGCTTCCAGGCTGATGGAGGAATCAGTCATCAGGGTAAGTGTAAAACTACAGCTGTGAGGGACTTGCCTGGCAGTCCAGTGGTTAGGACTCCACGCTTCCACTGCAGGGGGCCCGGGCTGGATCCCTGGTCGGCGAACTAAGATCCAGCATGCCACCCAGCACGAACCCCACCCCCCAAAATAAAAGTACAGCTGTGAGAAACGCCATGAAGGAGACCCGACGGGGGCTACAGGGGCAGGGAAGGCTTCACAGAAGAAGCCATGTCTGAGATCTGCAGAGGATGAGCAGAGCCTCGGCACAGAGAGTGGCCTGGAGCACACGGAGCCCAAGTTTCGGGCTGGCCACCTTGGGTGGACGTGGGGTCCTTCCCTGAGGTGGGGAAACTGGAGGGGGCCGGGGGGTGGGGTAGAATGTGCAACGTCAGACTACCTGAACTGAGCTACACAGAAGCGCTACAAAGAAGCACCACCTAGTGCTGGCCGGACCAGCAGAGCTCAAGACTGCTCCCTCACTAACTCACTCCCCAACCTTCTCAGCACACAGCCCCACCACTGAACTTCAATCGCAAGGAAAAAAGTCCTTCCTGATCTCTTTTCTAAGGGGTTTGTGCTTCAGTTGCTCAATAAGAGGCCAAGTAATAATACCGTGCACCTAAACGATCACTTACGTGTACTTCAGAATGCCTTCCAATTTTGACGTCCAGATTATAACGCTTTTGTCAGCCGATCCAGAAGCAAAGCGTTTGCCTGAAAGTGTTTTTAAAAAGAAAATAAATTTCACATTTCTTTAGGCTGGCATTTTGCAGACAGTATTTCTTAGAAAGCTGCTTCTTTAAGGTCCCTAGGAAGTATCAGTTGCTTGTGCAACCCTTCTTATCAGTGCTGGGTGGCTGCACTTTGGAGTCAGGAAGTTTGAGTTCATTTCCAGTTCTGTCTGGCACTAACGGAGATGTATGGAGAGCCTGTCTCAAGCCAGCATCACGTCCTATGCTCAGAATTAAGTCATGATTCAAGCATACGTGATCCCTACCTTCATAGAGTTTGTCTGGTGGGTAAAGCAGGCATTAAATTAAGTTAATCCAATTCAAACACAATGTGGAGAGAAAAAAAAGCAGCTCTATGAAAGAGAATACATGGGGACCTCATTTCGGTGATGGAGGCTCCTCTGAGAATGGGATCATCCATTAAGACGTGGAGGCTAAGGGCTTCCCTGGTGGTTCATTGGGTAAGAACCCGCCTGCCGATGTAGGAGACCTGGTTCGATCCATGATCTGGGAAGACCTCACACGCCACAGGGCAACTAAGCCCACATGGCAACAGAGACCCGGCACGGGCAAAAATAAATAAATATAATTATTAGGAAAAACAAACAAAAGACAAGACCTGAAGGTTGACCAAAGCCTAGCCAGGTGCAAAGAGAGCAGAAGGCCCATCCATATGGGTCAAACAGACGTGCAAAGACCCTGAGGCAGGAAAACACTGCACATCTGGCGGGCTGAGAGCAGCCAGCCTGGAACATCACAGGCAGAGGGCGAGGTAGGTGGTGGAGGGATCTCCTGGGGCTTCGGGGCCACATCAAGACCCTGCTCTCTGTCCCAAGGAAAGGCTTCAAGCAAATGAGGGCCAGGTGAGGCTCTCACTCTCACACTGCTTTGGCTGGGTGGCACCGCTACAAATACTAAGTCAGAGAAGCTGCTCTTGCCTCTTCTTCCTGTCACTGCTCCCCCACCCCGGCAGGCAGCAGGGGAGGGAGAGAGGGGGCTCTGGGCTCAGCCTGAGCGGGAATTCCCCCTGACGTCACCCGCCAGCTGCAGGACCTGGCAGGAGCCACTGAGCATCTCCAGGCCCTCGTTTCCTCATGGGGAAAGCGGAAGCAACATCAGTGTTTACCTCTCGGCTGTTGTGAGGAGGCAATGAGATTACAGTGCTTAGGACTGGGCCTGGCCTGGGATCGACGCTGAACAAAATCAGCTACTATTATCACTATTACTTCCTCACATCGCCTTGTATCGCTTTCCTTGAGGAAATAAAACTAGTTCTTACACACCTCTGTATCATGGCTGCTTATTAAGTGTTGAGTAAACTTAAGGGAGAAACCAGAAACAAGCAAAATCATCATATTTTAAAGAGCAAAACCATAATTCAGTGTATCTTTACTTCTAGATCCAAGGGGGAGGGACTTCGTTATCACTGCCCAAGTGTTACGAGGGGCGGCATGAGGCACTGGGAAGAACGTGGGCTCTGCAGTCAGAGGACCCAGGTCAGGCCCGGCTCCGCCAAGTCTCCTGTAACGTGCTAAGTCGCTTCAGTTGTGTCCGACCCTTTGTGGTCCTGTGGACCGTGGCCTGCCAGGCTCCTCTGTCCATGGGATTCTCCAGGCAAGAATACTGGAGTGTAATGGCTCCAAGCCTATCTTCTCACCCCTTCCCTGCCTGCTTCAGAGGCTACTGGGAGATCAAGTGAGATGACACGTGTGGCAGGACTTTGCAAAACGCTGACAAATGCCCCTGACCGCAGAGCTTGCTCTGACATCCCCAAGGGCCATCAAGGTGCCACAGGCCAGAGGCCCTAGACTTATAAATTCTGAGACCTCACAGGTCACCCCCTGTTATTACTGAGAACTTGGACTCAAACAGGCATATAAAAAAACAGGACTACCATGGGATAGCACACCTGACTACCAGGCAAGAACCAGCACTGTCTCTGCCCCTAACTTGCTGTCATGTGACAGACACTCACGTGACTTCGCTCGGTCATCATGCAGGTCTAACGTGAAGAGAATGGACTAGGTCAGGCTAACGCTGGGTGCATGAAATGGCACGTATACATGCAGTATGTGCATTTTTCTAGAGAGGGGTCTGTAGCGTTCATCAGATTCTCAAGGAGGTCCGTCACCTAAAGGAAGTGAAAACCCTGGAGCCTGAGTGATCACGGTCCATCCGCACCCTGCGCCCCAGTCCTGCACCCTCCCAGCAGCGGGCACAGAGGCCCGTCTCCAATCCTAGGTCCACATGACACAGGAGGAAGTCGAGACTCAGAGAGTCAACCACCACCTCCACCTCACAGAGCTTTTGGGCTTGGGACTGTCTCATCCCAAAGCCCATGTTCCTCCCCCAGACGCCCAGCTGGGGAAGCATGGATTTACTTTAACTCTCCACGTCAGTTTCACGCAGCTGGTGTGAGGGCCACCTCTCTACTTCCTCACCCCCCCGGTACCCCAATTCCAATGACCCTGCAACTGCACTAAAACCTCCCTCTCCACTGCCCCTCAGCCCTGCGGCCCCCTCTCCCCCATGACTCAGCAAGAGTTCAGGGTCAGTGCAGATGATCACTCTTCTGCATGCATCCCTGCCCCTGCCTCGTACCTCATCTTCAAGAGGAGCCTGTAAACTACCGCTCTGGTAAAAGCCCCCTCTCCACTTGCTCTGCCCCTCCCGTATCCACGCAGCTCTCAGTGATGGAGAAAAAGACATCATCACACTGCTGAGTTCACTTTCAATCCACGGTCACCAGCTTCGGGAGGGCCTCTCATGGAGCTGGGGTCTCACGACGCCTCCTGGGGCCATTTACTCAGCCCCCTGGGCAGGTGGTGACCGACTCTCTTCCTCTGCCCTGAACTCTCAGACACCTCCTCCCCATCCTCGCTCTCATCCTTGCTCTTCCTGCCTCACTGAGAGGATGGGACCGAATTCCATGACCTCCGCTGCCAGGATTTGCAGCGACACCCCCAGCTTGCCGCCACGCCCAGCTCTGCCCTGGATCTCCTCTCCTCCTCTCACTCAGCCGCACTGCTCCAGCAATTCCCTCCCTCCTCTCTACAGCATCAACTTTCTTCAAATTCAGCATGTCCGAAACTAACTCCTGACCTTTCACTCTAAGTTGCAGCCTTCCTCATCTCAGCAGAGGGCAACTCCATCCTTTTAGTCCCTCGGGTCAAAAACCTGGGAGTCACCCCGACTCCTTGCTTCATACCCCACACACACCTATCAGCCAATCCTACTAGTTCTACCTCCCAGCTCTATCCACTCCTCACCACCTGCTCTGCTTCTATAGGGATCTGAGCTGCCATCACCAGTGAGATAAAATCTGCCCAGATGATGATTCTTCACTTGTCTTTCTGCCTCCACCCTCACCCCCTGCAGGCTGCTCCCAGTATTTAAAACAGAAATCAGATCAGATTTCTCCTCTGCTCAGAGAAATGGTTCCGCTTTTTCAATGAGGATCAAAATCCTACAGCAGCTCACATTAACCAGCCAGCATGCCTGTTCCCTCTCTGCCCTTGTCCCCTACTGCTCCCCACAGCCTCTCTGTCCCAGCCCCAGGAAGGCAGGCCCACCCGAGGACCTCTGCAACGGCCGCTCCCTCTACAAGGAGCTCTCCTCCCCCTGGTACCAGCTGTTCTCACTTCCCTAGCTCCCCACCTCCAATCTTGGCTTACTGGTCCCCATCTCAACAAGCCACCTTGACTACCCTGCCCCATACTGTACCCAGCGCCCTGACCTGCCCAGCACTCTCAAGCCCTCTTATTCTGCCCTTTATTTTCTTCCTCACACTCACCATCTTCCAGCGTACTGTTTAGTCTACTTATTTAGTACATTCATTGTATGTCTTTCCTCATACTCTCTCCCCCGCCTCCCCCAACATAGACATGAGTCCCACAAGAGCAGGGATCTTTGCTTTGGTCTCTGAAGTATCTCAAGCAGCTAGAACAATACTTGGCACACAGACAGGCTTCAATAAATACTTAAATGACTGAATTAAGCTGAATGACTGAAGTCTAAGAGACTGACTGTCTTCCGAAACTGGAAGCGGTGCTTGAGCTCACTAAACATGATGTGGGCACAGCCAAGGAGAGAGACGAGCGACCATGAGGCCATGACAGAGACTAACGCCGAGCAGTCTCTTACCGTCCTTCGCATATGCCACACAGTATACGGTGTCCTTGTGTCCCTTTAGGGGCTGAAGCAAGGTGCCATCAGATGTGTCATAAACCTGGCAAAGAAGAGATGAAACTACAGATTACCCACATGGCATCCAAGGGTCAGAATTCCTGCAGGTCGCTGCTGCTATTTTTATTTTCATAACAAAACGTGTCAATATTCTCAGTTTGTACCAAGCAAAAACTACACCGAGAAACCAGACTAACTGTGAAAGATGAGAAACCCAAGAAGTAGAGGACACGATTCCACGCGTTATGTGGCTGGGAATGTACCATTAATCCTCGAGAAACCGAAGTTCAGTCCGTGAAACTTCCCTGCAAAGTTCACTCCCCTGTGTGAATCTGGATCTACAACCACTCAAGCTAGACCCTCCCAGAGAAAGCCAGCACTAAGAGCCCAGCGCAAGCAGGATTAAATGCCAGTGCGACCCTACGCCTCCTGCCGACATCACAGAGAGGCATCTCACACTTGCTACCAAGAGTCTGAGAGTCACAGACCTGGGCTCTGGGTCTGCAAGTGGGAAGGAGTGTTGTAAAACCCAGCTGTAATGTGGACGTAGAATTGTACAGCTGTGTGACATCTATAAATTTTGTGGAGATTGAAAAAAACACACCATCTGAGAAATAAAGGCCAGACCCTCCAGAAAGGATCCGTGTTGGAGAATATAACCTATTGGAAAAGCCTAAAAGGATCTGGACTGTTTACCCTGGAGAGAAGTCTGTGGAACAACTGACTCAGGGCTTTGAGATTATGTGGTTTCCCCGTGGACAGTGGAAAGCAAGCCGTCTGCACATCTAGAGATGACAGAGCGAGAGGAAGCGGGCTGACGCAGGAGGAAGGGGCAGAGGGCAAAGGTTCTCAGGTCAAACTCAAGTGTTCTCTGAAAGCGACTTTTATACACTGGGACAGCTTCCAGTGGGAGCTTACACTCTTTGAAAATATGAAAAATAGGACAACATCCATATGGAACTCTTTAGGAAGGGCCTAGGCCTAAAAACTGGGGTCAGGCTGTCTGGCTTTTCGTGGAGGGAGCCCCTTCAGTTCTGTTGCTTGAATTTTTTCAGGGTGACAAAAATGTGAACTGACAACAGCTCCATTTCAAAGGCATTTTGATTATTTTTCAACTCATTCATGGGTGTCTCACGGTAGAAAGAGAAAGATTAATGACTCCAAAGGAGGTATTGTTCACAGGTTCCTAGCTGATAGACAGTTTACCTACCTGTTTTAAATAGCCCATTTCCTTCCCTATTAAAAAGTAATGACTGGTTTTTCCGCCCTTGCCTTTTTTATCTTAAAAACCGGGTCAAATTTCAGAGCACTTACACGAGGGAGAGGGGAAAAAAAGCACTTAAAAAGGAAACTCAGACAAAATCCTACCAGTAATCTGTTTCCTGCAGCCAAAATCAGTTGGGTTCCATCAGGCTTGAACGCGAGGTCATATACACTAAACAGGAGACAAGACAAGACAAAAGGACAATTAGGAGCCAAAATGATGAGGTCGGCTAATGGCCAGGAAAGCAAATGTTATGTCCATTATGAAGCACCGCTTGTGTAGGAGGAAGAAAAATAATAGCTAAGAATTGCGTTTGGTTGCAAATTCCATTCAATCACCACACCTTCCATCACAATTCACTTGGCAGCTAGGACTGTATCCCACTTAGCACTTGTCCAGAAGCCAGACGCCAGACTCGATTCAAAGGGTCAACAGTGGGGGGCACTATCTCATCATGAAACCATAAAGGCTACACAAATGAGTATGTGAGGGCCAGAAAATCCACAGGTCATTTACTAAAATATCATTACTTCCTCCAATTAATCCGGTATTTATCAAGAGCCTCTTCCATGTTAAGAACTAACAGCTACAAGATGACAAAATCAGTCCCTCCCTGCTATCATGAAAAGACCACCCTTGTAGGAAGGTGAGGCTCAGACACACTCACAGAGAACCACATGTCATCAAGTCTAAAGCACACATTTGTTTCACATTTTAACATTTCTGATTCTGGGATGTGTCTTATAACTGATAATGTGTCAGTTTAGTTGGCAGCATACTTTGCTCTCTTAAATCATACAGAAAATTATTTTACAGTGACCTCTTAGATTGGTTGGAGTACACAATAATACTGTGATAAAGGCTTTAAGAGATACATTAAAGCATATGTTGTAGGATTCCAAGCAGGAAGACAGAGTGTTCTGATTTGGAGAGGATCAGAAAAAGCTTCATGAAGAACACAATCTGTGAAAAAGGTAGGGCTTTCGAGACAGGCAGGGGGAGACGGAGAAAGCGCAGCATTCCAGGCAGAAAAAAACAAAGACAGGACGGTGTGAACAGCAAACATCCAAATAACCTAATTTCTCTGAAACATGTGGCTATGTGCAGGGCAACAAGAAGCAAGTGATAAGGCTGGAGAAAACAGACTGGAGCCATATTACAAAGATCCTCAAATGCCCCCAGGCAGATGGTTTTATTAGTTCCAGTGGCCCAGAAGAATGCGTCAGACAGCACTGCCTGACAGCCTCCGGTAAAAGGTAAGCATGGGCTAAGTTAACCCGGCACCTGTGAGTGACCCAAAACTAGACACTGTGGGGAACGCCCCAGTGGGCCAGGATTAAGACCGAGATTTCACCGCCAAGGGCATGGGCTTGATCCCTGATCAGGAAAAGGTTAAGGGCAGGAGGAGAAGTAGACAACAGAGCATGAGATGGTTGGACGGCATCACCGAATCAAAGGACATGAGTTTGCGTGAACTCCAGAAGACAGTGAAGGACAGGGAAGCCTGGCGTGCTGCAGTCCATGGGGTCGCCAAGAGTCAGGTACGACTTAGTGACTGGAACAGCAAACAGGGAGCTAGCTCAGCCGGTAAAGAATCCACATGCAATGCAGCAGACACAGATTCAATCCCTGGGTTGGGAAAATCCCCACTCCAGTATACTTGCCTGGAAAACCCCAGGGACAGAGGAGCCTGGAGGGCTACAGCCCAAAGGGTCGCAAAGAGTGAGACACGACTGAGGGACTAAGCATAGGGAACGAAGATCCCGCAAGCCTCGGTGTGGCCAAAAACACAAAAAAACTCTCTGGTAACTACTTAAGAGCATTTACCATAGAGATACCTCATGTTCCCAATACAGTATACTAATGCATATATATGGAATTTAAAAAGATGGTAACGATAACTCTATATGCAAAAGAGAAAAAGAGACATAGATGTACAGAACAGACTTTGGGACTCTGTGGGAGAAGGCGAGGGTGGGATGTTCTGAGAGAATAGCATTGAAACAAGTATACTATCAAGGGTGAAACAGATCACCAGCCCAGGTTGGATGCATGAGACAAGTGCTCAGGGCTGGTGCACTGGGAAGACCCAGAGGGATGGGATGGGGAGGGAGGCGGGAGGGGGGATGAGGATGGGGAATACATGTAAATCCATGGCTGGTTCATGCCAATGTATGGCAAAAACCACTGCAATATTGTAATTAGCCTCCAACTGATAAAAACAAATGAAAAAAAAAAAGAGAGAGAGAGATACCTCATGTTTATCTCTTCAAATGCATTATTTTTGTCGCCCTCACAATTCTGTGAGGTAAGAATTACTACTCAATTACAGGTGGTGCTAGTGGAAAAGAATCTGCCTGCAATGCAGGACACCCAGGTTTGATCCCTGGGTTGGGAAGATCCCCTGGAGACAGAAATGGCAACCCACCCCAGTATTCTTGCCTGGAGAATCCCATGGACAGAGGAGCCTGATGGGCTACAGTCCATGGGGTCACAAAGAGTTGGACACGACTGAGCAACGAACACTTTCACTTTCACTTGAGGACACCATGGCTCAGAGAGGTCAAGTATCTTGCCCAGTATCACACAGTCAGGAAGTGAAAGGGCCAGAATTTTAACTCAGGTCTGACTCTAGAGTCTGGGCTATCCCTCCTTCCACTCTCCTGAGTTACTATCAATTTTAACAAATTTTGGCTGCTCTCAATAATTTAAAAACAGTGACTGATATTTATTAAGCACATTTATTTACATGTGTGCAAAGCACAGTTTAAATGCTTTACACATGTTAACTTCCTTAATTTTCATAACAACCCTGTATCTGTTTCACAAATGAGAAGACAGGTAAAAAGAAATTAACTAACCTGCTTGAAAATAAATAGCTACTGAGTGGACTGGGCAAGCACTCAATGCAGTTAGAGCCAGAATTCAAATCCAGGCTCAGCTGCTAGCTATCAGCAGCCTGTGCTGTGAGCACTTTTATAAGAGTTAAAAGATAAGTTAAAAAAACTTTTTTTTACTCTTTTTTTTTTTCAAATCTCTTAAAAAGAAGTGAAAGATACAGTGGAAGGGCTATATATTTCAAGAAAAGAGCAGTACAGAAAAGAATCAGTTCAGTTCAGTTCAGTCGCTCAGTCGTGTCCGACTCTTTGTGACCCCATGAACTGCAGCACGCCAGGCCTCCCTGTCCATTACAAACTCCCGGAGTTTACTCAAACACATGTCCATCGAGTCGGTGATGTCATCCAAACCATCTCATCCTCTGTCATCCCCTTCTCCTCCTGCCCCCAATCCCTCCCAGCATCAGGGTCTTTACCAATGATTCAGTTCTTCACATCAGGTAGCCAAAGTATTGGAGTTTCAGCTTCAGCATCAGTCCTTCCAATGAATATTCAGGACTGACTTCCTTTAGGATGGACTGGTTGGATCTCCTTGCAGTCCAAGGGACTCTCACGAGTCTTCTCCAACACCACAGTTCAAAAGCATCAATTCTTTGGCACTCAGCTTTCTTTATATTCCAACACTCACATCCATATGTGACTACTGAAAAAACCATAGATTTGACTAGAAAGACTTTTGTTGGCAAAGTAACGTCTCTGCTTTTTAATATGCTGTCTAGGTTGGTCATAGCTTTTCTTTCAAGGAGCGAGTATCTTAATTTCATGGCTGCACCGACTACAGTGATTTTGGAGCCCAAAAAATAAAATCTCTCACCGTTTACACTGTTTCCCCATTTATCCACCATGAAGTGCTCAGTCTGGATGCCATGATCTTAGTTTTCTGAATGTTGAGTTTTAAGCCAGCTTTTTCACTCTCCTCTTTCACTTTCATCAAGAGGCTCTTTAGTTCTTCTTCACTTTCTGCCATAAGGGTGGTGTCATCTGCATATCTGAGGTTATTGATATTTCTCCCAGCAATCTTGATTCCAGATCGTGTTTCATCCAGCCTGGCATTTTGCCTGATGTACTCTGCATATAAATTAAATAAGCAGGGTGACAATATACAGCCTTGACGTACTCCTTTCCCAATCTGGAACCAGTCTGTTGTTCCATGTCCAGTTCTAACCGTTGCTTCTTGACCTGTATACAGATTCTCAGGAGGCAGGTAAGGTGGTCTGGTATTCCCATCTCTTGAAGAATTTTCCACGTTTTGTTGTGATCCACACAGTCAAAGGCCTTGGCATAGTCAATAAAGCAGAAATAGATGTTTTTCTGGAACTCTCATGCTTTTTTGATGATCCAACTGATGTTGGCAACTTGATCTCTGGTTCCTCTGCCTTTCCTAAATCCAGCTTGAACATCTGGAAGTTCATGGTTCACGTACTGTTGAAGACTGGCTTGGAGAATTTTGAGCATTACTTTGCTAGCATGTGAGATGAGTACAATTGTGCGGTAGTTTGAACATTCTTTGGCATTCCCTTTCTTTGGGATTGGAACGAAAACTGACCTTTTCCAGTCCTGTGGTCACTGCTGAGTTTTCCAAATTTGCTGGCATATGGAGTACAGCACTTTCACAGCATCACCTTTCAGGACTTGAAATAGCTCAACTGGAATTCCATCACCTCCACTAGCTTTGTTCATAGTGATGCTTCTAAGGCTCACTTGACTTCACATCCCAGGATGTCTGGCTCTAGGTGAGTGAACACACCATCATGGTTATCTGGGTCATGAAGATCTTTTTTGTACAGTTCTTCTGTGTATTCTTGCCACCTCGTCTTAATATCTTTTGCTTCTGTTAGGTCCATACCATTTCTGTCCTTAATTGTGCCCATCTTTGCATGAAATGTACCCTTGGTATCTCCAGTTTTCCTGAAGAGATCTCTAGTCTTTTCCATTCTATTGTTTTCCTCTATTTCTTGCATTGATCACTGAGGAAGGCTTTCTTATCTCTCTGTGCTATTCTTTGAAACACTGCATTCAAGTGGGTATATCTTTCCTTTTCTCCTTTGCCTTTAGCTTCTCTTCTTTTCTCAGCTATTTGTAAGCCCTCCTCAGACAACCTTCTGCCTTTTTGCATTTCTTTTTCTTGGGGATGGTCTTGATCACTACCTCCTGTACAATGTCATGAACCTCCATCCATAGTTCTTCAGGCACTCTATCAGATCTAAACCCTTGAATCTCTTTGTCACCTCCACTGTATAATAGTAAGGGATTTGATTTAGGTCATACCTGAATGGTCTAGTGGTTTTTCCCTACTTTCTTCAATTTCAGTCTGAATTTGGCAATAAGGAATTCATGATCTGAGCCACAGTCAGCTCCCAGTCTTGTTTTTGCTGACTGTACAGAGCTTCGACATCCTTGGTTGCAAAGAATATAATCAATCTGATTTCGGTGTTGACCATCTGGTGATGTCCATGTGTAGAGTCTTCTCTTGTGTTGTTGGAAGAGGGTGTTTGTTATGACCAGTACATTCTCTTGACAAAAGTCTGTTGTCCTTTGACCTGCTTCATTTTGTACTCCAAGACCAAATTTGCCTGTTACTCCAGGTATCTCTTGACTTCCTACTTTTGCATTCCAGTCCCCTGTAATGAAAATGATATCTTTTTTGGGTGTTAGTTCTAGAAGGTCTTGTAAGTCTTCATAGAACCGCTCAATGATGGTTCAGGTAATAAAAGGACGAATTTAGGTGATAAAAATGGAACAAGACGTTAAACAATGCTGAATCATAAAGTGAGAAAGTCATTCTCTTTAGAGACTCTTTCAAACCTTCTAACAAGACACAGAACAAAGTCTTAGTTTGAGGCTATTCATCTCAAGCACCTCTCTGACCACACTTGCTAAATCTCCAGCTTTAAAGACAGTACCCCTGAGGCTCAAAGGTTCCCTAGCAACAGTATCTAAGTACAATTTGTTAACCCCCTTTTGTTTCTCCCTGCCTTAAGTCCTACAGTCATTTTACATTTAAAGCAATTGCTACTGGTTTTCATATACTGAGTAATAAGGCTTCCCTGTAGAATGTAAAACCATATTTAAAGAAAAATAAGGCAGAGAATTTTGAGAGAAAACAAACAAGAGTATAGGCAACACGTGGATGTGGCAAAAAGCTGTCAGGCTGGAAAAACACCGAGGAGCCCAGGATGGATTTTTGAGTAAGACAACGACAAGATCAGATTGTGAGGACTTGTGAAGCCGCCTCCAAAGGCCGCTACCTCATACGTGGTACACCCCCTCGCTCCCACTCCAGGCCTCAGCTTCTCCATCTGCAAAATGGTGGGAGGGCTACCTTGAGGTCATCCAGACCCGGGGCTCAGTGGCCTCAGCCCGGGCCGCAGGCCCGTTGCTCTTGGCAACCACCGGGATTCACGCCAAGGCGCCCGCCATCCCTGCTGGCCCTCGGCCTCCCGCTCCTCCCGGAATGTCCCGTTCCTCACCACTGCTCGACTTTATCTCTCCACGTCAACACGGCCCTCATCGCGGCTTCCCTGAAGCCTCGGGCCCCTCCTCCCCACCTCAGCAACAGGCCTCACTCAGCCAGCCGCTTTGTCTACCTGCGTTACCTCGGCAACGCACATGCGCAGTGAGCTGCGCGCGACAGGGTTTCGAGTGCGCATGTCTAAAAGAGCTGGAACGCTGGAACGGGAACCTAGAGGCGTCCGCGATTGGTCGGAACGGTGCGTCTTCCTCGACGAAGGATTTGATTGGCTGAGCCGCAGAAATGGCGGCTGCGGTCGAGGGGGGGCGGCCGGAAAGCCGCAGAGGAATCGGACAGGCTTTGACTGCGCTCATCTGTTGATTCCAGCCTAGTGCTCCGAAATGAAGAAGTTTCCACTTCTTACTCCGCTGCACACCGAGAGCCACGCACCCTCTTGGCCTGTTGCTGCCGCCGGGGCCCACTTGAGGGGCACGTCTGGGATGGAGAGTCCGAGCCTGGGGGGCTGCGGAACTGCCCCCTCGGTCGTCGGCCGTGAGCGCCTAGTCCCAGACCGGCCGTGTGACCTCCGGCAAGTCATTGTCCCCTTTCGGGCCTCAGCTTCACCACCTGTAAAATGAGAATGGGGCGGGGGGAGGGGGGAGTAGAAGGTGGCTGGGCCTTTCTCAGCTAGGGTGGATGGAGCCTTGGAGGCCGGCAGGGTTAATTCCTGCAAGCAGGGGCTGGACGAGGGAGCTGGGAGGTTTTCTGGTGCGAGGAGATGACTGCCTGGGAGTCAGTCAGTCATCTGACTGGAGGATCATCAGTCATCAGTCATCATCATCATCAGTCATCTTGAGGATCCGAGGAAGACCTTGGAGGAGATGTGTTAAGCAGCCAGCAGCGCCCCAGAAATGGGTACTGTGAGAAAGTAACACAGGAAGGTGCAGTCATTGTTTGAGTACTTGTGTATGTGCGGAGTGAGGCTAAGATGACTTACCTACCCCCCCCCCATATGATCTTCAGAACTACCTTAAAAGAGGTATCACCTCCTTTTTACAGATAGATAAACAGACTTTGAGAGGTTAAGTAACTTGCTCTTGGATCAAACAGGTAGTAAATGGAAAAGCTGGGATTTGAATCCATTCTGTTGATTTTAAAGTTTGTGCTGTTTTCACCAGGATTCAGTTTCCTTTTCACCAAAACTGAACGGTGAAATTTCTCAGGATCCACCCATATTCCACAAATTATTTAACCCCAAATTGCATCGGAAGACCTTGATTCTAATTCTAGTTAATCACTGATTCAGGCTTAGTTTCCCTGTTTGTAGAAAAGAAGTTGGTTAGACAGACATCTCTAGACACTCATCCAACTTTGAAAATGTATGATTGAGTGATTAGGATACCCTCTACTGAAGTTTTTCGACAGTAGCCCAGGGACAGAAGTATTAGACCAGGATTTAAGTAGACGTGGGTTCTGGAATCTTTTCTGCAAGTAACAATCTTCCTGTCACTCACTTTTATCAATAAAATGAGAGTAATCCTTATTCTACCTACCTTAACAAGATTATCAGATCACGAATGAATGAGAATTTGAAAATTCTATATCAGAAGTTCTTTACTTTTTTGAGGGCTACAATTTCTGATGAAAGTAATAGATACTTTCCCACCACCCCCAAAATGCACATATATTAAAAATTTTACCTCACTTATTTGGGAGGGAGGGTGAAAGAGGATGTCTCACTAACTCCTTTAAGCCTTTCTGTGTATCCCCAGGTTAAAAACTTGGCTCTTGGTTCATATGTTTCAATTTATGCCAAGTGTCACCAGAAACCTCTGTTACAGCTCTATTCAATGATTAACAAAAAAAATTTTTTTCTAGCAAAGTGCTTGAGTTTTTCATTGTGCAGTGATTTCCAACCCTGTTTAACCCATATTGGAGGACAGGAAGGTATTGAGAAATAGGAAGATACTCTCATAGCATGACTGATCCATACTGACTGTAACCTCTCCCATAGTCCATGTAGTTCCTTCTCTGTCACTGACTGAAACTGAATAAGCAGAATCAAATTAATTTTAAATGAGCTAATCACTTGCCCTTTGTTTTTTGTTTTTTCTCAGCGAGGAAGATGTTGCTCTGGGGTCAGAGAGAGTGGGAGAGGATGAAAAACAAATGGGGATGAAAAGCAGCAGTGATTGTAATCCCCCACTACAAGAGCCTATTGCTTCTGCTCAATCTGGTGGGAATGCAGTGACAGAGTGCCGAAAGTCTGTACCGTGCGGATGGGAAAGAGTTGTGAAGCAAAGGTTATCTGGGAAAACAGCAGGCAAATACGACATATATTTCATCAGGTGAGCATGCAAGGTCGTAAAGACAGTACAGCCAAATAATTTTGTCTAGACAGATGGTAGGGAAGCATAGCAGAAATTTGGACTTTTTTCTGTCTTTAGCATAAAACCATCATGGATTCTGTTCCTTCATTGTCACTGGTTAGTTATATCCAGTGAGCTGGGGACAAATACTTAACCTTTTCTCCTACCGCGAATGGTTACTGGTAAGACTGCACTTGAGTTATATTTGTAAAATTGTATTTTATTATCAAAGAGGAAGCTATTTAAAAGCACCTTTTTAGCAGTTTTTTATTTTAAATAGCAAATGTCCATGGCAAAATTTAGAGATTACTAAAAAAAAATCTGAAACATGACCCAGTTCTTCTTAAAAATCACTGTTATTTACTAGCAATAAGTGTTCTTTAATATCATTTTCTAGCCCACAGGGACAGAAGTTCAGATCCAAAAGTTCACTTGTTAATTATCTTCACCAAAGTGGAGAGACTACTCTTAAGCCAGAAGACTTTGATTTTAGTGTACGTCCTGAAAGGCGCATCAAGTCAGGATGTAAAGACCGAAACACAGCTTCTCTGACATCCCAACTGCAAGACCAAAGTAATGGTTCAAACCGGAACCTCAGGACACGAAGCAGGTGGAAAAAAGATGCGTTTCCCCTGCCAAGTGCTAGTTTGGAGTTGCAGGATAGCGGAGAACTACCTAACTTGAAAGAAGATGACGGTGTTCATGATATTGCCTCCAAAAAGGTTAGAAAGTCCAAAAGAAAGGTGACTGTTTTGAAAGAGATTCAAACTAAGAAAACAAGGTGCTGTGAGAGTCTTCCAGATCCTGTCCAAAGTAACGGGGAGTCTCAAAGTGAACCTGCCGCACAGGAAAGTCACCTTGAGGGTACTTGCTGCATCTCTGATGCCAGAGCCAGCGACCAGGCCCTCAGTGTGACCACTGAAGAGGAGAGGCTTGGTAAAAAACAATCGTCGTGTTTGGGACCAAATGTTGAACACATCCCTTCTGGCATCGTAAGCAAATTACGTTCGGCCAAAGAAGTAGAACCCAGCAATAAGTGTGAGGACACCTTTTTAGAATCTGAAAAAATAAGAACCAAAGTAGAAGCTGGAGAGAGGAAGGAGCATTTGCATAGGGACATTTCAGAAGGTAGCTCTGAAACAGATGACAGCTCACAAACAGAGAAAAACCCTACGTCTGCGAAAGTATCTCAAGGTATTCAGTGCGCTAAAGTGCTGTTAAATGCGCGATGAGGAGTTTGCACTTCCTGCCTGTAGCCAGTTAGGATGTGGGGACAGAATGAAGTTCTTGAGCCCTGTTGTCAGATACACCCCACCAGCTGGTCCCAGTGCTGTCTCTAACCAGTGTTTAAGCCCCTTGGCGTGGCAGAGCAGGAGTGGCGGGCTGCCACTGTGATGACCCCAGCAGAGGGCAGCTGTGCCGCAGTTGCTACCGTGGCTCCCAAGTACAACACCTGGGACTCTCGTCCACAGTGCTGTCCCTTCTTCCCTTTTGTCCAGCCGGTAATCTTACAGCGTTGGAGGGAAGAAAAGGCTTCCCTTGTGAGGTCTGAGGAAGACTCCTTTTATACATAAACTGTTTGAGATTAGCCAGTATCTTCTCTTGTTACTTATTACTGATGTGTGACTTCCAGTTTAATTTTGCATGTATCACAATCATTTTTATTTTCTGTTTTAATGCTACTCTAAAATGCTTTAGAGCTCTAAATAATTCAAAACTAATCACATAGTTCATCTATTATTTGTAATATGCTCTTAATACAGAGTTCAGAGCTTAGCAGTTTTGCCTTTATGATACTTCAGTGAATAGGAGATGAAAAGGAGACCTTTGAGCAGCCCTCTCTTAGTTATTCATTATGTCATTATGATATAATGAATAACTCCTTTAAAGAAGAATAGTAATTTTACTTAAAGTCCTATGGGGAGACAGCGTGGGACAGACCCGTAGAGCAGGTGGTTAGACTTGGTTCCTTCTCTTAGTCCCTCTCATGGTTTTATTCTGTCTTTGCTCTGCCTGGAGTTTCTCTGCCTTAAATAGAAGATGACCACATACACCTAGGAACTGCATAAAAATTCTTCAAATCTGCCCATTAAAGACCTTGAGCATCCTAAAGTCTTGAAGTTTATGTAGATTTATTGCTAGTACAGTGAGCAAATAAAATATTGAAAACATCCTTTAGTGACTAAAATGCAAGTATTCTATTCATCACATGCATAAAGTCTATTCTTAACATGAGATGATACGTTTACTGTAGGTAATACTAGGTGTCTGACGGAGTAATAAAGACTTTCCCATTGTCTTAGTTATAAACTGCCAAGTGAACTGAACTTAGTCTGCTATTAATAAGAAGGTTTAGACAGCATATACTTATAGGAATCCGCAGAAGAAATTAACAAGTAGGTAGTAAGAGCAGTTTCCGTTGTTCTAACTCTTTTTACTTTCCACTGGGCTTTGCCTATTCAACGGAGAAGGCAATGGCACCCCACTCCAGTACTCTTGCCTGGAAAATCCCATGGACGGAGGAGCCTGGTAGGCTGCAGTCCATGGGGTCTCGAAGAGTCAGACATGACTGAGCGACTTCACTTTGACTTTTCACTTCTATGCACTCACTGGAGAAGGAAGTGGCAACCCACTCCAGTGTTCTTGCCTGGAGAATCCCAGGGACGGGGTTGCACAGAGTCGGACATGACTGAAGTGACTAAGCAGTAGCAGCAGTTGCCTCTTCAAACTAGAATAGCAAAAAACCCCAGACTGATTACCTGGAGACATGGATACATATCCCAATCTATAGTCAGTCTCGCTGTTGTTCAGATAGTTGCTTAATTTCTAAGCCTTAAGAGTCTTCACCTGTAAAATACAAGCAGTAACCCGTACTAGTCCTGTTTTTCACATCATTAATGTTGTAAAATGGGAAGTGAAAAAGATGGCTTCACGCTAGACAAACACAAGGTATTATTAACTGACATGCAAATTTAGAGGGTATGGCTCTAGGGATTATTAAATGTGATGATTTTAGAAACTTGAGAAGCCTAATAATGGTGGTTAAAGAGTCTGTTAAATTGAACATCCCAATAGATAGTGGCCTCCGGTGTTGTAAGGTCCAAATCTTTGGACTTTTCTGCAGGTTCTGTTTTATGTGTATCCTTTTTTGTTGTTTTCCTGATAAAAGTATTCACTGCAGAATATTTGAAAAATACAGAAAATTACAAGAAAAGTTAACAACAACCGTTATATCATTTTGGTTTATTTCCTTCTATGCGGTATCATATTTTTTTTTTTCTAAATTGGAGTCATGTGTTGAGTATTGCTTTTTTCACATAAAAATTAATGACATGGGAAAAAATTCATGATCTAGTCTTAAAATATTTTAATGACCACATTGCACAGATATCATAATTTAAAATATTCTGTATTATTTCCAGTTTCTGAAAATAGTGAGCTCTGAACATAAAGAGAACCAGTGTAACAGAGTGCTTAAAGGCATGGACTCAGGAGACAGGCTGCCTGGGTTAGAATCTCAGCTCCGACCACTAATTACATAGAACAAAGAAGTGTGGCCAGTAAGAAAAAAAGGAGAATTTCAGCTCTGACACTTACTAGCTGTGTGACTTTGGGCAAGTTACCTAGCTCCTCTGTTCCTCAATTTCCCTATCTTCAAAGTGGAGGTAAAATCGTACCTGCCTAACTCCTAGGTCATTAGTAGGATCAAATTGGTTGATTTTTGTGAAGCTCTTCAATAGCACCTGGGACATTCTAAACGCTTTTTAGTAGTAGTGTATTGTTATTTGCAGTCCTGAATATTTCTGTAGACTGAACCATAGATTCTGTAAACAACGTTCACTCTTCCTTTTCAGAAGACACCGTCCCACGGACACAAATAGAAAAAAGGAAAACAAGCCTGTATTTTTCCAGCAAATACAATAAAGAAGGTATCCCTTTTCCCGTCAGAAAGCCAGACTTTAAATCTGTTTCAGGTGCTCAGCTCTGATACTGTGTGTTTGTTTAGCTCTTAGCCCCCCACGACGCAAGGCCTTTAAGAAGTGGACACCTCCGCGGTCACCTTTTAATCTCATCCAGGAAACTCTTTTTCATGATCCATGGAAGCTCCTCATTGCAACTATATTTCTCAATCGAACCACAGGTTTGTGGATTCTTTTCATCTTTGTCTTTAGTAGAGACTGTGTGTTGAGGAGAATTGGTTAGGCAGCCTGGCAGGTTTGACTTTTACCTCCTTTTAATCCTCAAATTTTTCACCTATGAGAAAGTTAGATTAGATAACCTCCAGCAGCTTTTTTGTTTTTTTAATAATTAAATTTATTTTTAATTAAAAGATAATTGCTTTCCAGTACTATGTCTGTGTCTCTATTACCAGCATTTTTTTGCATTAAGGAGCAAATTGTCATTTATTTTCTGCTTCCAAATTATTTTTGGTTATCAGTGAAAGTCAGTTACTTAAGATTCCTCATCTCTCTGTCATGTATAAATGCACTTCTTTTTCATTGGATGCTTTCTTTAATGTAAGTGGCATGTTTGTGTTAGATGTGCTTTTACACTAGTTATCTGATGATCTGATTATTTAAACACTGCAAGGCCAGGTTTCAGCATAATTTGGTCAACTAACCAAATAGGTTAATGATGTTAGGTATGGACCTTGAAAGTGGTTGCTGTTGATTTAGGTAATGTCTTCTTGTTCATGCTTGATTGCTCAAGAGTCGTATCCGACTCTTTGCGACTCCATAAACAGTAGCCCACCAGGCTCCTCTGCCCGTGGGATTCTCCAGGCAAGAATACTGGAGTGGGTTGTCATTCGCTTTTCCAGGGGATCTTCCTGACCCAGGGGTTGAACCCAGGTCTCCCACATTGCAGGCAGATTCTCTACCATCTGAGCCACCCAGGCACGTTTCATATAGAGAGTGTTTTTTGTTTTCATTCTTTCTTTCTTGTTAAACCACCGATTAAAAGACATTGGTTTCCCAGGTGGCTCGATGGAGATGCAAGAGACACTTTTCACTTCACTTTGATGTGAGATTTATAGATAAGGAAGCACCTGCACCAAAAATCAACCCATCCGGAGGCATGTAATCGCATCCTTATTTTTACTTCCCAGGCAAAATGGCCATCCCTGTGCTCTGGCAGTTTCTGGAGAAGTACCCTTCCGCTGAGGCAGCGAGGACTGCAGACTGGAGAGATGTTTCAGAACTTCTTAAACCTCTTGGTCTCTATGATCATCGAGCGAAAACCATTATCAAGTTCTCCGGTAACTTTACCCATACACCCAAAGGAGAAAACATAAAAATATGCCTATTTAAGAGAGGGCCGTACCTTAAATTTCAGTGTCTTCAGTTGCGACATTAATAGAGATCTTTCCGCCCAAGCTCCGAAGGCATTTGAAAATTGTTCGCTTGCCCCAAACCACGGTCTCCCACCGACCCAGGAGATAAATCTTTGCCCACCGCTGGGTCAGGCCGTGTGAGCGAGATTAGAGGAAGAAGGCAGTGAAGCAGAAAGCCCAGCTGACTTCGGCAGCTCCAAACAATAGAGATGAGTTCATGGTAGACGAGCAGAGCCGGCAGAACTTGGCGCTGCAGGAATTCAGAAGGAAGCAGTCACCACTGAGGCTGTTAGGAGACGTGCTCTCCCGTCCCTTTCTCCTTTTTAGGGAAGGATTTTTTAGAGGCTGACCTGACGTGTGGGGTGTTGTGTCCTCAGATGAATACCTGACGAAGCAGTGGAGGTACCCGATCGAGCTTCATGGGATCGGCAAGTACGGCAATGACTCCTACCGGATTTTCTGCGTCAATGAGTGGAAGCAGGTGAGGCCCGGCGCCAGCACACCCTACCTCTGGGGCAAAACAAGTCCACCGTGGTGGTTCAAACTATTTCTTGGACATAACTCACTATTACGGTCACAACCCATTTCACTCCAAGCTGGAGGGGTAGTGGTGGCTTGGGGTTTACTGACAGCAGGAGAGGGTCTAGAGGTTTTCCCGAGTTCATGAAGACTCCCTGGCCTCTGGGTGACCCACTTTGGTGTGCCTCTTCTGGGCCTGTCCCTGCCGTTCCCATTCACGTACCGTCTCCAGGCCCGATGTCGTTTTCCGCATGTCACGGTCGTACTCGCCGTCACAAGCCCACCCCTGAAAGACAGCAGGCAGGTGTGGATTAGGTGGTCTCAGTTTGTATGGACGATGGGTCCTTCGTCAGCCGCCCATTCTGTCGAGCACGCCCGGCCTGCAGGCATCCGGGAGGCATCCCGGCCGCCGGTAGGCACTGCCTCAGAGCCTGGCCCACTGCCCCCTCAGTCTGTGACTTGCCCTGAAGCGTTTAGCTGCTCGGTCTGGCCAAGCCCAGCCCGGCTTTGCTGTTTGTTGTGACCTGAGCAGGTCGTTTAAAACTCTCAGAGTCTATAACCTCCTTCTGGAAAAATAGCCTATTAGTGTTTGACTCACGTTATCACCACCTCACACACTGAGTCCTGGGGAAGATCATTTCCAAACTGGAAAGTATCTTGTAAACTGTGAATGATTCCTTTGATGTAGGATAGAATTCTAAAAAAAAAAAAAAAAGAATTCTAAACATTTGTGAATCCTGTTAGGTTACAGATTATTATAATTTTTCAGGTTATCATCATACGGTGTTCCCCCACCGTATCTTTTTTTTTTAATAATTTTTATTTATTTTACTTATTTATTTTTGGCTGCACTGGGTCTTCACTGCCTTGTGTGGTCTTTCTCTGGTTGTGATGAATGGGTGCTAGCCTTCATTGCGGTGTACGGGCTTCTCATTACACCGACTTCTCTTGTTATAGAGCACAGGCTCTAGGCTGCGTGGACTTCAGTCGTCGTGTGTGGGTTTGGTTGCTCTGCATGGGGGATCTTCCCAGACCAGGGATCAAACCTATGTCCTCTTCATTGGCAGGTGGATTCTTATCCACTGCGCCACCAGGGAAAACACACCCCCACCACCACCACTATATCTTTAAAAAGCCAATTTTATAAATGCATTTCTGACAAACTTACATAAGGCATCTGTCTCCTGTGTTGTGTTTCTTCCAGGTACACCCTGAAGACCATAAGTTAAATAAATATCATGACTGGCTTTGGGAAAATCACGAGAAATTAAGTCTATCTTAAAAAGTCTCTGAAGTTTTCAGACTTGTTTTTTTATATATTGCTTTGCACTTTGATTCTTCAGAGCTACATTAAGCACAACCACCTTTCCAGGCGTATAGATTTTAATCAGCCCAACTACTACCAACCTACTGTGTGTTTTCTTAGTATGTGTACCACTGGTAGATCTTTGCTACTGAATGTGCTGGAACATGTTTTAAGAGCTGCTTTTTTTTTTTAAGAAAAAATAAATTGTTATTTGACAACAATCCTAAAAATGTAAATGTATATGACTTTCTAATAATGAAATGTGATTTGAAGTTGGAAAAAAACTCTTCTTAGTTATCAAATATAATGCAAATTTCTATCAGCCTTGCTTGAGGGAAGATTAGACTTTCTGCTCTCTTCCTGTAGAAAATGATAGCATTGCTGTTCAGTCGCTGTGTCCAACTCTGTGCAACCCTGTCAATTGTAATCACCAGGCTCCTCTGTCCATGGGGATTCTCCAGGCAGGAATACTGCAGTGGGTTGCCATTTCCTCCTCTAGGGCATCTTCCTGACCCAGGGCGTGAACCTGCATCTCCTGCATCAGTGGGTGGATTCTTTACCACTGAGCCACTACTAGGGAAGCCCAATTAATAAAAATATTTTTATTAAAAAACACCCTCTGTGAGGGTGATCTGGCTGTGTCATCTGTCACCCCATTGACTGCCGGGGTTGATTTGACTGGTTGGTTGGCTAGGCGAGCTGCACGTTCCGCTGAAGAGAACAACCTTCCCCAATTGAGGACCGTTCTTTGATCAAGGATATGTGAGTACCTGCACCCACCTGCTAGAACCTCCGAACAAGCTCTCAAGGTCCGTTTGTAGGAGAACATTAGTGTATTCAAGCTTCAAGACTCCAGACATATCAAAAAAAAAACCACTAACCCCCAAGGGAAAATGAGTATTTTGTCATCATGAATGTGCGTGTTTTTCATAGAGCCTTTCCTTCTGTTCTTTTTTTTTTTTTTTTTTTTTGACTGTACCAGGTCTTAGTTACAGTATCTAGTTCCCCAACCAGGAATTGAACCCAGGCCCCCTTCATGGGGAGCACAGAGTCTCAGCCACCGGGGAAGTCCCTGTCATTTTGTAATCTCAAGGACTCTGTTGACTTTTAGGAATTGGAGGTCTGACCCCGGCATCCATTTGATAACTGAGTGTGACTGCCTGCCTGCAGTTAGGTTTCAGAGTCTTGGTTTCTGATTCATGCGTTCACTGTGATCCCCATGTGAAAACTCAAGCATTTCCCCATCTCTCACCTTCCAGCCGGAGGACAGGACCTTTCTAGTGTTACGCCATTTTTAATACAGGTATTATCATGGTATGACCCAAATACTGAAACATTTACTTTAGAAGGAGCTCACAAAACAAATGAAAATCTAAGTTATCAAGCCTCAATTATCAGTCATTTTAAGGTGAGACGGTAACAGGCAGGGAGGCCAGGGGGAACAGGCTGCAAGTGTCAGGCATTTTTTTCTCTCTTAAGGGGCAGGAGGAAACAAATTACAAGGGTTAAGATTTTTTCCACTTCTCTACCCAAATTTAAAAAGGTTTCCCTTAAAATTCTGTGTTGCCATAATGACACCTGGTTCCACCTGAAGTTAACTTTTCTCAAACCTTGAGCTAACCAATGCATTTTTCTTATGGAAATATTTGTCTTAAGCTATGTTAATGTATTTACCCTAGACTCTGTCTTCAAGTCAGTTCCACCTAAAGGCTCAGAACTGACTTGACAAACCAGTATGTTTTACTCATACATTGTTCTCCTAATCTATGTTAATGAAACTGTATATTTGCTTGGAAATCTGCCTTTATTCAAGATTAATGTCAATGGTTTTATGGCCCGAGAGGACTCACCTGGTGCCATTGTTATCTCAAAATACATGTTGTGGGTGAGGGGCCTGGTGCCATTCTCTGAGTTTGAGACATTTCCTTTCTCTAATGAGCAGACTGCTAGTAGGTATATAATATCCGGCTAAAGACTAGCAGGGGGCACTCTTTCTGCCCCCTTCCGATGTCTACGTCAGAAGCTTTCTCTGTCTCTTTTATACTTTAATAAACCTTTATTACACAAAAGCTCTGAGCGATCAAGCCTTGTCACTGGCCCCGGATTGAATTCTTCTATGGAGGCCAAGAATCCCGGCGTCTTACATGGTTCAGCAACAACCTTTCAAAGGCATGATTTGCAAGTTAAGCTGATTGAATAAATGAAAAATAAATTGTTGGGAAAACTGCTTTTGTTGTAGGGTAGAGTGTGCACAGAACAAGGAAACACTGTGCTCCAGAGCACTGGTTGTTTCCACTTCAGTGAATGAGTTCAATTTTTTAGAGAACGATGGGTTTTGAACAGAGCGGGAAAACTGGCCACACACACCCCCGCAAGGCAAGCATCCACTGCATAACCTCCCATCACATTTTTATGTAACAGACACCAGAGTAGCAGTCACTAGGTGCGAAGGTCTGTGCTGGGTAGGGACATAAAAGATGAAAAGCCTATGTGGGGACCCTCACAGGAGAGAGAAAGGTATAAACAATAATGAAAAGAACAGAAGGGGTAAGGTGTGGGGACAAGGCACCCAACACTGCAGTGAAAAGTCTAAAGGGTCCCCTGCAACCCTGCCCACAGCTGAGGTCAGAGGGTAGGGCAGGCACCAAACTTGGGGTTCAGGGGTGGCGGGGCCCAGGCCCCATCCCAGCACCTCCATCAGGACTGTGGGCCTGTGGACTTTGCAGGGAAGCTCCGCATCAGGAGCTCAGGCTATAGCAAGCCTTGCCTTTTCGCTTTTCCTGCAGATGACCTGGTCTCTACCCGTTGCCTCATCTCTTGAGAATGGGTCAGTTATGATTATTAAGTCAATATATGAAATAGTTTACCTGGCGTCTGGCTTACAGAAGCACTGCATCAATGTGGCCCAAAGGGATGGTCCGAGTGAAGACCCCAGATTGTTGAGAGGGTCACAAAACATGCATTTTAGGGACTTCCCTGTCAGTCCAGCGGCTAAGTCTCCACCCTCCCACTGCAGGGGGCCCAGGTTCGATTCCTGGTCAGGTCACTAGATTCCACATGCCTCAGTGAAGTTCCAGCACAGCCAAATAAGATAGTTAAAAAAAATAATAATGCATTTCAGTAAGGATGGTATCTTATACAGAGTAAGCCCTCAAGTGTTTGGGTTTTTTCTAACTTTTTATTAAAACAAACTTGCCCCCAAAAATTTAACCATTTTTAAAGGGCACAATTCAATGGTTTTTAGTACATTCACAATGTGCAACTGTCATCACTAAGTCCAGGATATTTTCATCTTCTCAGCAAGAAAACTCTTACCTGTTCATTTCAGTCCCTTGTATAGTTTCTTTACACTTTTAGTTGCTCAAGGAGACATTTGTCCTGGTATAAGCACTGCAGCCAAGGGTCCCAAGTGCCAGCCTGTCACAGAAGCACGTGTCAGTACTTCCTTTTTAATGACTAATATATATTCCATTGTTTGAACAAGACCACCTTTTGCCTATCCAATGCACAGGTCCAATTTTGGGTTGGCCAGAAAGTTCCTTCGGGTTTCTCCCTCAGATCCTATGGAAAAATCCGAGCGACCTTTTGGCCAACCCAATGTTTCTCAGGTTCTATTATTCCAAAGCATGGCACCGTTACCGGAAGCACGCTGACTGAAACCGCCCACCCTGGCCAGGCACCGTAGTAACCATCTGCATGAGTTGTTTTACCACACGAGGTCCTGGTAAGGAGCTGGGTACTAATTAGCCTCCACCAACCGGAAGAGTTCAGGAAAGGTCAAAAGGAGACACCACCTGTCCGACCACCTCCCAGAATCCTTCTCTCTGGCGTCCATCTTGGCTGAACAAGGCGTGCACCACTGGGAAGGACCCTGAGTCAGAATGATTGGCGAAAGACAACCCGGAAACTAATCCCATCACCATAAAACCCGAGACTGCCAGCCATGTGACAGAGCAGTTCTCCTGGGCTCCCTTACCCTCCTGCTCTCCGCCCGGGTGCCCTTTCCCGATAAAGCCTCTTGCTTTGTCAGCACATGTCTCCCCTCCGACAATTCATTTCCGAGTGTTAGACAAGAGCCCAATTTCAGACCCTGGAAGGGGTCCCCCTTCCTGCAGCAGCACTGTGTATCTCGGGGACCAAGCATAGCCAAAACACTGCCTCTATTGTCCAGGATCCACTAGGGGTCTGTCTGGAGGACGGAGGGCGTGTTCTACCCAGGTGGAGACCTGCTGAAGTCCCTACGGTTTAGGGGGAAACCAGGGATTGACTTATTACTCCAGATTGAGGGGCCACCGGGCCAATCTAAGAAATCCAATGGGGTTTTTCTTTGTTTGTTTGCGGAGCCAGAGGCTCTGCACCATTTACTCCCGGCCCCTCCCAGGACCCTTGCAGGGAGCCAGGCTGCCTCTCCCGGACTCCAGGCCTGGCGAGTCCCCTCCCGGCGGGCCTCCCGCCACGTGGCGGCGCACAGCCAATCAGCGCGGGGCGTCCGTAGTCCTGGCAACAGTTGCGTCCAAGCTCCGCGGGTCTTGGGTCTCTTGCAAACTTGGTTATTACTGCTTTTCAGATACCCCACGCTCCCGCGCAAGCGCACACACACACCCATTTACACGTGCTCTCCAGCGCCAGCTCCCCGCGCCGCGACCATGGACGACTCTAATGAAGGGTACGAGGCTGCGTTCCAGTCGCTGCTCCGTAAGCTCACCCTAAGCTCCCGGGAATCGACGCCACCTCCGGGAAGCCCCCAACCCCCGGGTGGACGGGTATCCCATTGTGCCGTCCCTTCTCTGGGTGCGGGGTTGCCAGGGAGTCGGGGGCAGGTCATGCGTGTTTCTCAGATTTCCGGGCCAGGGCTGGAGAAGCAGGCCGAGTCGCCTTGGCTTGGAACCAGAGGCCCAACCCATGTGCCCGGGAAAGGTGTCCAAGCCCTGGGGACTGTCCCTGCTTCCTCACCAGACTTTAGCACATTCAGTAGTGGAAAAGCGGCATGGAAAAGAACACCAGTCTTCAAACTTTGCCCGGTAGCCTGCTGTCCTTGAGCAGCACCACAACTTTAGAGGTGAATGACAGATACATGGATAAGCTCAGAAAAAGGGATGAATACTGGGTCCAAGGGGGACACCCAGGAGTAAGAGATCTGCTAAGCGCAGAGGAGGCGGGGGAGACGGGGAATGCTTACACGGTCCTGGAAGAGATCTTTACACGGAGTCCTCCAAGCCAGGAAGAGGAGGATAGGCCTTCCAGACCAGGGGAAGAGCATGCACAGAGGCCCAGAGACATGGTGTCTTCAGAAAACTGCTCAGAGTTTAAGTGCTGCTGAAGATGAGTGGTGAGAGGGGTCAGAAAGGATGAGATCCTGAGAGATCTTGGGAGCCAGGAGATGGAGAAGCTAATGAGAATAATGGGATCAGATTGGGAGCATCAGCAGATGCAGAAATGAATTGGCAGACTCGGAATGTTGGGAGTGGGGAGCTGTCCCAAATACCCTGGCCAAAGAACCCGGGAGGCTAGGGAAAGGCGCCAGGTGAGAGAGGACTTCAGGGACTCGGGGTCTGATTAGAGAGAGAACTTGGGAAGAGCGATCACGGTTGACACTCAGGTTGGTAGCCAAGTTGACTGGCAGATGGAGGTGCTTTCTACAAAGATGAGGAACCTCCCAGAAGAGTAGACAGGGACGTGGAGATAAATTCAGTCTTGGTTGAGTTTGAGATCTTTGTCAGCCATACAAGTTGAGGTGCTTTGGGGGCAGGTGTAGGTAGAATGTTAAATCACTCCAGTCGTGTCTGACTCTGTGACCCTATGGATGGAAACCCACCACGTTCCTCAGTTCATGGGATTCTCCAGGCAAGAATACTGGAGTAGGTTGCCATTTTTCTTCTCCACTTGTATGTAGAGTCAGAGCTAATTCCAACTCATAAATATTGGTATGAGAGTCCTCTGCATATGGAGGGCCAGAGAAATGAGAGTGGAGGAGATTGTTTGAAAAAAAAAACACAAGATCACCCAAGTGTAAACCTGGAAGCCATCGACTTTTTAGCAGTGGATAGGAAACAGAGGCCCAAGAGTAAGTAGTCAGAGAGGTAGGATGGAATTCAGGGAGAGATTTGTAAAAAGCATTGGGCAGTTCTCAATAAATGCTGGTTGGATGAATGACTACATTCTCAGTCGAACCCAGCATCTTGTTGTCAAAGAAATAATACATGGGTTGTTGAGAAGTGCTTACTTCTGTCCACATTAATGTATACATAGTCTAATTATTTTCTGACTATGAAAGGAACACATGTGCATCGTAAAGAGACTTAACAACTGTACTGACTGTTCACTTTGTGCCAGGCTGGGTACCGGGGATTCACAGGAAGTAAGACACAGTTCTTACCGTTGGGAGACTCACAGGCTGTTGGGAAAAAGTATCGGCATCAAGAAAAATATGGTAAATGCTATGAGGGGGCTAAGCTTGGGGGCTCTGGGACCCAGAGGGGCAGGAGGGAGGGGTTGCGATGCTTCTGGGGACAGGTGATGCCTGAGCTGAGCCTCTGAGGCTAAGTAGGGAGTGACCAAGTGAGCAGGGGAGAGGGAAGTGCATTCCAAAGACAGAAAGGGGGGCAGGGGCAGAAGGGGGTACCTTGGAACCACAGTCAGGTTAGCTTGGGAACCAATACAAGGTGAGGAAGCAGGGAAGAGGAGGAAGCACTGGAGAGATTGGGCGGGGGTTGGCAGGGGCAGGTGCGACAGGTGGGGCCATGTTAAGGAGATTGAACTTTATCCTGGAGGCAGGTGGGAGTAACAGAAAAGTTTTAAGCAGGAGAGTTTTCATTGTAGCAGGAAAATGATGTAGCAGGTGACAAGATTTTTTTTTTAAGATTTTTTTCATAATAATGCTCTGTTCCTTCTGAATTTTAGAACATCCCCACACCTGTTATTCATTTGCTCTTCATAACAGTTTTGGAAGGTTGCTAGAGCAGAGTTTTTGTCAATTTAGTTAAAGAATTGAGACTCAGTGGGATTAGGTCACAGCCTGGAGTAATATCAAGAAATGGCTAAGAGCTGAGCTCTGGGGCCAGGAAAGCCAAAGTTCATGTCCCACCTCTGCTGCTAATCAACTGTCCTCTGGCCTCTCTGAGCACAGTGTCTTAATCTATGAAATGGGTATAATCATGGTGCCAACTTCTTAGGTCCATCCACTTATAATTCACTCACTTAGCAAAGTGAAGAGGAACTAAAGAGCCTTCTGATGAAGGTGAAAGAGGAGAGTGAAAAAGCTGGCTTAAAACTCAACATTCAAAAACTGAGATCATGGCATCTGGTCCCATCACTTCATGACAAATAGATAGGGAAACAGTGGAAACAGTGGCTGACTTTATTTTGGGGGGCTCCAAAATCACTGCAGATGGTGAGTGCAGCCATGAAATTAAAAGATGCTTGCTCCTTGGAAGAAAAGTTATGACTAACCTAGACAGCATATTAAAAAGCAGAGATGTTACTTTGCCAACAAAGGTCTGTCTAGTCAAAGCTATGGTTTTTCCAGTAGTCATATGGATATGAGAGCTAGACCATAAAGAAGGCTTAGCACTGAAGAATTGGTGCTGTTGACCTGTGGCATTGGAGAAGACTCTTGAGAGTCCCTTGGATTGCAGGGAGATCAAACCAGTCTATCCTAAAGGAAAAGAAAGTGCAGTCGTTCAGTGGTGTCCGACTGTGACCCCATGGACTGTTGCCTACCAGGCTCCTCTGTCCATGGGATTTTCCAGGCAAGGGTATTGAAGTGGGTTGTCATTTCCTTCTCTAGGGGATCTTCCCAACCCAGGAATCGAACCTGAGTCTCCCACATTGCAGGCAGACACTTTACCATCTGAGCCACAAGGAAGTCCTAAAGGAAATGAACCCCAAATATCCATTGGAGGGACTGATGCTGAGGCTGAAGCTCCAATAATTTGGCCACCTGATGTGAAGAGCTGACTCACTGAAAAAGACCCTGATACTGGGAAAGACTGAAGGCAAGAGGAGAAGGGGACACAGAGGATGAGATAGTTGGATGGCATCACCGACTCAATGGACATGAGTTTGAGCAAGCTCCGGAAGATGGTGAAGGACAGGGAAGCCTGGCGTGCTGCAGTCCATGGGGTCACAAAGAGTTGGACACGCCTGAGCAACTGAGCAACAACCGCCAAATATCTGCTGAGCTCCCAGTGTATGTTGGCACCATGGAGGCGCTGGGACTCCAGCACGGAACGAGAGAGATGAGACCCTGGTTCACAGTGTACTGGAAAAGATAACCATCAACCAAGGGCTCCCCTGGTGGCTCAGCGGCAAATAATTTGCTCGCTAGTGTAGGAGGCTTGAGTTCGATCCCTGGATCAGGAAGACCCCATGGAGGAGCAAGTAGCAACCCGCTCCAGTATTTTCGCCTGGGAAACCCCATGGACAGAGGAGCCTTGCAGACGACAGTCCATGGAGGGCCGGGGGGTCACAAAGAGTTGGACATGACTGAGCATGCTTGAGCATTATGAATAAACTGGATTGTAAGCATCTCTACCACACAGTAAGGCAGGTACCATTATTATCCCCATTTTACAGATGAAGAGATTGAGACCCAGAAAGAATAAGAGGTCATGCTGCCCATAAGCAGTTGGGCTAGGACTCAGGCCAGAGCACTCTGGCTGCAAAGCCTCGGCTCTTTCCAGCACTAGGCTGCCTCTGATGTTCAGACCGTCAGAATGGCATTTAAAAAAGGTCATTCTGATGGCCAACGAGTAAGGTGCAGGCAGAGTCAGGTGGAGTAAGATTAGAACCTAAGACGGGTTCCATGAGAAAGCACAGAAATCCCTTAGCACAGTGCCTGCCGCAGAGAGTGCCCAGTCGCGCTAGATCTAAGTATTTTCACCATCATCGCAAGGCAACAATGAAGTCAGGCCTGGAAGCCAGGCTCCCTGACACACAGCCCGGCGCTGAAGCATTTCTCCTTCCTGACTCCTTTGGTCCTCGTCCTGATAGGAACTCACCTTCTAACCCTCTTCCTCCAAGGGTTCTACCAGTCTAAGTCCTTGTCTGACGATGAAAATGCCAGCAAGGAGCCGGTGTTCAACCCTGAAGCGGTCATCGCCCACTGCTTCAAGCAGTTCAAGCAGGAGGACTTCCAGCTGCCCAGGAGCCGCCGGCGGCTCATCATCCTGCCGCAGAAGGAGGCTCCGAGGCCCATCCGCCCAACGCCCCAACCCCAGACTCCCACGGAGCCCACCCCCAGCCCCAAGGCCCCGGAAGTCGACATCCAAGAACAGCCGGAGGACCCGAGGGCGTGGCTCAGAAAGAGGCTGAAGATGCGTGAAGACCTGGAATCCTTCGGCAACGTCCAGAGGTGGCTGAAGAACAAGGCCAGCCTCACGCTGTCCGAGGCTAAGGTCCTACGTGATATCCACAAGGTTCGGCACGTGGCTCGGCTGCCAAGCCAGCTGGTCATGAGCAGGGACACCGCGGTGAGCAGCCCCGTTTGCCAGGCGCAGACACTTTGGGTGTTAGGGGCTTGCTGTCACTCATTCCCTCAGATTAGGAAGGGTGGGGATCTCTCACCCTAACCCCTACCATCCCCACTCCCAGTCCAGGGGAGTCCTGGGACAGAAGTCCTGAAAAAGGGGGGTACTTGTGATCTCTTGTTGGGCTTCCCTATTGGTTTAGGCAGTAAAGAATCCGCCTGCAATGCAGGAGACCCGGGTTCCATCCCTGATTCAGGAAGATGCCCTGGAGAAGGGAAGGGCACCCCACTCCCATATTTGTGCCTGGAGAATCCCATGGACAGAGGAGCCCACGGGCTGCAGTCTGTGGGGTCGCAAAGAGTCAGATGCGACTGAGCACACACACACACCCCGCCATGTGTTTCACAGGGCTATTGTGAGGATCACAGTTGTAAGACTGGAAGGAAATCTTATAAATCTTTTCCTTTCTAAGAAAACATTTTACAACATTTGTATATGAATCTGTGTATATTATACATATTGTTCCCTCTATAAATATGAAGACAGAAGCTCAGTGAGGCCATACATTGTCCAGGCCCATAGGGATAGTAACTGGCAGTCAGTAGTCAGAGCCCTCATCTTCCAAATGCATCCAACACAGACACCTGAAAATTCTCCCAGTTCAGGTAAAGCTGGCATAAGAGGTCAGATAACTTGGGTTTAAACCCAGCTCTGCTACTTCCTAGCCATATGATCTGGGCCTCAGTTTCCTCAACTGTTAAATGGGGAGAACCATTGTACCTGTTTCCCACGGCTGCTGCAAAATCCAAATGGATTAATATGTATAGGGTGCCTGAGACATGCTGAGCGTATAGTGAGCCCTCGTTCAATGTTCGTCATTTTTATTATTATTGGTTTCATTTGGGTTAGCCCCCAAACTTCAGAGTCGGTCCCTGGTATAATCATAGTCAAAACCCAGCTTTCGTGGTTCTCACACACCCTTTCCTGCCAGCAGCCCAGCCTCTAGGTATAAGCACAGGACTTGGGTTAGAAATCCACTGCTTGCTTGCTGTGTGACCCTGGGCAAGTCATTTCACCTCTCTGAGCCTGTTTCTTCATTTGTAAAAAGGGAAGCTAACACCTAATATCGAATTCACGGCATCCTTCTTTTCCATTCAGCAAACCATTACTGCCTGCTTGCACAGGGCTGGGGGCTTTGTTCAGTACAAGCATAGGAGGTGGGGAATGTAGCTGAGTAAGACATGGTCTTGCTCCCAGGGTGTTCACATTAGTGGGGGAGGCAGACACAAGAGATTAATGCCTCTGCAGTTGACTCCAGGCCACTAATAGACTCCAGGCTGCTGAGGAGCTGTAAGCCAGGGAACAAAAAGGCCTTTTGTAAACAGTCAAGGGCTCCACCACACTAAAGGAATGGTATTCCTAAGTAGTTGACCCTGCTATCTGTTGGGGGGTATCCCACGGATAACAACATCTGAAGATGCTCAAGACCCTCATATAAAAGGGCAGAGTATTTGCATATAACTCACGAGCATCCTCCCTTACATTTGAATCATCTCTAGATGACTTAGAGTACCTAATATAATGTAAAGGTCATGTGAATAGTTATAAATATCATGTTAAGTATGACATAAACCGTTGACAGCCATGACAAATTCAAGCTTTACTTTTTGGAACTTTCTGGAGTTTTTAAATCCATGGATGTGGAGTCCATGGACATGGAGGGCTGACTGTATTCCTGTTTACCTGGAAAGGGAGGAGCAGTAGGAATCTGACAGAAAAGGGAGAGGTATTCCAGGCGGGAGGCCCCGGGGGGGGCCAGAGGCTGGGAAGTGGGAGAAGCAAAGGCTCCAGGTGGCTTCAGGCAGGGGCTCATATTTTGATGCACTGAGGGCCCAGTGGGATTATAATAGTGACTGGTCTGACAGGAGAGATGGGGATAAGCATGAAGTTCTAGTTCTCATTTTGTCCAAACCTCTTGTGCCTGATGCGAACTTGGAGGCTCAGAGAAGCCAAGCGGCCCAGGCCTCCCGTGGCAGGACACGCCTGCCGGAAGCCTGCGCCCTTTGCCTTCCACCCTGCTGTCTGGGTGGCTTGGCTCGGCCTCTGTCTTTCCTGTTTCTAAATCTGGGGACCCAGCTCCGTGGTGTCTCCTGAATGCTCCCCTCTGCCCCCTTCTCTTGCCTCTTTCAGAAGAAAAGCCAGCGACCCTCCCGCCGGCAGGTGCCGCAGCTCCAACTGCCCAGACCCCCCGCCCTGTCGACCTTGTTCTCCCACCTGCACTGCCACAAGATGAAGATCCTGGAGCTGTTCCGCAAGGTGGACCGGGGCGAGCACCAGATCTCCAGGGAGGAGTTCATCGTGGTTCTCAAGGCAGTAAGCGCCTCCCCCGCCCCTGCTGGCTTGAGGTGGTGTGGGGGTGCCCATGTACCTCCACGGCCCCACTATGCTATCCCCAGTCCTGCTCTGACTCTCCCCCATATTACATGTAAAGCCAGATTGGAATATGTGGCTTAACCTGAGGCCCCCATCAGACCCCTAAGGCCACCTTGCCCCAGTCTGACCTTGAAAGGCCCTACCTGAGTGGGAAGTCTGTAGAGCCAGCCTTGTAACCAGCCTGCTGCTTAGGGAATCACTGTCTTGCCAGTGAGACCCCAGAACTGAGCACAGAGACAGCTGGATCTTCAGTCCTGCCTTTAGAACCTTCTAGAACTTCTGGAACCATCACTGGCATGTGACTCACATAGGGGTATTGTTAAATGCAGCTTCTGTCCCAGTACCTCTGTGTGGGGGTCCCAAGATATTGCCTTCTTTTTTTTTGATGGGGAGAGGCACCACGCAGCTTATGGGATTTTAGTTCCCTGATCGGGGATCAAACCTGGGCCTCCAGCAGTGGAAGCAGGGAGTCCTAACCGCTGGACCACCAGGGTAGCCCCCTCAGGAGTCTGCATGCTAACAAGCTCCCAGCAGTGCCCACAGTGTGGGTCCTTGGACCACACCTTGACAGGTTATTAAAAAAATTCAATTTAATTGTAAATAAATAAAACCAGAACTCCAGTTCCTCAGGCACAGTGGCCACAGTTGGAGTGCTCAGCAGTTGTGCTGCCGGACCCCCCAGACACAGCACCTTCCCATCATCACACAAAGTCCTGTTGTTCCAGCAGAGCTCTGCTAACTATGCCCCAGAAGTCGAATCCAAGTGGTCTCCTGTTTTCTTGTCAATAAAGTTTTATTGGAACACAGCCATACACATTTGTCTATGCGTCATCATGGCTGCTCTCATGCCAGGAGGGCAGAGTTGAGTAGTGATGACAGAGACCCACATGGCTCAGAGCCTAAAATACTTACCATCTGGCCCTTTCGAGAAAAAGTTTGCTGACTCCTGGTCTGGGTGACTTAAGCTTTTATATATTTTGAATACATGATACCTTTAAAAAAACTTTAGGAAAGAAAGGGAATACTACACTTTTTTCAGTCTTAAATCACCAGCAGTTTTACACTTTCATTTTATGCCATGTAGTTATCTTAACATTTCAAAGCATTTTAAACAAAAAATAAAGGGTCCTTAATCAACGTCATCAAAAAGATCAAACACTAAATCCTTTAGCACCAGGTGAGTTCAGATCATCTTTAAGTAAAGCTCAGCGTGTAAAGAAGCTGGCAAAGATACATTTCCTTTCACACTGTTTTTTCTTGAATATTCAGTATTGCTGGCAAGTATTGTATTTCTCCAAAGTTGCCCGTCACCCTTAAAAGAGTCCCAGGCATCAGATTTCCTACTCTATTTTACTTCAGTTAAGGGAGGCCTCTGTGTCCCTCACGGACCAGGAAGACAGATGTGAGATCCTCCTTCCAGTCCGGCACAGGAAGGCTGAGATTGGAATGGAGTGGGCAGGGAGGCCAGAGGGAGAAGTAACGGCCTCTGCAAAGATGGGGACACGTCTGGACCGGGGTTTGGAAGGAGGGATGGGAGCTGTTCAGGCAGAAAGTGGGAATCGCCTGAGTCAAGGCAGAGGGTGAGAAATGTGCAGGGCCCCGGGGAGAGGCTCTGAGCTCCTTCGCAGGGACCCTGGATGTGAGCTGGGGGCGGCTGAGGATGAAACTCGATGGGGAGGCGGGGCCAGGCTGGCAAGGCTTTGGCCATCCCAGCAGGACATCTGGAGCGAGGCTGCCCGCCTGGGGGCTTCTCTTGTCTCCTCAGATTAGAGTCCCTCTGAAAAGCCAGGAGGTGGAGGACATTGTGATCTACCTCAGCTCTCTGGGGAAGCACAACAGCATCACGATGGATAACCTGGCCAGCACCTACAAGCAGTGGTCTTTGGCTCAGCAGCAAAGCACCCTGACCACGGCGACAGAGAGTACGTATCCGCCTCCGCCGCTCCCCATGCAGGGGGGAAGCTGACGCTCAGAGAGGCTGACCGCCTGGCCACAGCCTCAGATCTAGAAGGCGGCAGGGCCACGATCTCATTTCTGCCCCAGGCCACAGAGGTCTGAAGCAGGCCTGGAAAAGCAGGATGCTAGAGGGTGGGAATGGCGCCAGGGAGGCTGGGGCCGGGTGCGGGAGAGGGAGCAGAAGGCCACAGAGGCGCCGGAGGAAGGGACGCCTTCTAGGTGCCCGCTCGGTGACACTGGTCACTGCCCGATGGGCTCCGTGGCCGGGCACCCTCTCAGCTCCTCCTTCCTCCGCCTCTTCCCTCCGCCCCTAGATTCCAGATCGTCCACGGACGGCGGCTCCGCACAGAGTCCATCCCCGAAGCAGAAGGTGAATGTATCCCCAGAGGCTCCCAAGATGGACCTGCTGACGGTGCCCGTGGTCGACACGGAGATGGAGGCACGGCCCATGACACTAGAGGAGATGGAAGACGTGGGCAAACACTACCGAGACAGGAAGCGGCAGAACAAGGTGCCCCCACCGACAGGGGAGGGACGGGGCCCAGGGAGCGGGCAGGCCGGGCCCACCTGCCCACGTGCCCCAGCTTCTGTCCGGGGGAGCTCTGGGGGTCCCGGCTTCCTTACCTCCTCGCTCCCTCTTCTGTGTGTATGAACAGCACCTGCCTCTCAAGCTTTCTGATAAGATGAGTTGATAGGATGTTTCTGAAAGTACCGAGTTCCCTTCCTCCAACTGTTGAATCATGACTGAATCCTGAGGCCAGGACTGCACATGCATCACAGCTGGAGTCCAAGAACCTAGCCTGGGGCCTGGCACTGAGTAGGCACTCCAGAAACACACGTCGAGTGAAGGAAGGGAGAACTGACGGGATGAGTTAATTTGCCCGATAAATATTTATTGAGAGCCTGTGATGCGTCATGCACTGTTCTAGGTGCCTCCCTCGGGACTCAGATGGTAAGGAATCTGCCCGCAATGCAGGAGACCCAGGTTCAATCCCTGAGTCGGGAAGATCCCCTGGAGAATGGAAATGGCAACCCACTCCAGAATTCTTGCCGGGAAAAATTCCACGGACAGAGGAGCCTAGTGGGCTACAGTCCGTGGGGTCGCAAAGAGTTGGGACAGGACTGAAGCAACTTAGCACGCACGCACGGGGCCTTCTGTGTGTGTATATGGTCGCGTGTGCGCTTCTGTGTAAGGAGCCGTGCCCACAGAACCTGTGCCGGGACCATTCACACGTTATTCAGGGGTCACCGTGACCACGGGTGATTTTTCCTCCCGAGTGGCTGGCGTCAACACCTGCACTCACGGGGCCTGGGGGCAGAGGCGGCTGAGGCTCCGCGTCTGCCTTGGGCCCGGAGGGAGGCGAGGAGGAGTGAGTGCCCGCCTCCGCTCTCCCCACAGCTGGCCCTCCCCTCCATCCACTACACGGAGCAGTGCCGCCTGGTGCGCAGCGGGGACAAGCACTTGGACGAGCACTGCCTGCCGACCACCGTCCACGGGGAGATGGAGGGCATCCTCAACAGGTCCCGCGTGGACACCCTCCTGGTCTACCTGCAGTGCTGGAAGGTCTGCGAGGCGCACGGCCTCCCGCTGACCGAGGACATCCTCATGAGAGGTACGGGCCTCGGGGGCCGCTGGGAAGGTGACAAGGGGGGCCCCGAGCGGGGGGCCAGGGGGGCAGCCACCTGAGGCTTGTCCTTACCCAGCCGACGAGCACCCAACCACACCGCGGGGACGCGGCGGAGAAGCGGGGCGGGGGGAAGAACAGCCCCACCGGGTTGGCTTGTATTTATTTGGGGCTCTGTCACCACGGGGGCTTTTTCTCCAGGTGCGGGGGGGCGGGGGCTGCCCGCTAGTGGCGGCGCACGGGCTTCTCAGGGCGGCAGTTTCACTCGTGAAGCACTGGCTCCCCGGTACAGGCTCAGCCGCTGAGGAGCACGGGCTTAGATGCTCCGCAGCACGTGGGATCCTCCCAGACCGGAGATCAAACCCGTTGTCCCCTGCACTGGCAGGCAGATTCCTGTCCCCTGCGCCACCAGGGAAGTCCCCTGGTTCCCTGTGAGGGGATTTTCCAGCCCTGCAGGGCCCACACTGTGCTCCATAGGCCCGGAGTCCCGGTTCCCCAGCCTAGGGAAGGGAGCATCAGGACTGGAGTTCCAGGTGAGGGAGCCAGCGGTGGGCCAGGAGGAACAGTCCCGAATGAGCACCGACTATCCTGTCGATGTAGGAAATACATCAGTGTTGTAAGAGTGAATCTGTGCATGTGATGTTTCCTAAAAAAAGGAACTTGAAGACCTCAAAAGGCAGTTGTTAAGATGAAATAATGTAGTTATAATTATTTGGTATTCACATTTACTGACAATAAGAGCCATTTCCTTAAGCAGATAAAACTATTGTAGGATGAGGGAAAAGATGGTTGAAGAATGAGACTTGCAGACAATGCATTGTTTCATTTAATATTTATGTCTGATTTTTTTTTTTTACAAATATGCTTTTGTCCTTGGGAATTGTGATTGCACGATAAAGGGAAACTATTTTGTTATTCCTAAGTATGAATTAGTTTGCTTATTAGAGTAGCAATAAGGAACAGGACAGGAAGCCTGGCTGGGAGAGGTAACCGTGAGGACACGTGGAGTGTTTCAAACCCACTCGTCTCGGCCAGGCCTGTTCCTCCGTGCCTCTGCCACACGGAGGGAAGAATGCATCGGGAGACGGGTTCTGTGGAAGCCCTTTGCCCTCTGCTGGGCCCACAGATCTCAACCCTGAGCTCTGGCACTGGTCCCGCCCTCTGCTTGGGGCAGGACCTGTGTTTCCATGTATCCAAGCAGATATGAACCCTCCACTCCTGGGGGGACTGCGTGCTTCTGAGACATGGGGCAGAGGAGTGGCCCCATAGGCCCCTGATGACCATGTAATGATGCTGGCATCCCACATTTATGAAGTACGTATTTAATGGCTGGTCACTGCTGCACTGGAGGGCAGAGGTTTTCCTGTAGGAACCTTGCAGGAAGGAGCTGTGGCCCTACTGGGCTGTGGTTTTCTGATAAAGGGACACACGGAAAGTGCCCTGACTTCCCTGAGAACAAGAGTTAACAGTCACAGTTGGTGGTTTCCTTATTTTTCCCCCTGGGAGGGGAAACATACGCTCAGTGTAGAGGACCTTGGGTCTTGTATTAGTTTGGTAGAACCGCTGTAACAAAACACCACGGACTGGGGGCTTACACAGCAGAGAGGTATTTTCTCACCATTGTGGAGGCTGGGGAGTCCAAGATCAAGGTGCTGGCAGGGTTCGTGTCCTCTGAGATCGCTCTCCGTGGCCTCCAGATAGTCACCGTCTGGCTGTCTATTCACACGGTCGTTTTCGTGCACACATGCGCCCCTGCTGTCTCTGTGTCCAGATTTCCTCTGCTAAGGACACCAGTCAGACTGGATGCAGGCCTGCCTTAGTGGCTTCATTTTAGCTTTATCACCTCTTGAAAGGCCTCATCTCCAAATACAAATTCTAAGGGTCAGGGCTTCAATATATGAATTTGGGGGAATACAAGTCAGGCCATAACAGGTCTATACAGGAGGAAGTGGCCAACGGCCTTCAGGAACACAGGCCAACCAGCCTAAATGATCACTGTCTCCTGCACAAGCTGCACGCCCCTTGCTTGGGCAGCCACTTGATGCTGTCTGGGTTGGAAGGGCATAGATACAGCAGGTGACCCCACAGCTCTCGACCCTGACTTTTCACGAAATCATCCTTCCTCCCTCCTTCCTCGGGGAGTCTCATGCTCCCACATCACCTGGGCTTGGCGCGCAGTGGGGCTGCAAGTGTTCTAAAACATAGGCAGGATTCCCAGGCACACAACTGCTCCTGCAGGCTAGGTCTTGCCCCCAGACGTACCAGCTGGTCTGTCCGCACCAGAGGATCGAGGCTTTACTGATTTTCTCCACCACCAGCTTTTGCTGACTCCTGGGCCTGCACACAGCTGAGTTTCACGTGTCTGCAGGATCCCTCACTCATGGGCACATAGGAGCATCTGTGGGTGGGCTTCCGTTTGCTTCTGACTGGTCCAAGTGGAAAAGATGCTAGTCCATCTCTAGCCACTGTCCTGGCCACTGTCTGTTGGCTGTCCATGACAGAGACCGGCACTTCCAGGTCTGTGCCTGAGGCTAGAGCTTGGTGGGCTCAGACCCCAGGCGTCAAGCTCATGGGCCAGACTTCTAGAACATCGAGGCATTTACCCTCCCACTGAATATATTCCCACTGAATATAGCTTTATTGTTCTGCTCCCCCTAATTTTATAGATAAATCTTGCTCATTTACATTTTTGAAAACAAATCCAAACAAAATCCCCCAGCCTGAGTTGACCACCAATAGTATTTAACGACTGTCCTTTCACAAATCTCTTTTTCTTATTTATTTGCTATTCACATGGATTAGTTCTATAAGTCATTTTTAAAAAGTTCTATATGTATATACATTAAAAAATGTAGCTTAAAAATCATGTAAACCTTTTAAAAATGTTGATGTTGCCCATCTCCCCCTTCCCTCCTCTCCCTTCTCACCTGTGCAATCCCTGCCCTCCACCCAAATAACCAACATGAAAAACCTGGGACTTCCCTGGTGGTCCAGAGGCTAAGACTTCATGCTCCCACCACAAGGGGCCTGAGTTCGACCCCTAGTCGGGGAACTAGATCCCAGATGCTGCAGCTAAAGATTGAAATTCCCTCGCAACTAAGACCTGGTGCCACCAAATAAATAAATATCAATAATAATAATAAAAAAATCATGGACTTCCCTGGTGGTCCAGTTGTTAAGATGCTGAGCTTCCAAAGCAAGGGGCATGGATTCCATCCCTGGTCGGAGAACTAAGATCCCACAAGCCTCTCAGCCAAAATAGATCATGTAAATAAAGAAATAAATTTGTGTTGGCCAGATAAGGAGAGGGGGCATTCTAAGCAATAAAGTGTAGTTGATTCACCAACTAAAAAAAAACAAACGAAAACACCTTAAAGAAAATTAATAACCTGGAGAGTAAACCTCCATCACTGTATCCAGAACATGAGATGCCGGGGCGAGCCCTGCTCAGTAGTTGCAGGAGGGTGGGGTCCCCAGCGCTTCTCCTGCACGAGAAAACCCACCATCCACCGAGTGTAAGTTAATCCAGTGACGTCTGGGGTGAGGCCTCCTTTCCTTCTTGAGGGACTCCTGACCAGGCCGCCCCTGCAGAGCAGGGTGTGGGGCCACGCTCCCTCCTACCTGCCTCCAGGCCTCGGGGCCACCGCCGCCCTGGTTCTGAACAGGTGCCCTCATCTCTGATCCCCTGACTGGCAGCCTGCCAGCCCCACTTCCCAACAGCGTGCTGCCAGGACGCACTCACCACCATGGGGGGGTGGGCGGTGGGCTGGGGAAGGGCTTGCGGACCCACTGCACTATTTTTTGCAACTTGCGTGAACCTACCATCATCTAAAGATAAAAAGTAAGGAGACTTCCCTGGAGGCTTAATGGTTAAGACTCCAAGCCTCCAGCGCAGGGAACTGTGGGTTTGACCTCTGGTCGGGGAACTAAGCCTCCATGTGCCACTGGAGACCAAAAAAAAAAGTTAGAAAAAAAGTATATAAGAAAAATCTTTCCAAACAAGAATGTGAATTTGTTTTTAAAAATAGCCCCTCTCAGCCCCAAAGGCTGGGGTTGGGGAGGGGCCTCGGGCTGACAGGCCGTGTTTCTCCTCCTGCTCACAGCCCTGATGTACCCAGGGGACAAGATCATTTTCCAGAAGGACCAGGTGCGCCCAATCCGGCAGCCGGGAGGCCACTACTCAGACTTCAAGCCCTTCAGAGCGAACCTGGCCCCGCTCCAGCCCCAGGCCGTTCCCGTTCCTGTGGCTCGGAAGCCTGACAAGCTGAGTGTCGGCCCCTCCTCCCCACCCTGCGCTCCTGCCCACTGACGCCCGTGGCGGGGGGGGGGGGGGGTGGGGGGGGTGGGCAGTTACGGGGGGTCATGGGCCGGTGTCTGTGTCCTTGCCCAGCGTGTCCAGCCCACCTGATCCCCACGGACTGGCCGCGTGCTCCCCCTGCACGCATCTCCCCAGCCTCCTTGCCTCACCCCCACGCAGCTGCCCTCCTGACCACATCCTACGCAACCTTAAGGTCTCTGGAAAAGGTTAAAAAGAAGGACTTCTTCGAGAAACCGGGGAGGCCTCTTCATGAATCGTGGGCTGTGTGTAGGGCCCCTTCCAAGGACAGTGGTGGCAACCCCTCCTCTGCCTTCTCTAGCAAAAGGTGGGCTTGCACACCCCCTCCTGGAGAAAAGAACTCTGCCCTGGGGCCTCCCCCGACCCTCAGATCAGCCCAAGTGCCCTCTAAGAGAATGCCCTCCTTTGTCAGGAGGTGACTGGTGAGCAGGCTACCAACCAGCTTTGGTGGGCACTGCAGAGTGGAGGGAGGGAGGGGAGAAGGGGCCGCTGACCAGATCCCGTGACGGGGGAGGGGCTGAGGACCTGTCCACACCATCCATCGCTGCCAGATGCCTGCTCGGGTGGTCTGGCCAGACAGCCAGGGTGGGAAGCAGTGGAGCTGAGTGGAAATCACAGACCAGGGATCAAATGGACAGTTACCTCGCTCACTGAACCTCAGCATGTTCATCTGTAAAATGGGCCTAACAGCTCTACACCACACACAGTGAGGACCCTTAGCGCCTGAGCACTGATGGTCATAGCCCATCCCTTCAGGCCATTCTCGAGTGTAGGAGTGGGCTTCGCCTGCAGGTGGCGCTAGCCACAGCCCCGGCGGGGAAGAGCTGAGCGGGAGCTGGGCAGCTGGTCACCTAGAGAGTGGCCTCCGATCCCCTGCGTGGCTGCCACCAGTTCCCGAGCCATGAACCTCAAGAAGCTGAGAAAGTGACTTCCGTCCTGCTCCGACAGGGCCCAGTTATAAAGGACAGAGGTCCCCGGGGGCGGGGGTGGACTGGTTTCATCGGCTCCTTAGCGTGCCTTGTCAAAGATTCCGAGGCCAGGTGCAGGCTTGCTGGGAAAGAGTGCTGTGGCAGTTAAGTGATGTCTACCAGGCTCCAGGTTTGGGGCGTTAGGTTTTACCACACTTGTCCTCAAGGCGGGATTCAGCTCTGGAGGGCAAATGGGAGTCGCGGGCGCAAAAAGGATTCAGATGACTGAGCATGTCTCGTATTGGCTTGAGAAGTCTCCATGCCTGGGAACAAGAAACCCGAGGCCGCCACAAGCGGACTGACTTGTCCCAAGTCACCCAACCAGCCAGGCTAGGAGCCCAGGGCTGCCGTCCTGTCTGCCTCCCCAATAGGGGCCCAGAGGTTTAGACACTCCAGTCCACTGGAGCATGGCGGACACAGTCAGGGCCCTGCCCAGGGGGAAGAAGTTCTCTTTCCAGGGCTCTGGTCTGGACTCAGAGGTGAGCCTCCGTCACCCTGACCTACTTACTCCCTGAGGCCCCACTGACCTGGATTTCCTGTCTCCTGACAAGATACCTCTCTCTCTCTCTCCTCCACCAGGAAAATGCCAAAGAAAATCAAGAGAATCAATTTTAAGGAATTTGAGGACTTCACCAGGTCTGTAGTGATCATCTAACTCTGGGGGGCGGGGGGCAGGCAGGTGGGAGGAAGGGACCCAGGACTCGAGTATTGCAGGGTCCATGAGACCCAGCATCCAGGACTCAGTGCTCAGGAGCTGAAGATCTGTAGAGTGACTGTTAGGAGCGCCAGGGGCTTCCCTGGGGGCTCAGCAGTAAAGAATCCACCTGCACTGCAGGAGCCTTCGATCCCTAGGTTGGGAAGATCTTCTGCAGAGGGGCATGGCAACCCACTCCAGTATTCTTGCCCAGAGAATCCCATGGACAGAGGAGCCTGGCGGGCTACAGTCCCTGGGGTCGCAGAGAGTCGGACACGACTGAAGAGACTTAGCACGCATGCGCACACAAGAGTGCCAGGCAGACGCTGCTCTCCACTCGTTAATTCACGTAAATCCTCTCCACAGCCCTATGAAGTTTCTCTTAGCAGTCCCATTTCACAGACGAGGAAACTGCCGTACAGAAAGCTTGGCTTCCTTGCTCCGAGTCACGGATCTATTAAGTGGTGGAGCAGAGATTTGGACCCACCAGGTGTGCTATCTCCAGCGGCTGCCCTCTGAACAGCACGTGAAAATGCCTCTACAGAACAGGTGCTGTGCACGTTAAGAGTCTGGATTTAGAGGCAGCCGACTGGCAGTCAAGCCCACCCCCCCGCCACTTGCCAGCTGCGTGGCCTTGGGGAAATGACTTCGCTTCTCTAGGCCTCCGGGTCCTTGCTGGTGAGGCAGACAGGACAACAGACTACTAGAGTGCTTAGCACAGTGCTGCGCCTCCGCTGGGGAAGGAGCCCCAGCTGCCCCCTGTCTCCATGACAACTGTCTCTGTCTTCTCCTTCCCCAGGAAGCTGAAGGAGAAGAAGCCCAGCGGTCCGCAGCTAACCCATCCCAACTTCTTCTGGCCGGGTCACCTCCTGGACAAGCTGCGGCTCTACCTGCCCACTGTGACCATGGACCGGAGCCTGGCCATCTTCAGCTGTGTCCAACAGCGGCCCTGCGTCTACTCGGCCACCTACCACCCCGACCGCTGGTGGCCCATTAAGGACATGAATTACGCGACCTACGCCTATTATGATGCCCACAAGATCTATCACATCAACTAGAGTGGCCCAGGTGCCGCCAGACCTAGCCATCCTGGGGCCAGGCACCAGTGCAGCTAGCAGCCCAGAGCTGTAGACGCAGGGAGGGCGTCAAAGAGCCAAGCAAGAGAAGTCGTTTCAATGGGAAGGCCTGGGCCAGCTGTCTCCAGACAAAGCATCCAGTGTCTCAGAGGGTGGATGTGTCCAGGGAAAGATGTGGTTTGTGAGTGTCTCCCTCTCCTAACCTCTGTCCTGTTGAAATAAAACCAGGTTGGAGTTTTCCTCATTTTACCTGTGATTCAGCTGATGTAATTTCCGGATTCAGGAGCTGTAGCCAGAGGGGTGTTGGAAAGCTGGGGTCCAGGGTCTGGGGAAAACAGCAGGCACATTTCCTGGGGTGTTGATGGGGATGCCGGCATGACCTCTCCAGCCTCTCATCCCGGACCTCAGTGCCCACCAGGAAGCAGCAGGCAGTGTGGGTACCCTTGTGCCCTCCTCTTGAAATAAAATAAGCATGTCCCTCATCCCCCACCAAGACAGAACCCTTTGGGTCACTACTTCCAAAACTCTTGGGCCTTTTGCAACTGCAAGCATACTCTCTGGTTCATGAGCCCTTCCCCTGACTCACCCATCTGACCCCGTCAAGACCTTTTCCATCACGACACACACCCTGTGGGCTGCTGTTAGCTCAGTGCCTCTGTGCTGGGCATCCCAGCTGACTCCTCCTGCCGCAGGACAAGCGGGATTCCTGAGGGGTGGTGCCGCCAGCGATGTGATTTTGGGCAAGACATTCCCTTCACAATTCCCCATCTCATGTCTCTGGGTCTCCTCACTCTCCCCCTCCACAGTCAAAATCTCACCAAGGAGTTGTCAACACTCCCTTACCTTCTCACCCATTACGCAGTCAACAACACAATCAATCCATCTCAGCTTCTGTCTCCGCCTGGCTGTGTAAGTACCAAGATCACTGATGACAAGACATCCGTATTGTGTTCAGGTCTTGGAATCAAGGGCCATTTTCTTTTCTCTTGAAATTTGATTTTGACATTAATGTTAAAAACAGAAGGTAAAATTAAACAAACCAAGAACGATGAATAACCAGACCGTCTAGCCTAATGGTTAGAAGTGTGGATTTGTGTGTGTGTGTGTGTGTGTGTGTGTGTGTGTGTGAAATCTCCAAACTTCACTCTATACATATGTAAAATGAGGAAACTAATAGAACTATTTCTGGAACTGTGCGAAATCCACCGAATGAGTGTTTTAACCGTCTCATTGCTGTTTATAAACTCACGTGAGAGAATTATTAGGAAGTCTATGTTTTGCTTTCTCCTGGCCACTAAGAGGCGCACTTCGGGAGAAGAAACGCGGGCGGAAATAACCTAAAAATTGGATTATCCTCCGGAGGGACGGCTTCAATTCCTGGCGGAAGTGAGTGACTCCTCACTAGGTCTTAGAAGCTCAAAAAGAATTTCAAATTTTTATGCGGCCCCAACTGAAGGCATGAAAATTTTTAGTGCTACTCCTAGATATTAATAACTAGGAAAACACAGGCAGCCTCGGCTTTTTTTCAGTATTATTTCTCTGACGTGTCTTTAGTATCTTTGACGGGCTAAACGCCGGAAGTGCTTGCCTTTTCTCTGTCAGGATGCGAAGTGACGTCCCATCAGCCCCCGCGCGGCACCTTCCTCTCTCTTCCTCGGCGCTGCCTACGGAGGTGGCAGCCATCTCTGACTCGGTGAGTGTTAATCGTTGGCCATCCGCGTCTCTGCGGTCTGCATCTGGCCCCTTCACCGCCTGTCGGGGAAGCTCGTTCTCCCGAGAAGTCGTCTGGGTGGGCATTGCCCTTGGTTGGCTGGAGCGCGTACAGAATCCGAGCGAAGCGGCCCGGCGGGTGATGGAGGTTCTCTTCCCAGGGCCGGTTGTGCTCCAACGGAGGCCGCCTGGGGTCAGTCAGAGCTGCGGACAGCTTGTTTGAGCCCTGGGGGCGCAGGGCGCTGGTTGGGGCCAGAATATGCGGGGGTCCTAGGGGGCTGGGAGAGTTGCGGCCTTATTGCCCTAGCTCGATTCCTCGGATCACCTCGCTTAGCGCTGTCTACTCAAGTGTATTTGTCTATTTCCACTGTTCGGCGCTCCTCCAATTTCTGGCCCTGGGGTTGCTGCTTTGGCGGGCCGCAAAAAAAAAAAAAAAAGCTGAGCTACGACTCGAATAGTGTAATTACCCGAAATTCTGGTAGCGGGTCAGGATCTCTGGGAATGTGAAACTGCGTCTTGACCTTCGAGGATCCCCCTTTGGCGGCATTCTTTCTTGGCTCTGACTATGCAGGGTGACCTCCTAACCTCCCAGGATCGCATCTGGAGAATGGCTTGTATTCTGCCAGCTTCGGAGTCGGGAGGGAAAGCAAGCCTGGCAGAGGTACCCATTCCATTCCCAGTTTGCTCAGTATCTGGTGATTGGAAGACACTCTGCAACAAGAGCTCAAGCCTCCGGGCAGGGCGAGAAAGTCTCCTTCCAAGAAGTCATCTTTGACGTGGTCTCTTGCCTCTTTCTTGAAGGCATCATGGCCGCCCTCAGACCCCTCGTGAAGCCTAAGATCGTCAAGAAGAGGACCAAGAAGTTCATTAGGCATCAGTCAGATCGATATGTCAAAATCAAGGTATGTGGCCCAGGATGGAAGTGTGTGTTGGGTGAAAAGAAAATAGATGGTTCCTAAACAGGCTGTTGGGTTTCTGAGCTTTGCTAGATGACTGGTCTCTGGCGGGTGGCAGGGCTCTCTAGAACCTCAGGTGTCCCTGCCTCACTGGCACTCAGGCTCTTGATGTATGTGTAAAGTTGAAATTTAAATGACACGGGGCATGGGCCTGTTCTGAGGTATGTAGCGGCTTATACGAGTTACATCTCAGGTGCCTTTGTGACAATATGAGGGAGAGATTATACTTACTGCATAGGTGGGAAAACTTAGGTGCTGAGTGTGATGTTGAAAGCCAGGCTCCTCATCTTTATACACAGGCCCCTCACGGTTCATGGGTATGTAGTCTGCTTTTCCTTTGCTTGGAAGGCGTGTGAATGGGGGTGTGTATTTGTGCTGGTCAAATGTAGGTGCTCCTGTGAAATCCTGTTACCCAAAGACAACTAGAGTTTGGCACATTTCATCTGGCCCCCTTTTTTCTCCTGAAGGCAGAGTTGGCATCTTCACAGACACTGACCGTGTGTGTTTTTTTATTTTCAGCGGAACTGGCGGAAACCCAGAGGCATTGACAACAGGGTGCGCCGAAGATTCAAGGGCCAGATCTTGATGCCCAACATCGGTTACGGGAGCAACAAGAAAACCAAGCACATGCTGCCCAGCGGCTTCCGGAAGTTCCTGGTCCACAACGTCAAGGAGCTTGAGGTGCTGCTGATGTGCAACAAGTGAGTTGGGTCTCACCTCTGGGTTCAGGTGTCAGAAGCCAGCCTGTGAGATCGGTTTGGGCAGGCGACTCTAGACCTTCTAGAATGCAGTTGGAGGAGTCTTGTGTCCTCAGGAGCTTGGAGGATGCTTGTTGGGGACTCCAGAATGTTTCCTTTGCTGGGGGGAGGGGGTGTCCTGAAAGCATAGAGGCCTGGGACCTGAAAAGAGGTAATGGTTTTGCTTGGCACTGCAACATCCTCTGGCAGTGGTTTCCAGAACATTACTTATGTGGGGGGTGGGGCAGGGATGAAACAGAGCCCAAGACCCAAGGGATTCTTAGTGCTGTGGCCACAGGACTGTTCAGAAGGCTGCAGGCGTGGAGGCGTTGCTGCCTCTTTTGGGGCCCTGATGTGAAGTTAAGAAGGGAGAGGCCACAGGCAGAAGACAGCACGTGTTCTGAGGAATTTAGACACTTGTGGAGCTCTGTGTAAATGACCTGTGGTCTGTGTAGGGCAGTGGGATGAGAAGAGTTTTTTTGTGGGGGGTGATTTAGACACAATTTTAATCTGGATTGGGGGAAACGGTATTTTTTGGTTAAGTGGAGGAGAGTTTTTTTTCTTCCACTACCCGTAGAAATTCTGGGCATAAGGAATAAACAACTAGTATTCTCCCTCACTGTTGAGTTTCTGTAGGTCAGGAATTTAGCCAAGCATTAAAATACTGGAAGTATTTTGGAAAGGATGGGCTTAGGAATTAATGTTGGATGCCCAGACCGCACTGAGTGAGCAGGTTGGTAGAGAACTGTGACAGAATGGTGTAGTTTAATACCTTTTGTGTAGCAAAGATTGCAGTGCATATGTTGCTGGTTGCCATAAAGATAAGTGTGTTTTTAATAGTACCTTGGTAGTTTGTTATCAATAGCCACAGAAATACTCTGAATCTAATTTAATTCACAAGTTCCATTTCTGGGCATTTATCTTTAAATAATTGAAACTGAGTTGATCATTGCAGTAACTGAACAACACATCACTGGTGAATGGTGAGGGTACAAGCACCAGCTGGAATGTTGTGCTTATATTAAAAACTGGTCATTTAAAAAAAACAAAAACCCAGTGGTCATGTATGGAAGATGCCCAAGCAGAGAAAAAAGTATTTTAAATATGTGCACTGTGATTGTGATTATTAAATACACAAGATGAGGACCTGGGTGGTGGTGGTGTTTTTTTTTAAGATGGAAAGTGTGATACAACTTAAGTCTCCTTTAAGATACTGGCATGAGTAGACTTTAAAACAAAGCATTTCTCTGTCTGGATTGGTTTCTCTCTTACTGTGAAGCTATTTTCCTGCAGAGTTCTTAATTCTGCCTGCTGCCTTTACAGTCTGCTGAGATTGGTCCGGGGTAGTGTGTCTAGTCTTAATCCGCTGTAATGGCTTCATAAGGCATTTCCTTGCTGAAATGTGCTCATGCGACCAATTTGCTGACAACCTGGGGTGGGATGTGACTATGAAGGAATGAATAGACCAGTACCTGGTGAGTGCTCAGGAATTGTTGGGTCTTGTCATTCACTGGGTGAGTCTAGACATTGTTACTTTTCAACTTTAATTTTGTCTGCAGCAAACAATGTTTATGGTCTGGGCAGGGGAGCCCTTGGCTTAAACAGACTGTTGGATTTTGGTTGTTGGTTGCTTTGCAGAAAGTTTACCTAAACTTTTAACTGGCAAGGCCAAGCTCCCTGAGACTGCCTTGAGCTGGGCAGGTTGGCCTAGAGGGCTGAGCCATCCTGGCCTGGCTGTGACTTGGGAATTCACTTCCACCTTGTGGCCTTGGTTTCCTTGTCTGTAAAATGGGGGTGCTGCTTGGGTCACAAGGCTGCTGGGAGGACTCGGTGAGAGGGGTCTCTACCAAGGAACATTTAGGAGCTTGCTGCTAGTACCGCGGAATCAGGTGAGTCTGCGCCCCTGCCTTCAGTGCTGTGGCTCTGAAAGCAAAGGAACTAAAGCTCGTGCCTTCCCACTGGAACAGCGTGCCTTCCAGGCAGGCCTCCTTTCCCACGTACTGATTGTCTTTTCCAGATCTTACTGTGCTGAGATTGCTCACAACGTCTCCTCCAAGAACCGCAAGGCCATTGTGGAAAGAGCAGCCCAGCTGGCCATCAGGATCACCAATCCCAATGCCAGACTGCGCAGCGAGGAAAATGAATAGACAGCTCATGTGCATATTTTGTTTGTGGTAATAAAAGCATAAAACCCGACTATCTGGCATCTCCCCCTTGGTTCTTACTCTTCAGTATGACAGCTTGCCACAGATGGGTCTTCTGCCTGTTTGTCCTCTCTGGAACCTGTTTGGAAGGGGTGGTTTGTAAAGGACCTGTGATCCTTTGCAGGGCGCACACCTCAAGTGCTCAGACCGGGGTAGGTTCTGAGACCCAGATGGAAGGTCCTTGCACTTGAAGCAGGTAGTCATTTTTAGCCTTACTTTGTAAAGTTAGAAGTTACCCTGTGCGGTTCTTACAAAGACTGAGGACAATCAGGTTTCCCTTTTCAACCGTAGCTGTAGATCTCAGGTAGAATTCAGCTGTTCTATGACTTTTTATGAACCATTTTTCCAACACATGGTTTCAGCAGCACAGGTCACGTGGGACAGGGCATGTGGCACTCTGGCACAAGATTGGGTTTAAATCCCACAGTTGTAGTAGATGGATGTCTCAGACTGGGTCCTGTTCAAAACCTAATCTAACAAAAAATATGTTGAGTAAATTACTGGTCATTTCATTTTTCTGAAAGACTTAGGAAGCATTCTGACAGTCTTAACTACTGAGGAAAGGAATTGTGCAGAGAAAATAATGATTCAGGATCTGTCCTTTATTGACCTGGGATGGCAGAAAATTGTTTGGCCTGACATTGACTGTTTCTGTGTCCTTGATCCTAAAAAGTATAGAGGACGGGTTCACAAACCATCCAGTGACACATTTGCCAATTTGCTACATGAGAGTCTGGGGATTAGAAAAAATTACATCTTATTTCCTACCCAACCCACCTGGCCTTGCAAAACTATAAAGCATTGTGGACTCTAAAGTGTGAAGAGCTCATAGAGGTATCTCGTTTTTCAGATGCCCAGCCAAAGCACTAATTTTTGGCAGATCAGAACAGGTGAAGTAGAGAAAGGAGAATGACAACGTCTGGGACAGTGGCGGGGAGGAAGGCAGGGACCCCCGGCTGGAGGGAGCCAGGCTAACCTGTGTGAAGTCACATCCATTTTCACGGGAGGCCTGGAAGGACTACCACACCCCCTCTGAATGACTGTCCTGAGTTAAAGGGGCCAACTGTTGGCAGCTCTGACAGAGCCTGTGAGTTGGGGTCCCTGGAGAAGGTGCTGGAAGCCCCGAGCAGGAGCTGGAGGGCCCCCAGGGAGATGGAGAAAGGGCAGGAGTAGAGGCCTGCGGTGGTAGGAGGGTGAGGCTCTGGCTTTGACTCTGGTGGGCCTCCTTGCAAGTTGGGGTCCCCAGGGTCTGGGTGCTAGCTGAGTTCCATGGAGTCTGTGCTGGGAGCCGAAACGGAATCCTTCTGGATGCTTTCAAAGAGGGCAGCCAGTTCGGGATTGGATCGAATTTGAGATGAGAAGTCAGCCATGATGGGGCTCTTGCCCACTTCCGGGATGGTCAGCAGGGCAGCCACTGCCCTCATGGCTGAGCGCTTCAGTTCATCTTGCTTCTCAAACTCTTGTTTCACGGAACCAGCTTTGACCTAAAGTGGAAACGGTGAGCTGGTCACCTATCACCTTGCCCAGCTCACGCCCCATCTCCTAGCTTTATTTACGTGCTTAAAGTAGGCTCTTGGCACCGCTGGGCTTGGATGGCTTGTTCTGACAGCCTGCTAGCTGACCCCTTCCCCCCACTCAAGTGCAACCCGTTCTGCTTACCAGCCCAAAGTTGGCTCGCCTGCCTTCTGTTGCCTCATCCCCACCTCACCCGCCTATTCAGGGAATCTCGGGAATTTCCCTACTGTTTATGGAATCAAGTCCAGGTTCCTGGTCTGCTCTCTGGACACTCCATGACTCAACCCAGACAACACTCAGGCTCTTGGTAGAGGTTAAGAGCCTGGCATTGGGCAGTGCTGGATTCAAATGGCTCTGCCCTTTTCTTGGTTAATTCAAACCCTTCCAAAACCCAAATTAGTTCCTGCATTTGGCAGGCATTTATTGGGTCCCGTGGGTCTGACAGGCTCTGTTCTCAACACACAGCTTTCTGTGAGCCTTCTGCTCCAGATCCTCCCCGGACCATGCGGCACTCCAGGGTAACTGCCTGATAGCTAGCAATCAACCAGCGATTTCTATCTAAGTGTCTGACTCAGTTTCCCCATTAGGATGTGAGAGGAGGGAGTCCACCATGTTCAGTATCACATGCCTGGTGGTACCTGCACGAGGCCTGACACTCAGGACATGTTTAATAAAGAGCCAGGTTTGAATACCAGCTTTACTGTAGCCTTAGTAACCTCTCTGAACCTTTGTTCTGTGTATGTAATGGTAAGAATTAAGACGGTGATAATGACCAAATGGTGTCTCATAATACCACCTGTATCTCAGGAGGTTCTCAGTAAATGGTAACCATGAGCCGTCCGCAGGGGACCCGGCAGGTACCCCCAGGGCTGGGCAGGGGGCTTACCTTGGCAGTGCAGGTGGCCCTGAGGGGCTCGATGAGCCGGTCCACCCTCTGCAGGACGGGCACAGGACATAGGGCAGCCAGTCGGGCGAGCATGATGAAGGTCAGCATCTGACCAGGGGAAGGAGACAGTTCGTGGTGAAACAGCCCGGGACGGAAAGGACCTGGCCCCCGGAACTCAAGTCCCAAGTAGCAGCCAGCCTGCCTGTTGCACTGATCTCTGCTGGGACTCACCAAATACTGGCTGACTAAGGAATGTTTTTGTGCATTTGCCCAGCAAACACTGAGATTGACAACACTGGCTCTTAAGTGTGTGGAACTTTTGGGTGATTACCACTCCATTTATTCACTTTTATATTGTCTGCTGCTGCTGCTAAGTAGCTTCAGTCGTGTCTGACTCTGGGCGACCCCATAGACGGCAGCCCACCAGGCTCCCCCGTCCCTGGGATTCTCCAGGCAAGAATACTGGAGTGGGTTGCCATTTCCCTCTCCATTGCATGAAAGTGAAAAGTGAAAGGGAAGTCGCTCAGTTGTGTCCGAGTCTTCGCGACCCCATGGACTGTAGCCCATCGGGCTCCTCTGTCCATGGGATTTTCCAGGCAAGAGTACTGGAGTGGGGTGCCATTGCCTTCTTCGTTTATATTGTCTAAACAAGCACAATTAATGACTTGATTATTTTACATTGGTTTTTCATTATAAAAAGGATTCATGTTCACTGTATATATATTAAAAAGCTCCACAAGGACAGAAGGTGAAACCTGTCTCCCCCACAGGTAATAAAATGGTCCAAACTTCTGCAACTCACTCTCCACCTGACGGGGGGTCTGGGCCACCTTCCATGCCAGCACACAGATCCCACTCCAACAGTGTCAGGATCCCGTGACGGGAGGGACCCAGTGCACTGAGCCAGCTCCCCATGAGCAGACATTTTGGTGGCTGCCAGCGTTTCCCAACTCCCAGAAAGCTGTGGAGAACTGCCTCTCTCCTAAAACTCCTGGAACATGAACATGTGTTTAGGAGTTCAAGTCCACAGAGTCAGTTCACGGAGTGAATTCCACATTTTGAAATGTGCTCAGGGCTTCCCTGGTGGCTTGGTGGTAAAGAATCCACCTGCCAGTGCAGGAGATGTGGGTTCATTCCCTGGTGTGGGAAGAGCCCATATGCCACAGAGCAAGTAAGCCCGGGAGCCACAACCACCGAGCCTGCGTTCCAGAGGCCCGGAGCTGTAAGCACCCTGCACTCTGTGCTCCAAAACACGAGGAGTCACCGCAAGGAGAAGCCCACGCGCTGCAACTAGAAAGTAGCCTCTGCACGCCGCATCTAGAGAAAAGCTCGTGAAGCAACAAAGACCAGGACAGCCACAAATGAATCAAGAAGTAAATGCATAAAACGTTTCTAAGGTCTACATTTTTGTAGTTCCGGCCAAACTGACCTCCCAAGGCCTTGCCCACTCCCACCAAAGGTGTGAGAACTGGGTTCTTTTTCTTACTGGAAAAGAACAAAGCGGGGGACTTCCCTGATGGTCCAGTGGTTAAGACTTGGCCTTCCAGGGCAGGGAGGGGTGGGGGGTGGGGCATGGATTTGATCCCTGGTCAGGGAACTAAGATCCCACACGCCATACTGTGCAGCCAAAAAGATAGAACAACGCGACTACTTTCGTGGGGGTACCTGGGGGGGTGTGGGGGACAAACAGGCGGGCCCCTCCTACCCGGATATCGTAGTGGTCCTTCAAGCCATCCTCCACGTGGTTCAGGAACTCGCAGACGTCCAGCTGGCCCAAGCAGCTCTCCAGCAGCGAGTACATGCACTCGAAGGCCGCCTTCCGCACGTCCAGCCCATCGTCCACCGTGTGCTTAAAGGGCCCCATCTCCACCTGCAGGAGGAAGGGAGGAAGACGGGCTGGGGGCTGTGACCCCAGGACACGGAAGACACCTCCCCAAGCTCCTGCTGTGCACCCCTCCCTCATTCAGCACTGTGTCCTGTCCCCAGATCATGCCTTAGACTCTCCAGTCTCCACGCCTAAGCTCAGCCTGCGATGCCTTTTGATAATGACAATAGGATGTGAGGGCGATCTGGTTGCGACATCTGTCACCCCATTGATCGCCAGGGTTGATAATGACAATAGTAACAGTAATTCAAATGACATGATAATCCACTGAACAGGTAAGCTCTGCCAGGCACTGTGCTGACTGCTGGACAGATGACACCTGACCAAATCATCACAAGAGTCCCAGGAAGACAGTGTTACTAAACTCAGTTTAATGTATGAGGAAACTAAGGCTCAGAAATGTTAACTAACTTGCCCAAGGAGACGAGCCCAAGTTAGTAAGTGCTTTAATCAGAATTAAAAACCCAGATCTCTTTGACATTGTTACAACCACAAGGGTTTGCTTGTAGTGGTAAACTCCTACTCACCCCTCAAAGCCCACTTCAGATGCCTTCTCTGGGGGAACTTTCCTAACCTCTCTAAACAGAATTGTATCTTCCTCCAAGATGCTAGGTGGTTCAGACCTTCTCTTTATATCATGCAACGACTTGGCTATTGTCACTTTAACTCTCTGCCTCATATCCTAACTTCACCACGTGGGCTCTAAGTAAGTTCAATAATCAGGAGGCCATTAGCAAACTGGTGGCTTGTGTCTGGGCCAGCTGAGTCCTGGCACCCAGGCGCAGAGCTGGTGTCCCTCGAACATCTGCTGAATGTCAAGTGATCACAAGAGTTGCCCACATTTATTGAGCGCCGACTGTGTGCCAGGAGCAGTTCTGAGCACTTGCAAGAGTCAGCTTATTAAATCATCTCAAGAACCCTACAATGTGGACACCATTATGTCTCTCCGTTTGGAGAAACTGAGGCTAAGAGAGGATTGGGGCTGCCCCAGCCAGGCTCACACCGCCAGGAAACACAGGGCAGACTGGACCCTGTGAGCCAGCGCTTGCTCTGATGAACCTGAGCCTAAGCCTCTCCCCAGCCCCGGCAGTCCGGGCTGAGGGCTCCTGGCTGTGTTCCCCGGCTTCACCTCTCGGATGAGGTCGCGGCGGATCTTCGTCTCCTGGTAGAGGAAGGGCAGGATGTCGTCCAGCAGGTCGCGGACCAGAGAGGGCTTGTTGTGCACGGCGGAGTTGAAGAAAGCCAGTGTGGCCCGGCGCACGTTCAGGTCCGGGTCCTGCAGGCTCTCCATGAATTCTCCTGGCAGCGAGACCAGAAGCCGGGGTGAGGGGCGGCACAGCCGCAGCCAAACCAGCCGTCCCCACCCCACCTCGCTTATCTGGTACACGGGGGCCACTCAGACCTGCCTGGACCGGTATGGATGTGTTCTGAGCATCTACTTTGCACAACAAAGTCCAGATAAGAAAGTGGACTTGCGTGTGGCCTGGGTTTAAATCTAGGCTTGACCATGAGGTTATTGTGGGACCTTGGGCCGCCTCAACGTCCTCATCTGTAAAATGGGGGTAACAACTGTAGGACTGGTTTCAGCATTTAAAATGTGCTAATGTTGCACTCAATATGCCAGCAAATTTGGAGAACTCAGCAGTGGCCACAGGACTGGAAAAGGTCAGTTTTCATTCCAATCCCTAAGAAAGGCAATCCCAAAGAATGCTCAAACTACTGCACAATTGCACTCATCTCTCACACTAGTAAAGTAATGCTCAAAATTCTCCAAGCCAGGCTTCAGCAATACATGAGCCGAGAACTTCTAGATGTTCAAGCTGGTTTTAGAAAAGGCAGAGGAACCAGAGATCAAATCGCCAATGTCTGCTGGATCATTGAAAAAGCATGAGAGTTCCAGAAAAACATCTATTTCTGCTTTATTGACTACGCCAAAGCCTTCGACTGTGTGGATCACAATAAACTGAGGAAAATTCTGAAAGAGATGGGAATACCAGACCACCTGACCTGCCTCTTGAGAAATCTGTATGCAGGTCAGGAAGCAACAGTTAGAACTGGACATGGACCAACAGACTGGTTCCAAATAGGGAAAGGAGTACATCAAGCCTGTATATTGTCACCCTGCTTATTTAACTTACATGCAGAGTACATCATGAGAAACGCTGGTCTGGAAGAAGCACAAGCTGGAATCAAGATTGCCGGGAGAAATATCAATAACCTCAGATATGCAGATGACACCACCCTTATGGCAGAGAGTGAAGAGGAACTAAAAAGCCTCTTGATGAAAGTGAAAGAGGAGAGTGAAAAAGTTGGCTTAAAGCTTAACATTCATAAGACTAAGATCATGGCATCCGGTCCCATCACCTCATGGGAAATAGATGGGGAAACAGTGGAAACAGTGTCAGACTTTATTTTTTTGGGCTCCAAAATCACTGCAGATGGTGACTGCAGCCATGAAATTAAAAGATGCTTACTCCTTGGAAGGAAAGTTATGACCAACCTAGACTGCATGTTAAAACGCAGAGACATTACTTTGCCAACAAACGTCCGTCTAGTCAAAGCTATGGTTTTTCCAGTGGTCATGTATGGATATGACAGTTGGACTGTGAAGAAAGCTGAGCGCCGAAAAATTAATGCTTTTGAACTGTGGTGTTGGAGAAGACTCCTGAGTGTCCCTTGGACTGCAAGGAGATCCAACCAGTCCATCCTAAAGGAGATCAGTCCTGGGTGTTCATTGGAAGGACTGATGCTGAAGCTGAAACTCCAATACTTTGGCCACCTCATGCAAAGAGTTGACTCATTGGGAAAGACCCTGATGCTGGGAGGGATTGGGGGCAGGAGGAGGAGAGGACGACAGAGGATGAGATGGCTGAATGGCATCACTGACTCGATGGACATGAGTTTGAGTCAACTCCGGGAGTTGGTGACGGACAGGGAGGCCTGGCGTGCTGCAATTTATGAGGTCGCAAAGAGTCGGACACGACTGAGCGACTGAACTGAACTGAATGTCTAAAAAGCACATGGCAGGACTCCAAGTGAGGACTCTGTAAACAACACTCCCTTGATTTTATCTCAGATGAGCATCCTGAAGATCAGAGAGGCAAAGAGACTTACACAGAGTCACACAGCATTTCTCTGAGCACACATCTTTTTGTGTAGGTTAGACTTTTTAAAGACTACGTTCATGTTTTATATAGTCAATAAACAAATAAAATCAAGAATGAGAGGGATCCCTAAAAAAAAAACATAACTGTACTTCAAATGATATAAGTACCCAGGTTGTGAAGGAGAACAACTCATCTAAGTAACTTCGAAAGTTCTGTGACAAGATGCCCCTCAGGCTAAAGATGAAAGAATTATAAACGAATACTGATTTTTCACAGATAAGGGTTAGCAATTCTCATGACTACCTTCTGTATACTCCAGGATTAAGTGAATAAATATCTTGTGGGAAATAGAAGCTGGCATTCTCTCATAACAGAAGGGTGCATGGAAAGCGAGAAGACAAGCATGAATCCTGTGGTGCTGGACTGGAACAGGAGGTAACCCGTGTATATAGGGGTTACTGTGTAATACACATAATAAGTACCATCCTCCACTAACAGGAATCAGGGCTTCTTGGAGAAATGGTTGATTCCAGGGATGAGACAGGAAAGGTTCAAGATGGGTCTGGAGCATCTTGTTGTGCAAAAGATAAGGATATGTGAAAAGAATGACAGAAACATGTCAACAGAACATAGGAACCAGCTTGAAAGGCTCCCACTGGCTAAGTGTGAGACAGTCTTGTGAATCTAAATAAAAGACAGTAATAGATTATAATCCACTGAGTGAAATACAAATCCCTAAGTCTATAATGATATGAATAAATCAATGAATAAATGGGGGAAAACAAAAACTTATTCCTGAGAATAAAGTGCAAACTAATAAATATGGAAGGAATGCTGAAATTAGAAAGTTGTTATTTAGTTGTCATAACTGTCAGTAATCATTTATTCAGGCAAGAAACCACAATGCATGCAAAATGTAGTGTGCAAAAATTTGATGAGGAAGAAGATATTTCAATAGGCAAAAGAGCTAAAGACATTTCTCCAAGGAAGGCATACAGATGGCCAAAAAGCACATGAAAACATGCTCCACGTCACTGACAATTAGAGAAATGCAAATCAAAAGTACAATGAGCTATCACCTAACACCAGTCAGAATTCTACAAACAATAAATGCTGGAAAGGATAAAGCCTCCTATACTGCTGGGGGGAATATGAATTGGTATAGCTGCTATGGAGAACAGTATGGAGGTTCCCTTAAAAACCACAAACAGAACTATTACTACCATATGATCCAGTAATCCCACTCCTGGGCATGTAACTGCAGAAGACTCGAAAAGATACATGCAGCCCCATGTTCACCGCAGCACTATCTACAACAGTTAAGACAGGGAATCAACCAACATGTCCATCAACAGGGAGTGGATAAAGAAGATGTGGTACATACACATACTGGACTATTGCATGCATGTGTGACCCCACGGACTGCAGCCAGCCAGGCTCCTCTGAACATGGGATTCTCCAGGCAAGAACACTGGGGTGGGTTGCCATGCCCTTCTCCAGGGGATCTTCCTGACCCAGGGACCAAACCCATGTCACTTACAGCTAACCTGCATTGGCAGGTGGGTTCTCTACCATTAGTGCCACCTGGGAAACCCATAATGGGCTATTACTCAGCCATAAAAAAGAATGAAATAATGCCACTGGCAGCAATATGGATGGACAGAGACTGTCATACTGAGGGAGGTAAGTCATGGAAAGACAAATATAATATCTCTCATATGTGGAATCTAGTTTTTAAAAGTGATACAAGTAAACTTATTTACAAAACAGCAACAGACCTATGGATGTTGAAAACATACATGGTTACCAAGAAGGAAGAGGAAGAGGAATAACCTGGGAGATTGATGGACATATGCGCACTACTATACATAAAAGAGAAAACTGTTAAGAACCTGCTGAATAGCATAGGGAACTCTACTCAACACTCTGTAATGGCCTATATGGAAAAAAAATCTAAGAAAAAAGAGCAGATTTATGTGTATGTATAACTGTTTCACTTCACTGTACACCCAAAAGTAACACAACATTGTAAATCAACTACACTCCAATAAAATATTAAAAAAAAAAAAAGGAAGAAAAATCAAGAGCAAGAACAGGGTGGAGAGGACCGAAGTGGGCAGAGGGAGGGGGTGCTCACCGATGAAGGTCTTCAGGAGGGGATCGATGGGGTGGGGCTGATCGGAGATGAGGTACTTAACTGCTGTGATGACGGTGCAGCGGGTGTGTGGCCGACCTGCAGGACAGGAGGGGTGGCATTGGCGGGGGCACAGCAGGTCCCGGACACCCCCAGGCTGGGGGACACCAAGCTTTCCCTCGTCTCCGTGGGAGATAGGATCGGAACCTCTTCCCACGCAACCCCACACATCCATCTTCGAGGAAGTCAATTACCACTTTCCTTGGCAGCCTGCAATCCCTCCTGAATTCCGGCTGCAGCTGAGACAGTACAACAGCCGGTTCTCAAGCAGCCACCCCAAGGACATGAATCAAGAACAAGACTCCAAGAAGGGGCTCAACCTGAAAAAAGACCTCTGCCCAGGCCTTGGAACTGCGTTCTATTTTTCAGATATTTTTTTAGACATATGATCTCAATTAATCCTAGTCATTGGTTGATAATAATGTTAGTTAAAATGATTTCAAAGTTATTGTTAATCTCCACTTTACAGATGTGGAAGAGAGACCAGAAAGGTTAAAATCAGATCAAAGGTCACACGGCAAGTCCAGAATTCACCAGCTGCTTCTGAGCTCTCTCTGGGCCCCCCTGTAACCTGCATTCTCCAAGGAGAGAGCAGTTGTGCTTCAGATGGGCTAAAATTGCTTAATGTTGCTTTTCTGCTCGTTTTCTGAATAGAGAAGCTGCAGAAAGGGAAGGAAATACACTTCCCATCAGGGTGGAGGAAATTAATTGGCCATCTCTCTCTCCTCTCCACCTCCCACCCCTCTAGCGCACAGCACTGAATGGGTTAAGGCTGTTTCCACCCACAGACTTTAGTTCAAGACTTGGGACAAAGTTTACAAGTTGATGCACGGGTATGAGAGAGTGAGTTACAGACTTCAGACTTGCAGCTTTTTTCCTCTTTCTCTTTCCACTCTGACTGGCTCCTAAGAAGATTCAGGGTAGCTGGTGAAGATAATACACGTAGAATAGGATTAAGTGAATTAAGAAAAATGAGGCCAAGGGCAAAGTGAGATGGAGACCAGAGTGAGGGGCGTGCAGAGAGAGGCAGTCCCATGAACTTGCTGGTACCAGGCGGCTGATCTGGCTCCAAGCGTCCCACAGCCGGTGGTAAAAAGGAAATGTGGCTGGTTAGCTGGTTCAACAGTGGATGTGAGGCCCAAGCAAATCTGAGTTATGAAAAGGCAGGGCTCAGACTTCCCTGCTGGTCCAGTGGTTAAAAACCCACCGTGCGACGCAGGGCACATGGGCCCAATCCCTGGTCCGGGAAGATCCCGCGTGCCAAGAAGCAACGAAGCCCCACCACAACTAGTGAAAGCCCGTGCACTCCAACACACACCCAGTATGGCCAAAAATAAATTTCTTTTTAAAAAAGGAAAGAAACTGCCCCGCATCCCAAGACCCTCGCCTCCCAAGGTTTCTCGTGAAGAGCCCCGGGGGTGTAACAGGTGATGTCCTCAACGTGCTCGCCCTGTCCACACAGCAGTGAGGGCCAGAGCTGCAGCTTCTATACCAGCCACCCAGTAAGGGCCTAACCGGGACCACCAACACAGCAACGGCAGCAGATACTAGCAGTACGAATTAGGTACCACCCACCAGACCAGGCGCTCTGCCTGCATTATGTCAACCAGCCCACCACTGACCATGTGAAGACCAGCAGACGAGCTCTGGGCCCAGAGGCCTTTCATTCCCAGGGGCTTTGATCTGCCCCAGGGCCCACCATCCACCTGCTTGCCTTCTTCCTCCGTGAGCTGCGGAACATCCTGACGCACTCTGACCCCACGACATGACACCTGCCCTCCTGACCCCGTCCCTGGCCCTCTCCGGGCCACGGGGCCTGGCATCCGCTCCGAGTCCACGTTTACACTTGCTCCTGGTCTGCGCCAGCCCAAATGAGCTGCATTCTGCACCCTGCCGTCTCTGGCCCCTCAGAGAACCGCCTTTACCAACCTTCACCAGGGGCACGTGGCCGCTGACAACACCCAGTGGCATCTTGAGAAGTTTACTTGTTGGAAGGACACGTCAAGGATTGTGTCCCCTCCGTCCCAGAGGGTCCCCCTGAGTCTCAGGAAACACTGTTTATAACGGCTCCTCTGCACTGTCTCATCAACACCATGACGCTCAGACCCCATCACCTGCACGAGCTCACCCGCTGTGGACCTCCTGGGCGCACTGCCCACTTCCGATCTGGGCTGCCTTTGCCCATCCCCAGGCCCCTACCTGCAGCGAGTTGCTTCCGGAACCGGGGCAGGAGGAAGGGAGGGTTTACGAGGACAAGCTTCCCGATGCACTCGGCCACCACCCCCCGGGTGCCCTCCTCGGCACCCTCGCAGCGCTGGAACAGCAGGGCCCAGATGTCCTCGGCGTAGGGCTTCAGGCTGTCAGGCTGGGCGGCCCCCAGGGCCTCCCGCAGCGAGTGCAGCAGCAGGTACTGCCTCCGGGGCTCGGCCTCCATCTGCCCCAGCAGGAAGGGCAGGAAGTCGGGCAGGTTCCCCGCGCCCACGCGGCCCAGCGCGTAGGAGGCGGCCGCCCTCACGTCCTCACTGGGCGAGCCCAGGGCTCCCAGGAGCACCGCCTTCAGCTCCCGCTGTGGGCCCGGCCCGGCCACCTGGCCCACCTCGGCCAGCGACAGGAACGCCAGGACCTTGACCCCAGGGCTCGAGCTGGGCGACCTGGCATCACCGACCAGGCGGTTGGCCGTGCCCGCCGCCTCCTGGGGACAGGCTGCGGCCAGGGCCGCCACGCAGCGGGCCAGCGAGTGGAACACCTGCTTGTGCAGGCCGGGCCCGCCGTCCGCCGCCTGCTCGTACACAGGCGCCGTGAGCAAGCCGATGAGCTTGGCATAGTCCATGCATGGCGGCCGGGCCCCCACCAGGGCCTGCAGGAAGCCTTCGGTGGCCGCCAGTACCCCAGCTGGCAGCAGGGGCGAGCGCAGCAACCGCAGCACCTCGGCCAGCACGGGGCCGCTGACCTCGGCCATGGAGGCTGGCTGGGCACGGGTCACAGTAGCAAGGAAGTCCACGGCCAGCTGGGCCACATGCATGTCGCTCTCGCTGACCAGGGCGGGCAGCTCAGCCAGCACAGCCCGCACGGCAGACGGCGGGAGACCGGGGCCCTGGCTCTGGGCCAGCGCGGCCAGGGCCGCCAGCGTGGCCAGCCGCAGCGCCCGCTGGTTCTTGCGCAGGAAGGAGGCCAGGATGGGCAGTGCCTCGGCCAGGATGGGCTGCAGGTTGATCCGCAGCGGGGACATGGCCACCAGTGTCAGTGCCTTGACGGCCGAGAGCCGTGTGATCTCGTTCCGCAGGCGGTCCAGGAGGAGCAAGAGCGACGGCTCCAGGTCGCCCCCGAGTCGGTCGCCCAGGTGACCCACGAGGTGGCCCATGCAGGAGATGGCCCGCTCCTTCACCTCCTGGTCCAGGTCGGTGGCCCGAAGCCGGGCCAGGGTGGCCGCAGACATCTCTCCAACGTAGGGCTCGGGGTCCAGCTTCCGAGGCGCATCCAGCGGCCACAGTGCCCTCACCAGCTCCTGGAGCACCAGCAGGGCCTCTGCTGCGATCTTGTAGAAAGGGTCGGCCACGCAGGCCATCACTGGTGGCAGGAGAGTGGGCAGGTGGGGCTGGAAGGCCTCGGCCGGCTCCGTGCCCAGCAGCCCCTGCAGGAAGGCCAGGGCGTCCATCCGGATGGTGGAGGAGCTGGAGCGGTCCGCCAGCGAGAAGACAATGCCTGTGGGATGGGTGCCCGTGTTACCAGGACACGCACCCTGACCCAACTCAGCGCTCCCTGGATGCAGGGGTGGAGGACCCGCAGGCGTCTGAGCTGGACCCAGGCACTGGGCCCTTACGCAGCAGCAGGTCCTGAGAGGTCAGGGCTCGGCCGGGGCCAGGGCTGAGGATACAGGCCAGGAAACTTACACGAAAACAGGACAGAGGCCTGCACCCCAGCCCTGTACTCACTGCTGGCGGTGGGGAGTCGCTGTAGGTTGTTGAACGGTGGTACCAGCAGGGAGCGAGGGCTGGGGGCTGGGTTCGGGGAGAAGCCCGGAAGAGCAGACCCCAGGTTCCAGGGCACCCTACCTGCTACCAGCACGGGCATGTGCTCCGCCAGGCTGCCCGGGAGGACGCCCGCCAACTCGGTGAGGAGGCTGAAGCAGCCCTGGCGGGCCCTGGCACTCCGATCTTTCAGCTGCCGCTGCAGGGCCTTCATCACAAGAGGCACCTGTGGGCAAGTCGGGGGCGAGAAGGAGGCCAGTGACCACCCAGGAACCCACACATCCCACCCACTACTGGGGCTCTGCCCAGGCAGCTGACGAGGGACCCCCAGCATGTGGAGGGGATCATTCCACACTGAGCTCCCCATCACTCGCTCTGCGCCAGACACCTCACTCCACACTCGCCCTCTGAGGGGGGCATGAGTCCTGAGCCCACCTGACACCTGGGAAACAGGCACAGAGCTGAAGTGAGCAGCTCAAGGTCACCAGACTGGGGGCCCCTCTCGCTTCCCCAGCTGAATTCCCTCCCTGATGAGCTCCCCCACTCCCGAGGTTCGGATCCCAGTGAAGCAATGACTCCCAGATCTACATCTGATACCAGACTTGTGTGCTACCTGCCCACCTGCCATCTCAACTCGGGCATCCAACGAGGACTTTGAATAGAATAAATGTCCCGAACAGAACTCCACTCATTCCCCGCGTCACCATCTCGGGGACTGTATTTCATGCTCTAGCCAGAGCCCAGAAGTCACATGACATCTCCCAGCCCCTCGCCTTCCACATCCATCTGCAAACCCAAAAAACTGCATCTCGGGGCTTCCCTGATGATCCAGTGCCTAAGACTCTGCACCCCCAGTCAGGGGGCTCAGGGTTCAATCCGTGGTCAGGGAACTAGATCCCACATGCTGCAACTAACAGTTGCCACAACTAAATATTCTGCATGCCACAACTAAGACCCAATGGAGCTAAATAAATACCTAAATAAATATTTTTTTAAAAAAGGAAAAAAAACTACCTCTCAAGTCCAACCTCCTGCCTTTCACCTACACAGCTGCAGTGGTCTCCAGCCCATCACAATCCATTTCCCACATGGCAGCCAGAGTGAACCTTTTCAAACGTGAATGGGATACCATATTCCCCCTCCTGTAGCTTCTACCCTCTCAGAATAAAACTGAACCCCCTTCCTGTGGCCTGGAATCCTACTTGTGCTACCGGCTATCTGCCCGAGACTGTGTGGCCCAGGCACTTCATACAAAAGGCCGGGCACACAGCAGGTGCTGCACACACACACTTCGGAGGTGAAGAGGTGGAGGTGGGGGCAGTGGGCGCAGGGAGGGGCAGGCAGGCGCACCTGTCCTCGCAGCATCTGGAGGCTGCTGCTGGTCTGGGTGGGCTCCTGCGTGACCTCCAGCCACCCCTTTGGGGGCCGCGTCTGCCGCAGCAGCACGATGTAAGCCCCAAACACGTCGGCCTTGACGTTCTCCTCGCGCTCCTTGAAGCGGTGGATGAGTGCGGGCGCCAGGGCGCAGTGGAAGTCAGGCAGCAGGTCGGGCCGAGAGTCGATCAGGGCTGCCAGGCACTTGGCCGCTGCCCGGCGCACCTTCCAGCTCATGTCGTCGTCATCGCTGTATTCCTCCTCACTCTCTAGGGCAGGAATCAGGAGGCCTGTGCACCGAGGCGGGGAGCCGCCAGCCCCACCCAGCTGGTCTTCCAGGACAGAGGGGTGAGAAGTGAGGGGGCAGTGAGGAGGGCTCGGGTGGGGCTTCCCCTTTCCATGTAGCCCGCCAGGCTCCTCCGTCCATGGGATTCTCCAGGCAAGAATACTGGAGTGGGTTGCCATGCCCTTCTCCAGGGGATCTTCCTGACCCAGGGATTGAACCTGGGTCTCCTGTATTGCAGCCAGATTCTTTACCATCTGAGCCACCAGGGAAGCCTCCATGGTCACTACTTGTAACTATTAAGAAGTTGCTGCTTAGTCGCTAAGTTGTGTCCAACTCTCTGTGACCCCATGGACTCTCTGTGACCGCCAGGCTCCTCTGTCCATGGGGATTTTCAGGCAAGAATACTGGAGTGGGTGGTCATTTCCTTCTCCAGGTTAATGAGGATCTGCTGTGTGCTGGGGATGGAGCCAGACAGGGAACTAGCTGGAGGTAAACCAGGGTCCCCCCATCTGCCTTCAGACCCTTGACTGTTGTGACTGCATCCGGGAAAAACTGACTCCCAAGTGAGGATTTAGGAAATCCATTTGGGGCACAAGACCTGTCCTTTGGCTGTAGGACTGGCTGTGTGATGTTTCATTTACTCGGCTTTCAGAAGGGAGGCAACAGATCCCCCGCCCTGGGCAGGGTCCCGATTCTGGCTTCCAAGCAGGACTACCAATGAGAGAAGCTGTGTCTGTGTGGCTCTTCGCTCTCCAAGCTCTGCTCAGAGGCCAGAACGCAAGTCTTCACCACCCCTCAGGAGTCTTGAGGCTCTTCTGTAGATACGAGTAAGGCTCAGAGAGGGTGAGAGATTCTCCTGAGGACACACAGCTAGAAGCAGCAGAGCTGAGTAAGGCCCACCCATACACACGGGGGAGACATATATGAGGCTCAGAGGAGGACGGTCCTACCTAGGGACACCCGCAGCCACAGGCTCAAAGACCAGCATGTGCCTACTCACTCTGCTCTGTAGAGAACTCAGACTCTCAGAGCGCTGCATCTGGACAAGCCATGGTGGGCCAGGGGGACGGTCCCCCAGATGTGCCTTGTCAGCTCAGCAGATGGTCCCTGACGCCCCCTTGTTTGTTATCTCCACCCCTCACCCCTCGTCACCCATGAAGAAACACCCAGAGCTCCTAGATACTAATAAGAAAATGTCCAATCTCCTTGGCCTGCGACTTGAGGCCCCTACATGCCTGTCCAATCTCATCTCCTACCACTGCATCTCGCTCAGAGTACCCCACCAGGACATAAGTCTCTCGCCTCCATCAGTGCCTCCAGGGTCCAGGGGCATCCCCAAGTGACAGACAGGACCACAGGCACAGAAGGAAAGAAGCTATTGAGTCCATTCCCCACCCAGGCATCTTTCCCTGTTAGTGCCAATCAATCCATCATCAGAGCTTCACATGGCTGGGGTAAAGCAATGGCTCTTGGACGCCACAACTCAAAGGGTACAGAGGGACTTCCCTGGGGGTCCAGTGGCTAAGAGTCCACCTGGCAATGCAGGGGATGCAGGTTCAATCCTTGGTCAGGGAACTTAGATCCCATATGACTTGGGGCAACTAAGCCCAAGCACTGCAACTGAGTCCACACGCTCTGGAGCCTGCACACTGCAATGAAAGATCTTGCATGATACAGCAAAGATCCCACGTGTGGCAACTAAGACGACGTAGTCAAATATAAAATTTTTTTAAAAAAGGGTGCAGAGATGGCAGCATGAGATGGGGGAGTCTGGCAGACATGGCCCCAAGTCCCAGCTATGCCCCTTCCTCGCTGTGTGATCTCAGGCAAATCTCTAAGTCTCAGTTTTCTTGTCTGAAACATGGGCATGATAATAAATATCAGGTTTTCCAGGTTCATCGTAAGGAACATGAAACAAGAGGGCACTTTGGACATCAGGAGATGCTCAGTAAACAACGGCTGTCATGACTCGCTCGTGATCTGTGCAGTCAGAGAGTGTGGGGGCGACAGAGGATCTGGATTTCCAAGGGCGGGACTGGAGCCCCAGGAAGAGTTGCGATCAGGATGGGGGCACCAAATGTGGCCCCTGTCTTCGGCTGGGGGGCTCATGGGGAGGCTGGATAAGTTCCCACCCACCAGCCCAAGGACAAGCCGGCTGCCCACCTTGCTCGCTGAACTCGCTGTCCTCGGTCTCCATCTGCTCCTCATCCTCGTCACTGTCGTAGTTATAGTTGGGGTCATGCTTTACATACTGAAGGCAGAGGCTGGTCACGTTGGGCACGTGAGGGCCCATTTCCTTGGGACACCTGTGGGTGGGGTGGGGGAAGCTCTGCTGGACCCAGGCATGACAGGGTGGGGGGGTGAAGCCCAGGGGTAAGCCCCAAGATCTGACTGCTTTGAGGTCAGCATCTTGTGCCCACTCCATCCCTACCAACTTCTCAAAGAAACCCCAGGGCCCCCATTTCTAGAACCCCCGCTGCACCTACTTCCTCAGGAAGGCCTCAAAGGCCTGGAGGCAGGACTCCCGAAGTTCGTCATCATCCAGGTTGCAGAACTCCTCCACCAGGGGCACCAGGCGGTCCAGGTGGGCCCCTGCGGGACCAGGTGGGTCACTGAGGCAAGGCCAGCCCATCTCCCGGGCTCCCCCAGCCCACGGCAATCAGCCTGTGCCTGTCCCTGCCGCCTTGGCCACTGCAAATGTGCCTCAGAGGCTTCAGCAGAAGTGGGCTGTAGCCCCGACACAGCCCCATCTAAGCTATGGGACCTTGTTAAACACAGCCCTTGTTTAACCTCAGATCACTCAGCTTCACAGTAGGGATAACAACGCCCACCAGGCAGAGAGTTTGTCAAGATTATCAATAAAATGCAGATAAAGATGTGCCTGGCACAGAACAGGCACTCGATAAGTGGTAGCTGTTGTCAAAACTATTATTCATGTTCTTGATTATCTCCTGTGCTAGGCTGTAGCCCTGGGTGAGGAAAGTGAGGAGACAGCCACTGCCCTTATAGACCAGGCTAGAGGGGCCCCCCGCCTGGTGCCTGGGCTTCAGAAGGAACTCCAGCTAAGCCCTTCTCCAGCTACACCCTTCCCTACTTTCCTGCCCAGTCAACCCTGAACCCACGTCTGGTCTTGCGCAGGTCTCTTTTCCAGGTCCATGCTTCTGAGGGTGGCCAAGGGGTGGCTGCCGTTGGGGAGACGTCGACAGATTTGGACGGGAGGCTGGGGTCTCCATGTGTGCTTGTAAGGGCCCTTGCAGTGAGAGAGCCAGAGGGGCGGGAGGGCAGACTGTGGCCACTCTACTTACACTGCCTTGTTCTAGCCTAGACTAACTCCAAGGAGTTTGAGAATAAATTCAAACCTGATCGCTGAATTCCATTTCTAAACAACTAACCTCTGGTGACAGAAAGGAGATCAATGGTTGCCTATGGTGGGGCCTGGGAAGGATGGGCTGCAAAGAGACACAAGGAAAACTTCTAGGGGTGATGGAAATGTTCTGCATCTTGACTGCAGTGGCAGTTTCAGTGGTATATGGAAAGGTCAAAACACACCGAAGTGCACACTTTAACTAGTGTGGTGTGTTGTACACACGTCATCCCTCAATAAAAGTTTTTTGAAAATTAAAACCTTATTAATCACCTAGGTTGTTATTAAGGTACAGTTGTCAAAATAGGACGACAGAACATATTTTACTTAAGTCTGGGGGCATGACTTACAGCTACCCGCGCGAGCCTCTGGGTTGGGCTCAGAAGCAGGTCAAGCTAGGGGCCCACCTGGCTGCCTCTTGAGACCACCCTTTCTCTTCCAGGTGTTCCAGCCCCACCCCAGCCCCGCCCCTCTCCTCCGCACCTCCCCACCCAACCACATCCCCTAACCAAGGAAGTAGGGCAACCAAGCCTCGCCCCTTAGCCCAGGCCCCTCGCCATCCCAGCACCCCCGTCCCTCGCCCAGCCCCTTAGCCCAGGCCACGCCCCTCTCCAGCAACCCGTCCTCCGCCCCGCCCCTCGCCGTGGGCCCCGCCCCTCGCCGTGGGCCCCGCCCCCTCGCCGTGGGCCCCCGCCCCCTTACCCAGGCGGTGGCCTGCCTGGCGGCCAATGCTGCCCAAACACTGGATGAGGGTGCGGATCGCCGCGGGGCTGGCTGGCGCGCGTGGGCCGGGCAGCCGGTCCAGGAGGTGGTCAGCGAGCTCCACGAAGAGGTCGGTGCTGCAGGCGGCCGCCAGGTGGCCGAGCGCCCCAACGGCCCGCTTGCGCACGGCCAGGCGTGGACTGCTCAGCTGCGGCAGCAGACAGTGCAGGAGGCTGGCGTGGAAGGCGCCCAGCGGAGCTCCCAGCCTGGGGAGCCGGAGGGGGTGTCGGGCGGGGCCCACGCGGTGGACAGCCTGGGCTGGGCACCTCCCCTCTCCCCATGGGCTCCTGGCCTCCTCCCCATTATGACAACCCAGTGGTCCTAGGTAGACAGAAAGGTTCCCTGCAACTGTGTGAAGTGATTACTTATTTTCACAGGAGAGGAAGCAGAGAGGGGAAGGGCTTTCCTCAAGCCCTCTCTGCCCACCTGGGGAGGAAGCCAGATGTACTGGGACCTGGGGGACTCCAGTGAGCTTTCCTGACTTCCCCCGAGCCTGGGCCTTGCCTCAATGCTCATCCTCACTCACTCACACTCACTGAGGGCAGACCGATCTCCAGTGTAGCTCTGCCTAATTCCTCCAGTGGCTTCCCAGTACCCCTGGGATGAGCCGAGCTCCGGGCTCAAGGCAAGAGAGAACAGCAGAGAATGGTTTCTGCACACAGAAACGCAGCCCGTTCCCACCCTGGCAGCTCCCATCCCTCCTTCAAGCCAGGCCTGTGCCTTTCCCATCCCACACGTGTCCTGAAACCTTTCCTCTCACTCCACACCTACACATTGACCTCACCCTCCCATCTCTCTCTGTCCAGCACAGACCTCTTTCCTGGGTTTCATGTATTCACCTGCCAGAAAAGCTATCACCCCACATGACACCCCACAACCCCCAGAGACCCCATGTCTTCGATGGCCTCTGTCCTCTGAGCCGAGGGTCCTCCCCATCCAGGGTCCCTCTATGCCCACCCACACCTGGCCAAGTCCTGCCCATCCTTGAAGAGTCAGCTGACTGGACTCGCTTTGGGACAGTTCCCCCTTCCTCAGCCAGGTGACGGTCTCCTTATCCGAGCTCCTACTGGCCCTGCTCTTAGCCATGCTGTTGTTCTTACTGCACTCACAGATTTACGTATCTTTGAGCTTTTCCCTAGAGGCGGCTTCCCTTGTGGCTTAGCTGGTAAAGAATCCGCCTGCAATGCAAGAGACCCTGGTTCGATTCCTGGGTCGGGAAGATCCCCTGGAGAAGGGAAAGGCTACCCACTCCAGTATTCTGGTCTGGAGAATTCCACGGACTATACAGTCCATAGGGTCGCAAAGAGTCAGACACGACTGAGCGACTTTCACTCACTCACTCACTCACTCACTCGAGGCGGCCAAGACCCAGCCAACTCCATCCTCCCAGCACTGGTCTAGTAGGTGTTCAAATCTTGAGAGGCTGAATGAACACTTTAGAAACATGCAGTGCAATTGAAAACACTGGCCCAGCTATTAGGTTCCTCATGTACAGACTGTAGTGAGGAGAACTTGGTGACAGTCAAGTTCTCCTGGGACACTGCTGGGGCGATTAAAGGGCCCTGAGCACAGGGCCTGCGGTACAGTAAGTGCCCACTCCATGAAGCCGAGTCCCTCCCTGTCCCCTTGCCACCCCTCCCTGTCATCCTCGTTGTTCAGGGTGGCCTCCCACACCTGCTCAGCATGTCAGAAAGGATGTCCAGGGCTTCCAGCTGCACGGCCACGTCCTCCTGCTGGGCGATCGCACTGGTGAGCTGGCCGGTGATCTTCCGGCACACGCTGGAGGCCAGGCTGGAGCCTGCACAGAGCGCAAGGTGGGGGCGGTGAGGCACAGGGCCGCCTCCACCTGTGGCTGGCCTTTGCTCTGGTTGCATCCCTGAGGCCACATCCCCCAACCCCCAAAGGGTGCTGACCAGAGAAGCCCGGACTTCCAGGGTCCAAGGTGTAACCCAGGGTCCAGCCAAACTAAAGGAGACTGCTGGGGAGCTGAGGACCCGAGGGCAGACCTGCTAGGTGGCCCACCTCACATCTGACCCCTCTGCCCTCTGCCTTCCAATGAGGAGTCTTTCCCAGACTCCCTGGCGGCCTGGAGGGGCCGGGTGACCACGTTCTGGCCAGTGAGATACAGGTCAGTGTCTTCTGGGGAAACATGCGCTTTTCTTATGAAGGGCAAGAGAAGTGGGGAGAGACTTTAGCCCTGTCCTAACTGAGCTTCTCGGTAAATCGCTGCAAAAATGGAGTGGCTGATCCCTTCCGAGTGAAGTGAGAAAAGCAACTCCCCATGTCTTCAAGCTGCCATTAGTTAGACTGTGTTAACTGCAGCGTCTAAGAGCATCTCTGAAACACAGCCATGAAGTTAAGCAGACATGAGTCTGAATTCCCTGCTACTTACCAGGCTGACCTGGGGTAAGTCCCTTCACCTCTCTGAGCCTCTGCTTCTTCAATCATAAACTAGGACAAGTAACAGAAGCACCTGGTCCCTGGGACCTGGGTACCTGTGGCTGCAGTGGGGAGCTCCGACAGGACGGTCTTGAGGCCGATGCCAGCGATGTCTCGGAGCTGCTCCTTGTCTGACCGCATGTTGGCACAGAGGGCGTCCACGATGGTCTCCACCTGGTACTCCTTCACTTTGCCCACCAGAGGACCCAGGCTGAGCAGGGAGGGAGGGAGTGTAAGAGCCCAGGCTCAGCCTGAGTTGGGGTACCCCTTAGGTCCCCTCAAGGCTGTGGGGCCACACGTGCTGAGGAAAAGACTCAGATCAACAAAGGACTCCCTATTTTGCCAGAAAGAGAGGTACCCTCTGGCTATGCTGACCTACTGCCTGACACCTCCCAAAACTGCATCTCCTCCTGGATTTTGCATCTCAGTACATGGCTAAAACATCGAACCCGGAACCTCAGCTGGAAACCAAGGAATGCCCCGGAGCAGGGTTCTCAAACTTCCGCGTGTATCAGAATCATCTAGAGGACTCGTTCAAACACAGACTGAACCCCAGATTTTCACCCCACCCCAGATTTTCAGACTTAAGGGGTCTAGGTAGGGGCCTGAAAATGGACGTTTCTAGTAAGTTTGCGGTAGATGGTCCTGGGACCACACTTTGAGAACTTCTGCCTTAGAGGCTTGCTTCTCCGAGGGTGGTCACAGATCAGCCTCATCAGATCAGGAGACGCAGAGATGCAGAGCTTAGGTCCCACCTGAGAGCTCCTGGACTAGAATCTGTGCTTCAACAAAACCGCCAGGTGACCGGAAAGCACATTAAAGCTGAAGAACCGCAGAGGGCTTCCCTGGTGGCTCAGGGGTAAAGAACCCGCCTGCAAATGCAGGGAACACGGCTTTGACCCCTGATCCGGGAAGATCCCACACACCTTGAAGCAACGAAGCACCGCAACCCCTGAACCTGTGCTTTGGAGCCTGGGAGCTGCAACTACCGAGCCCGCATCCCCCAGAGCCCGTGCTCCACAATAAGGGAAGCCCCCGCTCTCTGCAGTTAGAGGAAGCCCGTGCCCAGCAGCAGAGACCCACCACAGCCAAAAGTAAAAATAAAATTATTTTTAAACTAGAAAAATAAAAACCGCACGAGACACACTGCTTCTCAGCCTTAAGTCTGCACTGCCATCACCTGGGGCCTTTTAAGAAACTGTTACCCGCGTACCAGCCCCAGAGTGTGAGTTAAATGGTTTCAGGTGTGGCCTGGACACTGGGGAGTTGTTTTTTTTTTAATTTCCCAGGTGATTCCAACAGGCAGTAAAGGCTGAGGACCTCTGACCTAAGAGTGGTTCCCAGATGACGGTATACATTAGAATGCAGATTCTTGGGTGCACAGCCTCATCTGCCCGGCCCGACCCCCTCCTGAATTAGAATCCCTTGGAGGGGAGCACACAGTTTAAACAAGGGGCTCACGTGTCTGCAGTGCACACGAGTTTGCAAAACTCTTCTTTCTCCATCTAAGAAATCATGGGTCCTCCCACTCAACTTCCTGTAGCACTGGTTCCCAGTAGGGGTAATAACTGCTCTGAGGGGTGTTTTGGAAATTTACTGGCAGGCCTTCTATTAGTTATGCCCATCATAGCTAATGAGATGGCACTTCTGGCTTTTATTGAAGGGAGAAAGGGGAGGCCGGGAGTGACAGAAAGACAATATTGCAAAACCATGTTTCTTGTCCTGCTGGAGCTTCTAACATCCCACTGGGCAGTCACACAGGTAAAGTCTTTCTATAATTATCTGAGTCCTAAATGAAATTATATGTAATTTCGTTTTACATATAAACACAAAAATACTTTTTTGTACCATTTTAATATACTCTAAAATTTCCAAAAAAATGCAGTTATCAAGTAACTTGAAGGAAGATTGTAGTTTGTTTTTCTGGAAAACTTTACTGGGAAATGGTCACCATTTTAGAAATCTCCTAAAAGCAATGCCACTGTGCTAGTATTTGAGTCCCCAGCATCCGTACCTGTCTCCACCTGCTTCCTGCCTCAGCGCTGACAGCAAGCCTACACTCTGGTGCAGCCTCCCCATAACTTTATTACATGTTGATGTGCCTGAGCATTTACGCACTGAAACACAGACTATCTTACTAGCAACTGCATTCCTCTTTTTCCTTTATGTGCCTGTTTAGGGCATTATATTAAGTGTTTTGTAATCATGGGTAGAGGCAGGTGCTAGTATGCATGAATTTCATTTCATGGTAAGAAAAGCGTATTTCAGATTTTGTGTTATAAAGAGGGGTTACTGCTTTTGCTAGTAGGAAACCAGTCCACCTGATCTCAATTCCACTGTCAGAGGGACAACCAGACCACAAGCCTGAGCATGTCCTGTTCACCCGTGAGACTCTTTACTGAATTCCTCCACTCTTGGGGTCAAGTTGAAATTCACATAACCCATCTTGCTTTTTCAACTCTAGGGGCAACCGGCGAAGGTCTCAGGATCACACCTCATGATGCCAGTGGCAAAGACCCCGTGTTCTTTCACCCCCACCATTTCTGTACATGCCAGCTTGACTTTCCAGCTGCCAGCATCTACATCTGTGTCTGTGGGTTTTCTCTACCTGGAGATGTCAAGGAATGCATAACCCCCTGCCTACCCCAGAAGCAGCCCTCAACCAAGGAAAGCTGGCAGGTGGGACCACCTTGAAGGTTATGTCCTACACTGTGTTCCAGGGACACCCCCAGGGTTAAGCGCCACTTGCCCACATCGGTAAGCTGCTTGAGAAGTCATGCTTTATTGCTTTTCTTCCTTCCCTATCGCCCCACCAGCTTCCTGGGATCGCTTCCCTAATAAACTTACACGTGAATCCCTGCAGCAGGGTGTAACTGTACCCTATACTTCCGGGAGAACCCAGACCAAAGCACTGTCCCACTCCACTGGTTCTCTAAGGAGTCGCTCGGTCGTGTCCAACTCTTTGCAACCCCACAGACTGTAGCCCGCCAGGCTCCTCTGTCCATGGATTCTCCAGGCAAGAATACTGGAGTGGGTTGCCAGCCCCTTCTCCAGGGGATCTTCCCGACCCAGGGAGGCGCTCCAAGAACTTCTCAGCCAGTCTTTCCCCAGTGGTTGGCCCCCCAAAGGGGCAGGGACCCTCCAGCTCCCAGCGGGGCCAACACTTACCACTTGACCGCCAGGTTCTGCACCTCCCCGTTCTTGTCCTCCAGGAGCCGGAGCAGCATCTTCACCACCTTGCGCTCACTCTCCTCGTCCAGCTGGATGGAGTCCTTCTGAAGCTCCGACATCAGATCACTGGTGGCCATGAACCTGGGCAGGGAGGGCGGAGGGGCATTGCCGAGCAGGCCCGGGCCCTGGTGACTTGGGCAGTACCCTTACAGTTCCCCCAGGAGCACATGTTGATACAAAGGGGCAGTCAAGAGCAGGTGGATGATCTGGGCTGTGGGCACGGCTAGGCCATCACAAGGAGTCCTGTGTGTGAAAATACACTGACTTCCAGATTCTCTTGTTTGAATACAGCTGCGTCCACAGTCTATGGTTTTTCCAGTAGTCATGTACCGATGTGAGAGTTGGACCATAAAGAAAGCTGAGTACCAAAGATCGGATGCTTTCGAACTGTGGTGCTGGAGCAGACTCTTGAGAGTCCATTGCACAGCAAGGGGATCAAACCAGTCCATCCTAAAGGAAATCAACCCTGAATATTCATTGAAAGGACTGATGCTGAGGCTGAAACTCCAGTATTCTGACCACCTGATGTGAAGAATCTGACTCACCAGAAAAGACCCTGATGCTGGGAAAGATTGAAGGCAGAAGGACAAGGGGACAACAGAGGACGAGACAGTTGGATGGCATCACCGACTCAATGGACATGAGTTTGAGCAAACTCCGGGAGATAGTGATGTGCTGCCTGTGGTGGCAAAGAGTAGGACACAGCTGAGCAACTGAACAATAGTTTCTGGTGACAGTAACTGGCTCGCGGCAGTGACAGCTGCCCTCTGGAGGTGGACACACAGTCTCCAGGCCTGCAGGATCACCCCAGGCCCACTGCACCTGCTTACTGGCTCTTGCAGGCACTTGATAGCAGCAAGGTGAGATGCTGTGAAGTCCAGATCACAGAGTGGGCAGCCCCAGAAAAAGAGTCAGGCTTTTGATCCCCTACCAGGCCTCCTCACACCAGCCTGGTTTTCTAGCTTGAGCAAGTCAGCCAAGAACCTCCTCCAGCCCTGCACCTAACAACCCACCAAGCCAAGCCTCCTAGGGCAAAATTGGTCACAGTAGGATTCCAGCCTCATCTTTGCAGGCTCAGACCTACTGCTGGATGTCACAGTGGGCCCCAGGGCCCCTCAGGCAGGAAGGCGCTTGTCAGTGTCACAGCTGTTTATCCCACAGCTGGGATAAGCCTCAAGCTGCTGACAGAAGGAAAGAGGTTAGGCTGGAGGCAAGGAGAGGGTGGCAGGGTTGACGATGCCCACCTCTGGGCCTGCCTGCTGCAGAAGCAGCAGCCAAGATCAGATGAAGGAGGAGGTTTGGCTCTGAGCCAGGACAAGGCCGAGGGTATGGGCAGTGGTCAAGAATCTGCCTGCCAATGCAGGAGATGCAGGTTCGATCCCTGGGTCAGGAAGATCCCCTGGAGGAAGAAATGGCAACTCACTCCAGTATTCTCGCCTGGGAAATCCCATGAACAGAGGAGGCTGGTGGGCTACAGTCCATGGGGTCGCCAGAGTCGGACACGACTCAACAACAACAGCGACAAGGCCTAGGGTAGCCACATGCACTCCTCAGTCTGTCCAGCTGAAGGGATAGTCAGAGAAGGCAGGCAGGACCCTGCAGCTGAGTTTCTGCTGCAATTCGTGGAGACCCAGCTCAGCCTGGCAACCCAAGGGATGTGCTCCCTTGCCCAAGATGGGCCTCCTGCCCCTTTCTTTCTTTTCCACCTACCGAACTCCTATTCATCTGCCAAGGGCCCAACTCAAATGTCCCAGTCTTGGGAAGACGCCTCTCACCATCCAGCCCTATCCTCCACCCACAGTCTCTAAGCACATTTGGTCTCCCTGGACAGGAACCTCTCAGAAACCCTGCACTCCTTCATTATAGCACCTCTCACACTGCACTGCAAACTTGGTCACCAGTGTCTCCTCCGTTTAACATGAACCCACAGAGGCCTGTCAGTTCCTCTCTGGGTCTCCAGGCCCAGCACACGACTGGCCCAAAGAGGCCCTGAGGGGGCATGGTGAGAACAGGAGGGGAAGGAGGGTTACAGTCAGCCCCTAACAGAGCTCAGAGCCAAAGAGCTGTGTGGAAATCCAAACATTGAAACCCATTCGTCTGAAACATGCTCCAGCATTTCAGACACTGCCAAGTTCCTGCAAATACTCAGCTCTCAGAGATATATTGATCTATGTGTGTATGTGTATGGTGGTGGTAAGAAGGGTAAAGAGGAAAGGGGATAACTTGGTAGACAGGAGCCTGGGCACTGAAGTTTGGCTTTAAGTAAATATACTGGTCATGTCATTTATCACCTGGGTGACCTTGAGCAACGGCTCCTCTCTCAGCCTCAATTTTTCCATTTACAAAAATGGGAATTTTCTTTGCCCCATTTCATAACATCCTCGGGAGGTTTTAATGGGACAACCAGCTCTTAACATGAGGCAGGTGAGGAAACTAGGCTCAGAGAGGTTGCAAGAACCGCCCCGTGTCACCCAGCAAGTTGGGAAAAGAATCAGCTCTCCTGGCTCCTCAACCAATACTATTGTGTTTTTTCAAGAAATGATGTAGCGGGGACTTCCCTGGTGGTCCAGTGGCTAAGACTCTGTGCTTCCACTGCAGGAGGCCCCGGTTCCATCCCTGGGCGGGGAACTAGATCCCACAAGCTGCAACTAAAGATCAAAGATTCCGTGTACCCCCAATGAGTGAAACCTGGCACAGCCAAATCAACAAAGAAATGTTCAAAAAAAATGATGCAGGAATTCCTGCAAGACCCCTCAGTTTACTGGTTTCACTGCCGGAGTCTGAGTGGGAACAGAACAGCCCCTGCTCACAGTGAGGACTGGGAACAACGGGGAGGCAAGATTCCCTCCACCTGCTCGGGACCCCCACTTGCAGTCACCACCCGCCTCCAGGAGCCAGAGGACACAGTCTCAGTTTCATTCCAGAGAAACCCTAGAGGCGACTCAGCTGAAACACTGGGCCACATGGGTGCCTGGACAGCTGGTCAAGCAGGACCCAGCCCCCCTGGTATTCGGACTGTAAAAATAGACACCATCCTCATATGCTTGGGGGTGGTTTTAAGTGTTCTCAGGACCGCTGGCAGAGCAGACTGGACGGGCTTCTCAGGCTCCAGTTGGCAAGGCCGATTCCCTCTCCTGGAGCCTGGCCTCGAGGCCCCAGATGGTGGGGCACATCCCCTCGGCCACTGGTCGGCTGTGTGACCTTGAGCAAGTCACTCCACCTCTCCAAGCCCCTGGAGACCAGGAAGAACAATCACGACCATGCAGGCAGACTGGAGGACTGAATGAGATTATACTGGACGACAGGGAGCCCGGGACACAGAAAACCTTCACTGAGCACCTACTGTATACCCAGAACAGCCTCCGGGACACAAAAGCAGAGTATACAGTCCAGTGGTACAGGGGCTCCAGGCCTCCCAGGCTCCAGAAGAGAATGTAGCAGAAACATGGGACAGGCATTGGAGGCATCCCAAGGAGGTAATGGGTAGTAGCTAGCCTGGTGAAGCAGGGAAATGAAGGGACAAAGAACTTCCAGGTAAAGGCCCAGAGCAAAGAGACGCTGCAGCCTTCTGCTGTGCACAGAATCACAACAGTGTCCCTGAGGCTTCCCTGGTGGCTCAGGGGTAAAGAATCCGCTTGCCAATGCAGGAGATGTGGGTTTGACCCCTGGGTCGGGAAGATCCCCTGGACAAAGGAAATGGCAACCCACTCCAGTATTCTTGCCTGGAGAATCCCATGGACAGAGGAGCCCGGCGGGCTACAGCTCACGGCGTGGCAAAAGAGCCAGACACAACTTAATCACCAAACAGCAACAACAAGTTAAGCATTCACCTGGTGCCAGCATCCCACATACAGCTAACTCTTCACACCAACCATCCAGGTGGGTTGCTATTACTCCATTTCACAGAGCTTCTGAGGCTCACAGGGATTAAGCAGCTTGTCCACAATCACACCACCAGTAAATGGCTGGAGGCAGGATCTGAACCCAGGACTGTGGCTCTGAGGCTCTACTAAAGCAGCGGGTCTACTAAAGGGGAGCTGTGAAGGAATGAATTGCTGAAGGCGGTGGGGGGCAGGGCCTCAGTCTCCTCCCCAGTCAAGAATCAAACAGCCTCGCCGAAATCTCATCCTGTGTTAGACTGACCTGGATGTGACCGCGGATTCTCCATTTCCTAACTCTCCGACGGCACCTCAGCCCTTTCTGCCTCTGAGCCTCACTCTCCCCATCTGTAAAATGGGGTAACCCTGACAGAATGAATGCTCAATGGGTGGGCGTGGCTCTCCTCTGAAAATTTCTTACAGCTCAAAGGGTTCAGAACAGGTTGTGTAATCATGGGCCAACCCTTTCCCCCCTCCCTGGGCCTCAGTTTCCCCAGAATAGGAGGAAGTTGGACCGAAAAAGGGAGTGGCCCAGAAAAACGTAGAAGCCCCTCTCCGAAGCATCACCTACCCGCGTCTGAAAAGCCACTCAGCCCAGCCCCCTCCCGCAGGCAGGGTCGGGACAAACCGGCGAGGGGAGGGACGGGGAGAGGGTACCCCTCTGAAGTGCGGGGGTGGAGGCCTGCGGTGAAGTCGCTGAGACTGGGCAGAGCTGAGGGTCCCAGTGAAAAAGTCAGCCCTGGGGGCTGGAGTCCCGGGAAGGGAACGGGTTTCAGTGCGGAGAAGAGGAGGCAGGAGAGGCCGAGGGCTTCGGCGTAGGTTGGAGAGGAGGGCCGGGGCCCATGGCACGCGCGGAGAGATGCGGGCTTGGGCAGAAACGCAAGAGAGAAGCTGAGAAACTGGGTGTCCGAGGGCCGAGCGGCGGGACGGAAGGCAGGGGCTGAAGTTTGCGCGGTGGGAGACGCAGCTGGGCTGGAGTCCCGGAGAGGGCCGGGCAGCGATCCGCGGACAAGGGGCGACCCCCCCAACCCCGAGCTCCCGCGCGGGGCGCAGAGGCGGGGAGGGGGCGTCTCGGGGGGCGGGGTGGAGCTCCGGGAGGGATGCGAGGCGGGGGCTGCAGGGCCGCGGGGGGCAAGGACCGGCGCTCCGGGAGGGGAAGGCCGGGGCTTCAGGGCGGGGCAGCCGGCCGCGGGGCCCGGCCGCGGGCGCACCTGAAGTCCTTGTCGCTGGACGTCATCTTCTCCAGGAGGCTGGAGATGTGGAAGGCGGCGGTGCTCATGGTGGCTGCGCCGCGGGGCCGCCGGCGGGAGGGAATATGGCGGCGCGGGCCCCCTCCCCCGCCGCGCGGGCTGCGCTCAGCGGACAGAAATAGCCGCCCCCGCCCCGCCCCGCCCCGCCCGCCGGCGCCGCGCTCGCAGCGGCCGCGGCCGCCGCTGCGGGAGGCAGCAGGCGGGAGGGGCCCGCCGAGGGGCTCGCGGATCCCTCCCCGGCGTCCTGGTCGCAGACGAGGGCCCATCACCGGCTTGCACACTCCCGCGGACCGGGAGCTCACCACCTCTCAGCGGACAGCTCCTCCCTACGATTCCCCGTGGTGCCCTGGATCCCGCTAGCGAGACACAGTCACGGTGACCAGAGAGTCTCAGGTGGGAGCCCCCACCTCGGTCAGTTCTGCTCCTGTGAGGCCTTGGCCAAGTCACTTGACCTCTCTAAGCCTCAGCTTTCTCATCTGTAGGCATTCCAGAAACAGGAGCTGCTATTATCGGTCAAGCCAACCAGCACACTTCCCATGCGGCCCACGCCAAAGCCAGCCAGGGTATGAAGAGGAGTACCCTGTCGCACCAGGCCTTCTGCCTGCCTCATCCAACCCTCAGGACATCACGGCCGGTTTCTCCATCTTATACCCAACGCAGCTGAGTTGGCCACGCAAGTCACACAGCCAATCAATCTGGGATGGAATCAGGACTGACCCCAGACTGGGCAACAATTCTTCAATGAAGCTGCACGGTTTCTCCGCAGGTAGGTACAAGCTCAGGGTGGGAGGATATATACGAAAACAGCTAGAGCCGCAAATCTTCTCCAGGGCTTTCCTGGTGGTCCAGTGGTCAAGAATCTGCCTGCTGATGCAGGGGGACGCGGGATCCATCCCTGATCAGGGAAGATCCCACATTCCTCGGAGCAACTAAGCCCCTGTGTCACAACTACCGAGCCCTCGATCTCAAGCGGTGTTCTGCAGCAAGAGAAGTCTGCAATGAGAAGCCCGCGCACCACAATTGCAGAGTAGCCCCCTCTTGCTGCAACTACAGAAAGCCCAAGCAACAACGAAGACCCAGCACAGCCAAAAATAAATAAATCATATATACATATACATAATCAATTGTGTTTTTGTTTTTTTTTAAAGAATTCTCTAAACAGCCCGGAGGCTGTTGGCTCTTGGCAAAGGGAGTCATGTGTGCAAGACAGCCCTGGGTTCAAATCCCCTCGAAGTTGCTTCCTGACTGTGATGCCTTGGAATAATGACACAACCTCTCTGAGCTATGTTCTTCTCACGCTTGTAAGAAGGTGATAAAGAAATCTTTATATTATAACACGCTTCTTGGGTACCTGTTTTGGGCTCTGGGCTCCAGAGCAGCAGTGTCCAACAGAACTCTGCAAAGCTGGAGATTTTCTGTATCCGCACTGCCCCATACGATGGCCACTAGTCACATGTGCGGCTTCCCTGTGGCTCAGCGGTAAAGAATCCGCCTGCCAGTGCAGGAGACACAAGAGATGCGGGTTCAATCCCTAGGCCTGGAAGATCCCCTGGAGGAGGAAATGGCAACCCACTCCAGTGGTCCTGCCTGGGAAATCCCATGGACAGAAGAGCCTGGCAGGCCACAGTCCGTGGGGCCGCAAAGAGTCGGACATGACTTGGCAACTAAACAGCAACAACCGCAAGCTATTTATAATACTAAATCACTTTATGGCTGTTTATAATATTAAGCCACTTCTTTCCGGGATGGAGAAAAATGTCTGGGCTTGAAGCATACAAGGTTAAACTCTTGTCTTGTCATATCATTTTGTTCTGTCACATCTTTTGGGAAGTGAACTAGGTGGGCAGCTTGCTGGGAGAGAGTGACAGTCCCCTCCAGCCCTGGAGGGGGAGCCAAGGATCCAACCGGTGAATATTCGTCTGTGCGTACTGAGTCGTTCAGTCGTGTCCGACTCCTTGTGACCCCATGGACTGTAGCCCTCCAGGCTCCTCTGTCCATGGGATTCTCCAGGCAAGAATACTGGAGTTGAAGAAGGAATTCATAGGGCCTAGACTCCATCTCAGGCCTGTCCATGCTGGTCGTGCGCGGCCACCTCTCCAGTGGACTCTGAACTCTGTGCTTAGCGCCTGTGGGAATGACAATGGAAGGATAAGACCCCCCTCTGGGCAGGGGAATCTTGAAGAGTGCCTGTGGGAATGACAAAGGAAGGATAAGACCCCCCTCTGGGCAGGGAAGACACTAATCACCCCTGCCTCCGACTGTATCTATAACACATAACACGTGAATGATGGGGTTATTGTGATTGTATTTACCCTTCCTTTGTAAGCCTAAAGGGATTTGGGCTGGTGGGTTTGGACACGTACACATGGGGTATAAAAGATTTTCACATAACGCTGGTCGGGGCCCTTGGCTAAGAGGAGACTGCCTTGGGCCCGCCGGTGTAATAAACTGCACTCCACTATCTGCATTGCCCTTCTGAGTGAGTTTGTTTCCCGGAAAGCGTGGCTATAACAGAGTGGGTTGCCATGCCCTCCTCGAGGGGACCTTCCCAACCCCAGGGATGGAACCCACATCTCTTACGTCTCCTACACTGGCAGACGAGTTCTTTACCACTAACTTCATCTGGGAAGTCTTTAGTTTTCCTGTCAGTATTTACCAAAGAGCCGGGCTGTTTGCTAAACACAGGGGTGATATGGAGGGAAACCAAGAGAGATGTGGTGAAGAACAACTACTTTGTGAGAAGACAGAGTTGAATTTGAGTCTCTTCTAGCTGTGTGGGAGCTTCCATTGTGGCTCAGATGGTAAGGCGTCTGCCCGCAATGCGGGAGATCAAAATTCCATCCCTGGGTCGGGAAGATCCTCTGGAGAAGGAAATGGCAACCCACTGCAGTACTCTTGCCTGAAAAATTCCACAGACAGAGGAGCCTGATGGGCTATAGTCCGTGGACTTGCAAAGAGTCGGACACGACTGAGCCACTTCCCTTTCTTTCTAGCTGTGTGGCCTCGGGCAAGTGACTCAGCCCCTCTGAGCCTCAGTTTCCACATCTATAAGATGGAAATAATAGCACCCACCTGCTGGGGTCCAGCCTCGGCAGGATCCAGGGGTACCCTCAGGATGAACGGCATCGGTGAGAGAAAGAGAGAGACAGAGACAGAGAGAGAAAGAGAGTGACCAGACGGGGGGTGCAGCAGAGTCTGGCAAATGCTTTATTTTTTACCGTGGCTTTTATACCCTAAATTAGTACATTTCTAAGGGGAAAATAGTTTAACATTACATCAACTTGTTCTTCACGAAACCAGGGTGTTTTCTGCATACTTCTTTGTTTATGAGGGTCTTGTACATTATCTTCTGGCCTTGGAGCCTATTAACATTTTATGACCTAGGTGAATGCAAAGCTGTTTTCCCATAATCTATTCTTTAATGAACACAAAGTCAGTCCTTTTGCAAAAGTTATCAGTTAAATTTATCTAAAAGGTTTACAACACAAAGACTCTGAAGCTCCGTGAGGCAGCCCCTGTTTAGCATTCCTGGTTAAAATGAACAATTCTAAACTCGTATTTTTCTAAATCTCTAACCACTTTTAGAATAATATTTTTATGTTCTCTAATAGGGCTTCCTCACCTCCCGAAGGGCTCTGTGCTTATTAGGGCCTTTTGTGTGACCAGGTTCTTTATGCTGTTTATGATTAAGGTGTTGTGAGCAGTCATGTGCATTAGTACGCATTTGCCAAGCAGGTTAGAATGCCAGCAAAGGGGTCTAAATTGAAACACTCCTTTCATCCTGGATAATCTTATAAGATACCGCCGTCCGGGGGACATGTTGATTAAAGTTCTAAGTTGATTCTGTTTGGAGAGAGATCGGGGAAGGCCTTCTACCTGGGTCACAGAAATTAGGAAGTAGTCTAATATAGCAAGCATCAGAAAGACAGAGATCATCTTTAAGGTGAGCGCCGGGGCAGCTTTTCGAAATTCCTGAAGTCGTGATCTGCCTGGCTTGTCAGGTCTTCTCCTCATGACCTTTTTTTTTTTTTTTCCCCATTTATTTTTATTAGTCGGAGGCTAATTACTTTACATCATTGCAGTGGGTTTTGTCATACATTGAAATGAATTAGCCATTCCTCATGACCTTGTCATGGGTGGGATCTCATGTGCTGGCTCCCGGCACCCACCCAAGAAGGAAAAGCTCTTGGCCGAATGCCGGGCACACAGCAAACCTGCAGTGAACTGTAGCTATTAGTTGTTTTTATTACTGTTACAGCTTGTGGAGAAGACATACACTGAATCGGATGGTGGAGGGAAAGATTGTGGGGACAGAGGAGAGAGATGGGAAGTGTGAGCCCAGCCTTGAGGAGCAGATACATCCTCCAGGCAGAGACTCGGGCCAGTGTTCCAGACACGCATGCTTGTACCCCCACAGTCTCAGGCTCCATCATAGCATGCCCTGCGTCTGCTCCTCATACCTGCAGGACAGGTGTGTCCTGTGACACCTACCTGGCTTGAGCCCAGTTAGACACTGTTCACAGGAGTGTTACTGCCCAGAGCTCTTAGGAGAATTCCCAGGCTGAAGGCACTGTGTCCTTCCGGCATGGGTGAATCTGTTTCAAACATCTGGGTCTTGGATCTGAAGATGATCTCAAAAGCTGTTTTTAAAGTCTCCTTCCCACTACAATGTTGTAAAGTAACTAGCCTCCAATTAAAATAAACTAATTAATTAAAAAAATCTTTCTCCCTATTTCCTTCCTCCCCTACTCCTTTCTCCCTCCCTCCCCCTTTCTGTTCTTTTTATTCATCATAAAGGTTAACAACTTGCACATTTATTAAAAGAACTTGCTGACTATCTCCTCAAGCACAGAACTATACTTGCAAACCCAACAGCAAGTATGGGACAGGATGACCAAGGCTGACACAATTCACAGCTGGAGATTTCGCAGCAGTGGTTCCAGCCAGGAGTCTCCTGATATCCAGTTGCTAAATACAGGCTTCAGACAAAGCAATGGAGCCACAGTCCAGACACTAGGGTAGGACGAGA